ATGCAGCAGAAAGAAGCAAATCAACTTTGTTATGTTCAGCTTGAACGCCTGACTTCGAGGGAATGGGAGATCACGATGGGCAAGACAAAGAAACAACTGTCTCTCGATACGGAGAAGCTGGTGGTCAAAGAGAGATCTGACATTCCACACCAATGAACGTTACCTTCAACAACTGACCAGTCATTTGCGCATGGACCCGCGTCAGAACTACAGTATAGGCCCACTTTGCAGCAGATCCTCAAGGTTGATCGACAGGTGTTTGTGTATTTGATCAGGGTTGGTGTTCAGTTGAAGCGTTTGCCAAACAACACACTGAATATGGACACACAGTTCTTTGCGGCGCTGCATTCATTTTGGACGTCCTGAACACGCAAAGCAAGGAGCTCAAGTGGGAAACAACTTTCAGCAATCCAAAGGTAGTCCATGGCAAAACCGGTCCCATCCCTACAAAGGGAAAGGACACCAAGGAGGTGGCAAAGGCAAGAACAAAGGAGGGAAAGGAGTCCTTCCCAAATTTCTTCTTGGGCGCGACAATACAAACATGGACATGCATGGACGTCGACTTTGCTTCAACTATCAGATCAATAAGTGCTCAGAGGCGGCTGATGGCACAGAGTGTTCAAAAGGATGGCACCTTTGTTGCCTCAAGGGCTGTTTTGCCCCCCATGCTGAAAAGACCACGACAAAAAGAAGTGACGCCAGGGCCGCATCAGCGCATTGGCTTGTGCTGGTGCGGATATCTCAGATTGCATGATAATTGAAATATTTGCAGGGACGGCCAGAGTAACAGCTGAGCTTCGTAAGATTGGCATGGTCAGTGCATTTGGTACAGATCACCTTCGACACAAGCAAGCTGCTGCACAGGTGGTCATTGCAGACCTTACTACAGATGTTGGTGTCAACCTGCTAATGCAGTGGTTGGCAGATGGGCATGTTGTGGGTGTTTTCATAGCACCTCCTTGTGGTTCGGCTTCCAGAGCGAGGTCGATACCGCTGAAAAGGAAAGCCCCAGGTGACCCAAGGCCACTTCGGTCTGACAGGCATCCCAACGGATTGCCCAACCTTTTGTTTGTCGACCGCATAAAGGTCTCGAAGGCGAACAAGTTGTACTTTTTGACTGCCAAGCTTGTCCAATGGGCCACTGAGCATGGTTGTCTCTTTTGCATTGAAAATCGACAGTTCAGCTATTTCTGGCAAGCAACTTTCATTCAATCAATCATCCACTTGATGGACTTTACAACCTTTCAATCATGTATGTACGGAAGCACACGTCCCAAGCGTACAATGTTGGAACACAACGCAGTTGAGTTTGCAGTGATTAACAAAATGTGTTGTGAGTTTCTGGAAAACCACAAGCACGACAAATGGGGCATTCATGTCGAGTCCAGGAAGTTTGCAACTGCGTTGGAGACAGCATATCCAGTTCAGCCTGCACGTGCAATAGCTGCCCAGTTCATAGCTGCCTTGCAAAACAGAGGTATCAAGATGCCACCGGAAACCTTGGATGCGGTGGGAGCCTTCAATAATGCAACTTTGTCAGCCTTGCGAGCTCAGGCCGGCCATCAGCCAAAGGCCAGCAGATTGCCACCGCTGATACCAACGTTTGCATCAAAAGTTGCGTTGTCTGGTTTTCAAAGTGATTTACCACAATTCCAGTTGCAGTCCAAGTTGTCAGCTCAACTGCAAGTGCAATCATACAATGCTCCAACCTTGTTGCCAAAGGGTTCCAAACTTTTGCAAGTGATGCCTTGTTTGCTGCCTCCTTCATGTCAGATTTGTGAAGATGATTTGAATCGTATTGTTTCAATGTTCCAAGTGCCGCAGCCTGTAAGACTTGGTACATGTGAGACCCAGCTTTGGGGTGTACCGTGGTCAGAGGACCAGTTCATAGAGCAGATGGTCAAGTTTGGCCACCCCACGACTGTGAAATCAGGCCTGCCAGAAGTTCTGCAGTCAACAATTGAGTTTTATGAAGCAACTAATTTACAGGAACGTTTGCAACACAGAGCATCCAAGCTCGGTTTTTGGTTACGACGGCTTGTTGCCCTCAAGGAGCCCGAGAGTGCGCTGAAATCATCTTTGGACAGTGAAGTGTCTCAGATTCTGAAGGATAAGAACCTTTTTCTGTGGGAGGAAATGCTTATAGGGCTGTGGATTACCCTGACATGGGTGTGGTTTGTGAGTCGCGTGACGGAACGGATTTGGTTAGTCCGGTGGAGAGGACTGGCCTTTGGCCTTCAAAGTTTCAGCCAGCTTTGGTGACAGTCACTGAGCTACATGACATTGCCGTACGTGAGCGTGCAGGTTTACAGCAGCAGTTTAGCAATCAGGGAAGGGATGAGTTCATTGTTCCGGTTTGGGAGAAGACAATGGATGAGGTTCGTGCAGGCCTCTTGGATGGCCCAATTGCGTTGGAGCACGTCCCTTCTGACTGTCCACTTAGCCGACGGTTTGGTATACAGCAGGGTTTGAACGTGAGATGCATTGATGATTTCTCCAGATCATCCGTCAACAGCTGTGTTCAGACGTGTGAGAGTCCAAAGCCTCATACTATTGATGTTTTTGCGGCGATGTGCGTGCACTTGATGTCAGCCGTTTCGAAAGACGAACCGAACTTTTGATTTGATTGGTGCTTACAGACAGTGTGCTGTTTAACCAACATCAAAACAATATGCCTACATCATTGTGCAGCAGCCAGACACTCTTGAGTTGGTGGGGTTTCGCATGAAGGCCTTACCATTCGGATCTGTACGGTCAGTGCATGGATTCCTTCGTATCGCCCACAGTTTGTTTTTTTTGGTGAAAGAATTCAAGGTTTTTTTTTATTAATCACTTCGACGACTTTGTTGCTGCTTCTCCAACTCCTGAGTGTTCTTTAATCACTTCTTGCGTTCATATGTACTTCAAGCTTCTTGGATGGGCTTTCTCAGAGTCTGGGGACAAGGCTCCACCTTTTAGTGCTATGTTTCAGGCCCTAGGGGTCAACATCGACGTGTCGACTTTGCACAATGGTCTTGTAAAGCTTGGTAACACGGAGAACAGGCGCAAGGAGTTGGTTGAGTTTTTGGATTTGGTTCTTTCAAGGGGATACATGTCTAAGCAAGATGCTCTTCGACTTCGGGGGCTCCTTCAGTTCACTTCAGGAAATGTGTTCGGAAGGGTGGCAAAGTGGGCAACCATCTCAAACCATGCTTACTCTTCCACAAGCAACAAGCTCACGGACGATGCAGTCTTGGCCCTTAGGTCACACTGGAACCTGCTGAGTCAAGGCCGTCCCCGAGAACTCCAACCGTCATCAGCTGAACCATGGTTCATTCAAACTGATGCTTGTTATGATGTTGATGGTAACAGTGTTACAGCGGGTGTAGGTGCAGTGCTCTCCACCCCCGCGGGCGAACCAATTCTTTTCTTCTCTCAGAAGTTGTCTGACAAGATGGTGTCAGTACTCAACCCGTCAGGCAAACAGACTGCAATTTTCGAATGTGAATTCTTTGCACTTTCTGTGCTTTCTTGCTTTGGGGTGACAGGGTTAGGAGCGCAGTTGTTATCTACACAGATAACAACGGTGTTCGTGACTCCCTTATTTCTTGCATCTCTAGAAATGTAACTGCAAAGAAAATCCTCGTTGCAACTATGGCGCTGGAGTGCACAAAACAGCTCACACCTTGGTACGCAAGGATCCCCACGGATTCAAATCTCTCAGACGGCCCTTCAAGATTTAACTGCCAGAAAGTTTTGGACATGGGTGCCGAAGAATGCAAACTTGATCCTTTTGCCAGCTGGGAGCAACTAGTGGCTCTTTCTGAAAGTTGGGGGGAACAACAGGCCACAGAATACCCCCAGCTTTGACAAGTCTTGCATGTGCGCGCAGCAGTTGTTACAATGGATCTTGGCGTTTGCATGTCAGTTCAAATCAAGTATATCAACAGTTGATTCAATGTGTTGGCTCAGCAGCGTTTGTAAAAGTGATAATGTAGCTTTCAAACATGATAGCGACTTATCACTGCATACAAGATGTGGATGCACATCAGTTGCTTGGTTCAAACGTTCGTTTGCACATGTGTGCATCATGTACTTCAAGTTCAACGATCTTCAGAAACTCCAATGTCACTTCACTCACTATGTCATGCTGAATGTGGTTTACATGTTTTCTTTTTTAGGTGAGCTTCAAACTGCCCCGCCCTCTGCCACTCTTTGGCAGTTGTAGCTCACCTTTCTTTGAGGCTTATCGTTTAACGATCTTGTCCCTTGTGCCTTCGCTTCAACCGAAGCGTCGTATCCATCACCTTTTTCTTCCTGAGGTCATCGTGCAACGACTCTCCAATTTGCCTTCGCTTCATCCGAAGCGTCGTATGCCTTTGCCTGAAAACCAGGCGTCGTATGTCAGGGCATGCCAGACCCTGAGCCTGAACAACAGGCCACAGAAGACCCGCAGCTTTGAAAAGTCTTGCATGTGCGCGCAGCAGTTGTTACAATGGATCTTGGCGTTTGCATGTCAGTTCAAATCAAGTAGTTGATTCAACGTGTTGGCTCAGCAGCGTTTGTAAAAGTGATAAAGTTGTGTAAATAGGTGGGCGTTTGGATTCAAGTGCAATGTGATAATGATTGAAAGTCATGCCGATGCCTTGAACATTTGAATCGGTTTTGTTATTTGAAGTGTGTGTTCGTGTGTGCCTGATCAAAACCGCATCTCAATAATTTTTTGGTTGCGTTTCCGATTTTGGTATGTGTTTGTGCGAACGTTTTGTGGAGTTGTTGGCAAACTGTACATGGAATTTTTCATGACGTCTCGACTGGCTCAAACATCATAGGATTTTCGAAATTGGAAAATGATTGAAACATGACCGGACATGGAATGTTTAGAACGGAACCGTTCGTTTCAACCGGCTAACAGCTGCAATAAACTCTGGCGCATGTACGTAGATCCACCAAACCGTGACAAACGTCACCCAGTGATTGACCAAACCAAAAATTGCAATTTGAGGAATTGCTGTGCCCGTATGTCGGGTTTTCGAACCATGACCATTGAATGGCATGGTTTCATGACACCCTTGATACTTGCGATCGTGCCGCTTGGAATCGTGAAACATGGGTTGAACTTCTTCATATGGAATGATCCCTGACACAGAAAATGCAATCAAACATGTAAGGTCGCAACATGCCCATTTTTGTATGAACGGGTATGCCGTTGGCAGCAAATCCTTGCAATTTCGCCGACATGTGAAAAATAAACATCATATTTGCAATTTTGATTTCTTTGGCCCAACTCAAAACTGGCGGACCAAAAAAAACACGTTTCATCCTCTTTTAGTTTTGGGTTCGAAACTGATGCCGGAATCAGGTGCGGTGTTGACATGATTTGAAAATTGTTTCAACGTTCCCATTACCAAGGTATCTACAATGGAATGTTGCAGAAGCTGACTGGGTCTTGAGCAGCAAAGGCGCAGAAACCCACTTGACATTTGTCATCATGAAAGTAGTTAATTATTCAACTGAGATCGATTTGATGCAGACTCCAAAAATGTTTCAAATCCATATGTGCAATCCTGTATTGGCAAAAAACACAATCAAAACATACGATTGTATAATTCCACTATTGGATTTTCCAACAAAACTTTTGTTTGTGGTTGTAAATTTGGGGTGGCAATCGGCAAGGACATGTCTTGGTTTGTTGTTGTGCTTTGCGACAGGTGTGTCGTGTGATGCGACGTGCACGGGCTTGAGCGAGACCTGCGCTTCTGAGCGGATGCAACTCATTACAAGTGAGGAACAGATGAATTTTGTTGCTTGGTTGAACATATTTTTTCATGTTGCCGGAGGGAACACCCGGAAACATGTATTTGGGGGCAAAAGTAAGTATTTGCAGGAGTTCCGCACCTAATGTCGGGACCAGATGTTTTGCTCGTCTACTTTCTCCTCACGTGCAGTGTGCAGGGAACATGACTGTTTTCAATGACCCAGTGGTTATTCAAATTCGATATGATTCATTCACAAGTGTTGCTGATTTTACGTTTGTAAGTTTGTGTTTGGAATTATGGACACGATTGGACAGTCAACATGTTCTGTTAAGGACAAACCAGTGGCAAAACATGAGACCGGCAATCTTCGTAGCAATACATTTCAGTTACAAATCTAGGTAGACATCATTGTTTTGTCAGTATTCATATCTGAATCCTTCCAGATGATCTACAATTAGGTTTTAGATTCGCTCCTATCCCCGGAGGTTTTTATTTAATCATGGCCCTCAGGCTGTGACAAGTGGAAGTCTGACATCGTGTGCCCTTTATGTTGCCGGTGATGACGCTCTTGCTCCTCGATGTCATACTTCGAAACATTGCCGGAAAGCGACAAAGGGATGTTTTTAACGAGTTAGTTCAGTGTGTGAAGGAATGACTTCCGCTGTACCATTCTTGTCGGTATTGCTCGTATGAATTCTGAAGATGAATGATTTCATCAAAACCGATCCAAAGATGCACACAAAATGGATGCAGTATGCCACGTATTGTATGAGAGAGGGTACCTACAGTATCGTTGTGTCACTAATATTGAGACGGGAGGTTTGTCCTACATCGTTTCGACAAACAAATCAGGGTGAAAAGCAATGAAACAAATAAGAAACTGAAGAGAACGTGGATTGCAGTTGTGTGAGTGGGCGATATGTTGATGCTGTTGTTCTTTCTGATTGCTTTTCACACTTTTTCTATGTATTTGACACGCTAGATGCTTTTGTCCTGGCCACTTCAAGCGAACCAGACATGAATCATGAAGATAAAGGTAGGACAGTTTTGTGCTCTTTCTTTTAGCACGGAATTGTTGTCTATAGCCTAACAGATTCACGTTGGAAGTGGTTACCGTGTTTCATCAGTTGTGAAGACTTCCCAATGGTTCCCTGGGGAATGATCTTGCAGCCACAGGGAACAGCCCAGCCATACCAGATTGACGACTACATTGATGGAAACTTGGATGGCCATGGAGACATTTGGTTGTGTCAAAGCCCTTGGTTCATAAAGAAGTGAGACAAGACAGACACGAACGTCACCGAATGTCCATTATTGTAAAGCCTTGTGGAATATGAGTATATAGAGGGGTTTCCTTTCAGTAGTGACTGCATGGATTATACCAGAACAGAGAGGAGGCTGCTCCAAGGTCCACGTCAAGGATTCAAATCGGATTTATAATAGCTGCAATGTGAAACATCCCCCGCAGGAATATTTCCTTGTTTGCCGTGTTGTGCTGAATGTCAATTTGACGTGTCACCTCATGTCACCTCACACTTGATTTTATGTTTGAGTTTTGAATTCAAGGAGGTCAATCGGTTGCTGTGGACTCAATAGCGAACCCGTTCTGGTATCATACCATGAATATACACCTGACTTCGTCCGGGCAGCTCTGCACAGCTGAGGTCTCTCTGGTCTTCCAGTGCTGTGCTTTGTGAATGGTCTCAATAGTAATTGCGCAGCAAGTGACACAGTTGCAAAATGAGTTGTCCGCTGCTGTGGTTGCCATGACTCCAAGTGCTTTCTTCCACTGCTTCTGTGAATAGAGTTGGGTGGAAGCTGGGTCAGGAATCATTCTTCAGCTTTGATCTCTTCAATGTCGGATTGGACCACCCTGGGCTTAAAATTCTGACTGAGATGGTACAGTATCACTTGTCCAAGTTGTGGTGGGTTGAAATTTCCCAAGGCCTCGGCCTCATGTGACATGTGCTCTATTGAACATTGAGGTCTTTGGAATTGACTTCTACTTTGTAGACCCTGGAATTTTCACTGCTAGTATCTAACATCAGTGAAAGACATCAACACATTATAGGATGCTGGAATGCATTCGGTCTCACTACATTGTCCATAGTATATAATGCATAGCCTTTGACTACGGACAGGTATATAAATCTCTCTCTGTCTCTCTCTCTCTCTCTCCCCCTCTGTCTCCCTATATATAGACAGATACACACGAGCGAAGTGGACTCTGCCAATGCATTGGTGTTTATGCGCAGACTATGAACCCTTTTCCTAATTATATACTTCACATGGCGAATCATGGATATGAATGAACCCTTTTCCTGTGATGCCATGGGTAACATAGGTGTATGCTTTTTTTCCCTTTTGCTAGTGCTCCGGTGCTGATGGTTCACTATGCACTATGCTCAACCAAATGGTGTTTTTGGCTTTTGCTGAGGCCTTGAGGGCGAAGCTTTCAATCTGATAGACTTTATGGGAATGTATGGGATCTTTCACGTTTCTGAAGGGCACCTCCCAGCACCAATTGCATCTAAACGTGAGTCGTGCCTATATTGACCTGTGTTAGACATAGATTTCTGCACCAGTGCAAATAAAGATACTGTATCATCAGTATCTATGCATTTACCATCACCAATCTAAATATTTGTTTACCCTAAGAGTAAGCACTTCCTGAAATATGTAGTCGAATCAGGGCCAACTAAGTCGGAGATTTTTCCTCCATCGGTGAGGTGATCCTCAGCTCGCACGTGGCTCGGCAGATCTTATCCCAACATGGCCCAGGTAGGGAGGTTGTGATTGCAATCGCCACCTGCTCGATTGGAGCGTTTCATTGGAAGAACCGATTACTTTCTGTGTTCATGATGGATTTTGACCGATGCTTGTGGTCCAAGACAATAAGCTCTCGAACAATCTCCTTGAGAGCCGAATTCTGGTCGACATAGGTACCTGACATGGCTAAGGACTTTGCTGTTGCTATAATGGAGTTGGTGATGTCGGTGATCAATGCCCAGTCCCCACTACGACCTCCACCACTGCGACAGTAACAACGTCCACGTCATCAACTTTTACAACCACATCAACTACTGAAACCACTCAAACCACACTGACTACAACATTGACAACAATGACCTCAGTGACTACCACTGCAACAACTGAAACGGTGACCCAGTGCCATCAGATTAGCATTGTTTTCATTTGTTTTGGTTTCATTCACTAACAGCGTGAGCTTACGGGTCTCAGCCCAAATAAAGTTTCTCTGTTTCGGTGCGGCTTCCAGTGCAGGTTCCGTGCTTTCCTGGGGAAATGTGGGTTCTGGTGTGGGTTCTGGGATGGTCCTGGAGATTTGGTGCAGCTTCCGGGGTTCCGGGTGGTTCCGGTGTGGTTCCGTGTGTTCCAGGATGGGTCGCCCGTCGTTGGAACTTTTAGCGGTGTTCACTGCTGTGATACTGTCCTATCACCATTGCTTTTGGGGAATACCAATTGGATCCAATTGGGCTTTTTCTTTTTCGGTTATGTCGCAAAGTTTGATTTATATATATTATTCACCACGCATTATATGATTGTGACAAATTGCTGCTTCAAACAAAATACACTCAAAATGACATGCGCCTGGTCCGGAATGCTCAGATTGACTTAGTTCAACCCCACATTTGTGTGGAAATGATGGACCGCCAGACGTCTTCAATCACCGACACCACTTCCTCGGTGACTACAACGAGCTCAACCTTCACTACCACCAGTATCCTAACGGAGACCACCACAGCCACCACGTCACCTGGATGAAGCGGTCTCGGTTTCAATGGGTCCGCGTAGGTTTCAATGGGTTTCAATGGGTTTCAATGGGTTTCAATGGGTTTCAATGGGTTTCAATGGGTCACAGAGTCTTCCTGGAACCTAAGATCTAATAGGTCTTTCTGATTGGGATGCAGATCATCGAAACCAACCACGGACGGTGGTTTGGAAAGTGTCTTGTAGTGTTCCTCATGTTTGCTCCTGCAAATGTGAATGTCTTGTCACTGGCTAACTCCCAGTCATCACATCGGGAATTTGGTGTGGTCCATGCTTGAAATGCCCATCACCCTGTTGCCCACTGCATAGTTTAGTTGTGAAGTACAGGGACTGGGTGCAGAAGTCCCTCATTTCGACCCCTGGCCTATTTGGCTTGATCTCTGTTCCATGAGCCCCAGTCAAACCCCTTGGGCCCAGGCAGACCACAAGTTCGCAAACTGAGACCACTGATGCTTGGTGGATGTTTGGAGCGTGAGGGGTAGCCTCGAAGTGATGTGAACGGATGGCACAAAAAGGCTGGCTCTACTTTGATGCAGCGGTAGGTACTTGGAATTGGCACCCTTGACCAGCTTAAGTCAGTAGCCGGTAGCCTGTGGACACAAATTGAATTTTTAAAGACGTTTTTGCCGTCTTGACCTCAAGAGGAGCGCCAGACATGAATCCCATCCCTCTTTCAGTCATCACATTTTGAAGCTCCAGCCCGTAGGGTTTTGTGGACCCCGTGGGAAGAAAAGAGTTTCTTTTTCCCAGGATTTGCCCATCCACCTCTCAATGACTGATTGGAATGATTGAATGACTGAAATGAATCGGTCCGAGCGGACCTAGCTGCCGAGTCCACAGCCACCACCATCACCACCACCTCGGTGAGCACAAGCACTACGACACTGACCACAACTGGAAGACCATCCACCAGCTTGGTCGTCTTAGCGCTTTGACCATTCGTGGGAGTGGTGTGACACGGTGTGAGATAACCCGGCCAGGACGGGGTGTCAATAGCTGGTGGCAGCACACTTAGCACAATTATTTTGGTGGAGGTATTGCATCTTAGGGGGCTTTATCGGAGCTGTTTGTTTTCTAATCCAGCAATTTTTCTGTTGAAGTGAACTTATGATGACCCAGGTGTTTATGGGGTAGGGGGAATGAGGCATTGTCACAAGTATCGAGGCAAGTGCTGGAGATACCCAGATCGTGGTGGCTGATGCCGGGGGCTTCTCCGTCAATGATATGATCAAGCTGAAAGAAGGCCGGACGGAAGAATATGCGCCTTGGATGACATCAGGATCCTACGTGCTCCTGGTCTTGGGGGACCGAGGACCAGAACAAGGACCAAAAGATTCCCCTGTTACATGAAGAAGCAAGACGACTAAGACTTGACTAAGACAACTCAAACAGCAAGGACAGTCTGCATCCAAGTTTACCATCAGGTCTTGGGCTGCTTAGGGGCTGGCCCTTGACTTCTGATGGCCTTGTCCCCTAATCCCACGGTTTTCAGTGAATTGTTCTTGAATTGTAAAAACCTAAAGCCCTGGGCTTTGGGGGTTAAGAAACAGTGTTGGAAGTGGTGAATGGAATAGATAAAGACTGCTGCTGACAAATCTATAGACATAGCATCGGAGAGGTAGAATTGTCCGTACGTGGAAAAAACCAGCTTATATGATGAACCACCTCACTGCTGGACAGGACTTGCTGTTTGTAGAAAGAGGGGGTTATCTGGGATATCATATATTAAGGAGTGTTGGCCTGAAACCCTTCGGTGGCGGGAAAAGAAGCAGAGTCTCACTAGTGGACTCTCGCCCTTCTGTTCACTCCTCCGACACTGTTCTGCTGGGTCTATCTGGGTCTGAGGTTGAGATCATTTCGCAAGGCACCATCAGCGCTAGGCTGGGTTTGTGGTGGTCCCCCAAAATCAGTGACCCAGGCGTAGGAATGCTTTATGAAAAGTACCATGGACCTTTCCTGCGTTTCTTGGATTTTGAAGCTTAGGATACTGTGGGAATACAGTAAGACAACAGGATGTTGGGAATGGTGGCCGTTGGCCCAGCTTCATGGGATATGTCCATCCAAGACACACCTGATACCTCTGGTGGCTGAAGGGGCATTATCAGCTCTGGAAATGCAAAGGAGGTGGTTCTCTTGCACGTTCTCCACTGGATCAATATTTCCACAGCTACCCGTGTGCAGGGTCAAACTTGACAAACTTGATAGCTTCGAAGCTACTATTCTGTACTACCACAGCTCTTATTCTTGTGGAGCAAAAGCCTACAAAGATCCCACATCTAGGTACCCCTTCATAACGTTCACGTTGCCTCGTTGCCTGGAAATCTTCTTTCAATGCTGCTTTGTTGGTCCCATAAGTCTGAGATTAGGCGTTCTGGCCTTTTCAAGCTGCAGGCGGTTGGCGACGTATCCCACCTTCCAGGCGCTGTTGGTTGGAATCCAATAATTACATTTCAAGGTAGTTGGATGCATGCTCTACTGTCTCCACTGAAGGTTGTTGAGTCTAGGGGAATGCATTCTCAAGACGTCGAGAATGCTTGTTGAGAAACTTATATAATATATAAAATCATGGGCACATTGTTCTAATTTGCTTTCTTTCTGCTGGGCTTGCGGGTGGGGAGTTTTCCTGACGATTTTCTGAAATATCAGCAAATTTCTGCCACATGAGTTTAGTGGGAAGTTGATGAGTTCCAGCCGGGCCAAACTAGTCACACGTCGCTCTTTTTCCTCCACTGAATGACTTTGAGGTACACCATGTTGGGACTGAAGCTGTAGGTCTTTATGGGTCCCTTGTTTAAGGTGACAAAACTGGAGACCTTGGGCATGATATGTTTGACTGTGGATCCCTGCCCCTTGGTGAGGTTTCTCCTCCTCTGGTCAACAGCTACGGCGTAGGTGTGGTGCCGGCAGGGCAAAAGTTGGATGTTTGTGAATCCGGTCTTTGATCATGTCGGATCCGACACTGCTTCAACAACTGAACATACATGGTCCTGATTGGTCCTGGGCCAAATTTTGACACCACAAACTTGAATGGTTAAGACTTGTTAAGACGTTAAGACTTAAGATTCAACATGATTCAACAGTAAAATCATGTGCTGCCCCAAAATTTGATCCCTACCGGTGAAGCAACTGCAACCTGAACAGGAGCCACCATAACAAACTTCGGTCCGGCGTCGCTGTTCACCGGTGGTGATCCAGTCACCTACTTTGGTGGCTCGGTTGTTTGGCCCAGACCATGTGTGGTGGATGATCTGTTTGAAATCCAGAAGGATGAAAACGGATGAAAAAGGGATATGGGGACCATATCCACTCTGATATCAGAATTTATCTTTGTTATATCTTTGTTTTTTCGGGATGCTCTGAAGTGTGCCACTCACTTTTGCCTTGAGAAGGCTCAGAAGGTCAGGATCTTTTCGGACTTGCCTCGCGCTCCTGCTTCCAAAGTGCAGGTGGCAACAAGTGGAAATTCTGGATGCCTCTGCACCAGGAACTCCTTCTACTTGCCACGCCAGCATCTTGACTGAAATAAAATGGAAAGTAATTTCTTGTGCCGCTCGTGATGTTTCAAGATGTGCGAGGACCAATGGTGAGCCATGTCCAAACTATCTAGACCTCATATTCTTCCAGTCAACTCTTCTTGTCATGTTGGAGACTTGATAAACAAGAGACTCAGTACATACTGGCAGTATTGCCTGCGAGCGTGGTGTGATGCCTTGCAGATCCTTTGATATACCAGATTCTGTCAACCAAAGTCTCCTTGATGATCAGAGAGAGATCCATATAATATATCTATATATCTTAACACCCTAGAGGGAGAGACAAGACCTCAATAAAACCCATATCCGGCACCAGCCACCCATGACTGCACAAGGAGATTCGGCTTTATGGAAAGGCTTTCCCAGGAGAGGTGAATTGTGGACGGGTAGAGAAGCTCAAAAAACTTTCTCACGTTGATTTTTTCAGAAGCCTTGCTTTCAAGAGGTCCTTTGTTTTTTGATTTTGGCCACCGCCCTGTTTGCACTGTGGATATTACTGAGAGTAGATGATATTAGTTTACTTCTTGTCAGTGGATTGAACCCAGCACCTTGGCCCCCAGGACCCGAAATCGGACAGCAGTGGTTCGATGAATTTCTGGTGGCTTTTCCAGATGACACATCCATCGTCAAGGTGGGGTTTTATGCATTTAGGATCAGCTGCGCGACGAATTGCTGTAGAAACGTCCATAAGTTGAGGCTTTTCCCTTGGATGATCCTGTCCCTTCGTAACTTCATGGGTTGCCACCAGCATCCATCAGCTGTGCACATTCCAGGTGCGTGTGAAGCAGCATGAGTCAAATGGCACTGCCTGGATCTCTCGGCGGTGTTCGTCTCCCCGCTTTGAGACGCTACAGATCCACCTAGGCCGGGACTCACAGGGGGAGCTGCAGGAGACCTGGAAAAGTACGGATTGGTAGACACGCTCAGGTCAGGATGCCTCTCCGTTGAAGGTGCCATGGCTGCCATGGCATTGGATTGCATTCTTATTGCTTTTTCATGCTTTTTCCACAATACTACAGCTCCATGGTCCATTCATTGATTCATGCAGAAATCTTGACCTGCGAACATTGCAAAAACACCGCCCTTGTGGAGCTTCCAAGGACATGCGGCATTTGGAATACACAGCTGGCAAGTCGGTGAGATTTGAGGTGAATTGCCGCAACCAGGTGGGACTCGGCACGGCATCGGGGTATGTCTTTGAAGCCTTGAAGTCGCAGGGCGTAGGGCACTTGACTCTCAAAAGAATCAGAGGCTCCTTTGTCAGATTTCGGTGAAACAGAGCAAAGCACAGTAAAACTGTAAAACTGTAAAACTATGTAAATATACCATGTTGACATAGCATGACACCAGTTGCAAGTTGCGAATTGTGTTCCAACCCATTTCTGCATGGGACCTGCAGGCTGCCAGGACAGAGTACCTTTACTTTGAGACTCCGCCCCTTGGGCAGCGAACCTTTCTTTTGGTATCAGTGTCTAAACCAGCATGCCATTTTTAATCAGTGGATTGAATCAGCCAACGTTCTCAACAAATGTGGTTTGATCTATCTATATAGAGTATATAAGTATATAGATCATTATAGATCCATATCTAATCTAGTATCTATATGTATATACATTAAGATTATAGATAGATACTAGTATAATATACAGTAGTATAATTACAAATTACATATATGGATTTACCTAATTTCAACATATCCAACACATGCTTTTGGCCGTGTGATCCAACCTGATCCAACCTCCACGGTCGCCATTTGGACTCAGCTTCCAGGTCCCTAGTCTTCGTGATCACCTCCAGCCATGCCTATGTGGACTTTAGAGACCGACCCGAGTCTCGTGGCAGACAACTCACCTTTTTTTAGGAACACGGAAAGATTTCAAAAACATGGAACAGATTTCAACTAATTTCAACTATTTCAAGTTTGGTAAGATCAGGGAACAATTATTTTCAATCGCAATGAGAATGGACATTTTTGCACAAATCTTTGCAGTTTTAACTTTCGACAAACTTTGACAGCCTGGTGCTCGAGCAAGGTTGGCCTTCAAGTACATGCATTTGGAGTGGAGCTCAGTCCCTATAGACCTGTCAGAAAAGCTAGATCAGCTTCTGTTTGAGATGAAATGGATGTTGGTAAAGTGAATCTTGACATACATCTTGGACATTCAAAGAAAAAGTTCCAGGAGAAGCGACTCTGCTGAGTTCAATGGCTTCGTTAGTCTCAAGAGACTCATGATCAGGTCTTGCGGTAGTCAGTCTCATCACAGTGATCGCTGCTGCACCCATATACCTTATTGACGAATATCCTCTGGCAACATTTCTACATGATACAGCAATGATACACTGCATATTTCGAGGATTTCATCGTCATGGAGGCTTTGCGGCCGCAGACCTTTTCCGGTTGCTTAGCAAATGGCGCGCCTGGTTGGTTTCGTCGTTTCGTCATGTTTCGTCATGCTGCCTTGGGCCTGAGATGGTCTGAGGCATTCTCCCAGAAATCTGGGATCTACAGCCAAGATCCGCCTTGGTGAATGCCATGTGCCAAAGCTGCATCTAAGTCTTGTTGCCAGGCTGTACTCACTGTACTCACCACTTTAGCTTCAAGTTCTTTGTGTTCTTTGTACTCTCTTTGTACTCGTCCAAAGTTCTTTGTCGATCTTTGTAGTCCTTAAAGACTCTGATTTGGGGAATTTTGGGGACCTGGGGAATCGCTCAACTTCGGATATCTCTTTTGCGAGGCCATTGCGACAATTGCAACATGTCTTGGCGAACAGAATTTGAGTCATTTGAGTCGAGTCCACGGAGTAGTACTGTAGATGTGCTGTACGAAGAATTTCCATTTTAAACTTTGGTATCCTTGGTTACCCTTGGTTCCAAGATTCCAAATTAATTCGTTCCACATTGATTAAGCAAGTCTCAATTGAGATTCCAAGATTAGTCAAGTGGATACCAGATGTTGTTGCAAGGCTGCAGCCCCCAGAAGGCATGTGAGAAGCTTAGCGTGTCCAAACAGAGCGTGTTCAGACCTGCTTTGGATATCAACTGATTTTAAGCATATTTTCAAACAGGAATTTCTGACTCAACAGAATGATAAAACTCAACAATTCAAAACTAACCTTGTTCCTGTCAGACACAATCTTGGGCCTTTCAACTTTGTGGAGCCCTTTGTTAGGCTTCTTCATTTGGTGCTTGGGCAAATGGCATCTCTTGAATCAGAGCTGACCAATGGCTGCTGATATACAGATATAGAAGATACCCAAGTGACCCCCGATGTGCAAGACCGTTTGAAGAAACATGGGTCTGCCAGATTCAAGGCCATGGGAGCCACTGATTTTTCTTTAACAATGTTTTATAAGTTAAGACAGTTAAGATAAGTACATCATTCAATTGTGAGGCTATTTGGATCCAGCATGATCCAACTTGAACCGCTGGTTGAGGCCCCAGCCATCGGTGACTCCAGAGCCCGTGCAGGTCTGCGAGGCACGAAGGACACGTTGGTCTGTCCCAGGCAGAAAGACTGGACTTGACTGGACTTGATTTGCTCAGACGATTTCATTGCACCATGTGGCACCTGACAGATCCCTGACTAGGCCAAGGCGCCAGCAGATTGCGTGGCCTGAGCTTTTTGCACTGTGGTGCGATTGGGTTGCGACCCGATCAAAATGACATTGTAAAAAGGTGGTCCGCGGGGTTGCACCATGAATCAGGAAGTCTGCTTTGATCTTAAATTTTCGATTCTTTGTAGTGTCAATTTCTTGCCAGTGCTTTGGAAAGGGTCCACGCAACATGACATTGGTATTGGTTATTGTACTCCTATCCACAATCCTCAGGTGTTGATAGTTTCAGTTGCAGTAGTAAAACCAGTAGCTGGCAGTTAGGTCATCAGGAAAGCCTTGGTCAAAGCATGAATTAGCTACTGATTCCACAGGTGACAAGTGCAACCCTGGGCAAACTTTGGTTGATGACTTGTCCGCCTAAATGAGGCAGAGTGGAAGATGATTGTGAGATCAAATCAAAAGCCAATAGTTGAGAGTTAGTCAGGTCTTTGGTGAATTTTGGTGAAAAAGCATCAGCCCCCGTTTCACAGCTGCGCGGGTCGGAATGTGGGCTGCGACAGCTCTTCTCGCAAAATGGATTCGCCAATCTGATTCAGGTGCTTGATGTTAGCAGCTGCTAGCATATCGGAGGAGCTAAGGAGCCCGGAATGATTAATAAAGAGCCTCAGCTACCCCCAAAATCACTCGGTCACTAGGTTGCTCTGTCCTATGGCGAAGGGTCTTGGCCTGTGCAAGGTTGACAGAGCTGCTGGGTCAAGCGTGCCCAAGCCCAAAGGCATCTCCGAGCCCAACCCGGACTCGGGATTATTTCATGAACTAGCACATGTTGTGAGGATATGTCAATCATTGATTTACCCCAAAAATGTCATGGTCGCACCAGTTTCATCCTATTCTTTGAGCACCAGGATGAACCCAGATGTAGCCCACAAAATTGGAAGGTTTCGGTTTTAGGATGTTTCAGGTTCATTCACTGAGTTTTACTATGTTTTACTGGAAAGACATGGAAAGACCAAGTTTGTGCGGCCTTTGGGCCCGGATTTTTCGGCTCCAGGGCTGAGCAGCAGTTGGCCGCGGAGCTGCCATGGCGTTGCTGCCATGGGCGCTGCTCTGGGTGCTGGGGACCTAGGACGAGTTGAAACGTTGCCCCAAAAAGGCAAAAAAGGCGAAGTACTCCATGTGTTTGACTGTTTGACTTCTTTCTTTTTTTGCTTCTTTTTGCACACTTGGATCACAAGCACGTTTAGTGAGATGGATATAGATGGATCAATGATAGCAGTAGTCACATCCTGATGACTCGCCCCAATGGACAGCTGTGTGAGGCTGTTGCCTCATGTGAACGCGAACTGGGAGATTGGTGCCCAGGGTGCCGTGGAGCAAAAGGGGGCGTTGGTCGGATGGGCTTCATAAATCCAAAATGCTTGAGAGGGAAAACATACACACAGATATACTGTATATATATATATATGTACAAAATATATATATCAATATATCATATAATTAATATATATATATATAATATACAACATATGAGCTGAAATATTGGTAAGAGCCTACGAATGGGATCGAGGAGGAACCTTGACTTTGGTCATAAAAACCGCAGCTTTGTTGTTCTTGGCTAGTGACCATGGTACTTTACCTCGAGATTCTTTGAATAAGAGTTCTCACTCTTTGACACAACGGTCTTCTCAGTGGTCGTGGTTCATAGTGGACTACCAAGCTTATCATTGTGGACTGCCTGAAATAGAACATTTGCCACTTTCTGGAAGGGTGTACATATTTGAAGCCGAGAAACGTTTTTTTTCTTTTTTTTATAGCTGGCATTAAATGCATTAAAGCCATTAAAAGTTGATATTTTGATATATTGTGAAAGGATGCACAACAGATGATGAAGCAGATCATGACATGAGCGCTGGCCTACGCAAAGAGCAGGGTCTGCGTTGCACCGTATCAAGTCTTGTTCCAAAGGTGGTTTGAATAGCGACTTTATTCCAGGGATTTTGTGTCAAGTTTCAACAGGTTTCACTGGTTTCACTCCACTGAGGCACTGAATCCCCGAAGGAATAGGTCGTACTGAGGTCGCAAATGGGATAGGACCGGATAGGATAGTCATTTCCTGACATTTCCTGTGTTGCCAGCTGCGAGGCGATAGTTGCGACACGACCTGTACAAACAACGGCGGGGCGACGTGCTCTGTCTCGGGCAATAGATCCTTGGTTAGAGTCTAAGGTAGTCTAAGATCCTCCATGGAGTCATCGGAAGGCTCCACTTGTCGAAGACTTGCATGTAGTAGATGTGATATCTGCAGGCAGAACTTGTGTGTTGATAAACGTGGTTGAAATTTAACATATTCGGGCCAGCAAGTATGTCAAGTAGGTCTTATCTGTCAGTGAATGTTAAGGCGAAGCAATCAGCATTGATTTAGAAGCCTCTGGCTGTTCCGTCGGTCTCTGGCACAGTGGCCTAATGGATGTGGGCCAAGGGATGTAAGAGCTAGTCTGTGTAAAAGCTAGATTGTGCAAAAGCTGGTTGGTGTAAAAGCTAGTTTGTGTAACAGCTAGTTTGCGTAAACGGTGGTTGGTGTATTGGTGGTGTAAAACTAGGTTTTGTAAAGGCTAGTTGATGTAAAAATTATACTGTGTGTGTGAACCACCTGAAGAGATGTAAAACTTATAACCTGATGTAAAACTTCCAACCTTCGGTTGCTTTATTTGAAATGCTTGTTCGGTTTTTTTACAAGGTTTTTCACAAGGTTTTTTCGCGACTGCATTTTCAAAGCAGGGGGCCAGGAACCCATCACTGTCCTGGCCAACGAAGACCAGACACTATGGGGGTGAAAACGTACCAGCAATTTTCCTGGTGATGGGACGTGGCAAACCCAAGAACCACCTTGCTGTTTTTCAATCAAACGTCAAACAATTGGTTGTCAACCTGATGTCAGCTTTTTTTACTTGTACGGTTTTCGCAATCTGATTGTCTCAACAATTTTGCACTTTCCTACCACATTGGCTATGGCAACAACACTGGCGATGGTACCTTCATGATACGTCCCTTCACTGACCCACTCCTGTCAAGTGTAACTGGGTCGTTTTTGCACGTAAGATGGTTCCACAACAGAATTCGCAATGACAGTTCTGAGCAAGTGTCTGAACTTGTTGCCTCTGACATGCATGCAGAAAGGTATACCAGCTTGGTACATTCCACAGGGCCAGGCCAGATGTGCCAATGAGAGCCATCAACAACATTGCTGGTTGCCTTGGCTTAACCCAACATGATGACCAATGGTGCCTGGGCCCTGGAATGCCTGTGGCAGAGATCCCTTGCGGTGTTAGCTCTTCCAGGTGGTGCTTGTCTGGGTGGATCCTTTCCAGAGAAGACCAAGAGAGATACAGGTCAGCATTTACCAGAAGGGGGATGATCAGAACAGTTTTTCTTTTAGGCTGCACGCTTGGGCTGCCCAGTGAAGCAATGAGGACCATTTTTGAATGGATGTACTGAGCAGCCACCAAGTTTCAACCAGCTAGTGCGCAAATCTGGCCCAAAGTTTCCATGGCTGTGCATACCTTGCATGCATCGCTGAAACAGCATGTCTATTTTTGATTGCAGCTATGCATGTGTTCTATCAACTGGCTGAGATTGCCAGCAGGTGCCAATCCAAACTCTTGCAGTGCTGAGGCAGTGCTGGGACAGCTGGTCCCTTCATGGTGGCCTTGCTTCTCCATTTGCCTGGGCCTAAGCCAAGATGGTGACCTGCATGTGCAAGCTGTGAAGGCAAAGCTACTGTGTTGGTTCAAAGATGTTGATCTTCCATGCAGCTGCTGTGTGCTCAAACCTGTTGAGAGCCCAGCCTTGCCTAGTAGCTTTCAATGCCTCAGCTATGGGCAGCTCATTGGCTTCTTCTGCCTACCACTGGTCGCAGGAGGAAGGGACTTGGGGGTGGAACTGTGGACAGACCTGGCTGTGGCAGGAGAGGCATTGTGCAATGAGCAGGCTGGGTGACAGCTGCAACTGTGATGATTGTGGCCTTGGGTGGTGGGCAGAGAATGGAGTTTGGAAGGGTTTTGCGCCACCAACCTTGGAAGGTTGGGAGGAGGAATGGAGGAAGTGGGAGGAGCAATGGAAGGAGGAGGAGAGGGCACAAACCCTGGTACTACTGGCGTGTTTGTGTGTAGAAAGCTAGCAGCTAGATTGTTCAAAAGCTAGTTTGTATACGAGGTATATTTGGTGTAAGAAAATAATTTGTGCGAAAACTAGTTTGTCTAAAAACTGGTTCACGCAAAAGCTAGCTTGTGCACAGTCAGTTGGTAAAAAACTGGTTGGTGTAACACCTTGATCACGTGAAAGGCAAAAGAAAGGTGTAAAAATGGTTGGCGCAAAAACTGTCTGTCGTAGCTCGCTTTTGCCTTGAGCATGCAACAGAACACTGAGAAAACGTGGAAAATGCAGCATTTTGGGGGCTGGCAGGAGTAACGAAAGACAAGACGTAGGTGGGACAAAGCCGCAGCGAGAAAGAGGAGGAAGAGGAGGAAACAGAAAGAGAGGCAAGAGGATGAAGGATGGTGAAGAGGGCGAAGGATGATGATGAAGATGAAGGATGAAGGAGAGGGGCGAGGGCACCCAAAGCAACCATTTTTGGAGGAGGAGATCCCAGGCATAGCCATAGGTAAAACTAGAACAAGGTCAAACTATTGCTGTAGCTGGGATTAGAACACAATCTACAGCTAGAACAAGATGAAACTATAGGTATGGCTGGAACTAGAACTCGATCCCAAAGTAGAACAAGATCAAACTATAGCTATAGCTGGAACTAGAATTCAATCTCAAAGTAGAACAAACTAAAGCTAGGGATCCATAGAAGAAACTGAGGCAGAAATTAAAATTATAAGGCAAGCAAAGCCAGGAGATCTAGGAGAAGATGGAGCAAAGGAAAGACAACACACACACAAACTAATGTAGGAGACCTATAGAACATGCTTAAGATTGGGAATCGATAGCACAAACTCAAACTCTATATAAAAAACAAGTAAAACTGGGAGATCTTTTTTGAACAAACAACCAACATTGCAAATAACAAACTAGAGTTGGGACTAAAATCGAACGTGTACCAAACCACAGCAACGCAAGTAAAACTAAAATCCACGAACAAGATCTAAGGATGAAACATAACTAGTATACAAGGATTTGTAACAAGGACATCCACAAAAGCGGTGGGAGGCCGGCGGATTTAGTACAAAGGCTCGACGTGGATATTGTCGCAATGGGTTTGGTGAATTCCGCATGCCTGGCTGCCTGGCTTCCCTGGTTTCTTTGTCCTTCAAAGTGCTAAGCACTTTTGAAGGGTCTGCCTCTCTTGAGAAATGTCTTTACAATGGTTTCCAAGTATATATTCATTTTCGATACTTCACTCTTTTATTCATTCGGCACTTGTTTGAACATTTTTCTCCCAAAGACTTTGCATTGTGCCATTTTTCTCAGACCTTTCTATTTCGTTAAAAGGCTGTTTGGCAGAGACAGTAAATGCAGCGCTCACACAACTAAGAACAATTAAACAGCAACTTTGAATTTGACTACGTTCCTTGGTTTGCAGTTGGTGCCCATGCGACTGGCTAGGGAGTGTGATTCTAGTAGGGATCCAGGATCCTTGTCAAGCTTTACCCTGACAATAGCCCTGTGGAATTTGTTTCCTATTGCACCTTGAATCTCACACATCAGAAAAAAATGATTTTGACAGGAAGATCAAGATCAATAAAGTGAACAGATATGGCTGTGTGATTCTCTACGAGACCTTTTGGTGAGACCGGAGGAAACCGGAGGTGGAGGTAAGCGCGGGAGACCTGTTCTTTCCAGGTCTTCGCTGACTTGGTCAGTCGGGGCCTCATCCCTGCGGAATACTCTGCGTGCGACTCGTACCAAAGACTCACGCGACTTGGCTGGATTTCAAGGCACGAAGAGATGGACGGGGTCACAAGCTATCGGAGGGGCTTAGTCAGAAGCCTTTGGTTTGAAATCCATACAGAGGTTGCAGAAACCATTGCAAATAGTGAGTGAATATCGATATATCGATATATATATAATATATATATAATATATATATATAATATAATATATATATAATATATAATATATATATAATATAATATAATATAATATAATATAATATAATATAATATAATATAATATAATATATAATATAATATAATATAATATAATAGTCCGTTGAAACCCTTCCTTCATGGTGGCGCAGCATCCAGATCAACTGATAGATTGTCAGTGGGAACAGACAAGGCAATGGGTTTTGGGACAACAACATTTTGAATCATTTTGAACAATTCGTACCGACTGAGTATGTCAACTGCCGAGGGATGCCGGTGTTTCAGCACAGCCTGGTACCATTTACTTCGAGGGATACTTGCCGCCGGTTTGCTACCAATACTCGGACGAGAGCACATGCGCTGGCATCGCTGGTGGCTTGGGTTTGGGTGACCTGTGGTATTGGAGCAAGAATGCTGAGATATTCCTTCATACATAATTATTCAGACATGCTCTTGATGTCCAATGATTGTGTCAATGATAAACTCCAATTGAAAAGACTCCAGCAATGATACTTGAGCATTTTGTTGTGGCATTTGTTGTGTTTCTGTGTTTCTACTGGAGAAGCTATGAAGGTCAGAGGCAAGCACACATACCGTGAGAACATTTTGGGTGTTCCCTAGTAGGGGAAGGTTCATAAGGCCCTTCGAACCAACTAAGGTCACTCTGCAGCAGTAATGGGATTCCGACTGCCAATACCAAATCAATGTTTTCACTATAGCAAACATGTTTCCAGCTTCCAAGTTAAGCTCTTACTCAGACGCGGCATGTGTTTACACTCAATAACAGCTTGATGCTACAGAGAATGACCACCCAGGGTCAAATGCGACAGCTGGCTGTTTTTAGTCCTCTCGTCCTTACCTATATTTGTAAAGCCAATCGCATGTTGAATAGCACTGGCAACCCCGGGTTTTATGGGAGCGGAGCACTTGCACAAACTGCCTGGACTGAGAAACGCATGTGCATCAAAACATCAAGCTACAAACGACCTCAGACTCGTCGACTCGTATATATGTATATATCATTTTGAACATGCACACAAAATTCTGTCGGCGAATTTCAAATTTGTCTTCCGGATCTGGAAGCCCCACCTACAAAAAGCGCTTTTCGCATTGTCAGATGGCGCTGCCGCAACCGTCTTACGGCGCATTTGCTGTTGCTTGCCGAACCCCGGCGATGATTTTACCACAGCATGCTTCGTCCCAAACTCAGTGGCAGTTGGAATCTCCAGCAGCGACTCAAGCTTTAAACATGAACCATCCCAGAGGCGGAAGGACATCTGTTTTTCAGATCCTTTGAGTAGGATTGGACGGATGGGACGGATTTGATGTTGTACTTTGGAAGCCTTTCAGTGTTTTCTTTAGCCGGGAGCTGATTTATTAAGTACTGTGGAATTTGAAACCAGCCATGCTTTGTCATCCGTCGAAAGACTGGATTAAGATGGATTAAGCATACATACAATGATGCTATTTATATATCTATTGATCATGTTTCAGGACCAAGGATTTTGACAATCACACAATCACCAACATCTAGGTGCCTACAACGACAACTTCAACGGCAACGACAGAAACAACCACCACTGTGACCAGTTTGACTAGCACCACCTCAACCACAGAGACAAAGTGCCTTGGTCTTAAAGCATATATACATATACTCTACCCGACTGTACCCCAAACATTGAAAGATGGAACTTGTCGGGAATGTGCTCCAAAGCAAGATAGCATGTTGTCAATATTTTGGTGCGGGTGAAACGGAAGGGAAAGGTAGTGAGATTCAAATTGGGCATTAATTGGAACAAATGTGTGTGTCATTACGGGGATTTCTGGCTTAGGCTTAGGGATTTCTGGCTTCAAATCTATTGTATGTCTCAGTGCCACACTGCTTACGGGAAGCGCAGTCTTGCTTTGTTCTACTAAGGACATCATCGACAACTGCACCTTTGCCTCTATGGGTCACGTTGGGTGGTGAAATGCCAAGGGCGACTGCATGAATCACATGGCTATTTGATGCTATTTTTTGGGATCCCGGTATCTCGCCTTTTCAGATAAAATGGGTATGTAATTGTTACACATGGTTTTTCGAGTGAATTCCATGAATGAAGTCTCCCTCTTCCTCCGAACCAACAATGGTGTATGCCATGGTCCGCGATGAAAGTCTGGCTCCATTGCTGTGTGTCTTCATCCCTACTCCGTTTCGATTGACATGTTCCCCAAGCTTCATTTGTCGCCGTTTATCCCGGCAGATTGCTGATGCCCAGATGTGCCAAGGAGACTACAACTATGACCACCTCGATGGCGCGTGGGGGGATGAAGCTGTGGGTATGCCGACGCAATGGACCTAAAAACCTACAAATCATCAACAGTTAACTTAACATAACTTAACTCATCTATTCCAGAGGCATATTGTATGGATTTCTATGGTCTGTTCAAGTGTCATTTCAGGAGCTGAGGATTTGCTGAGTTTTCTGCTGGAACTTGGAAGAGCATTTGGAACTGTTCCGGATGTGAGAAAATGACACAAAAGGAATGTCGAAGTTGGTTGAACCCCATTGCAGTTTAACATCCCCTGAATCCACTGCAATTGTGGGGATGTTCACAGCCTCAAGAAAGTCGACAGTTCTGCCGCCATCTGATTCACTGCCAGACAAGTACCTCAACCACAAGTACGTCAACCACAAGCAGTAGCACTACCAGCACTGTAGTCACTACCACTTACACAGGAACCACTCAGACCACCACTTCAGCAACTTGGCGGAAGCACTGCAGGTAGTTGGGAAAGCTGGTTTACCATTTTTTTCTGGCTCAAAAACGGGGGTACCAGTGACAAACTCGGTCATGTTTAGTACCTAAGTACTAGATAGTACTAGTCCACCCATTTTCTGTACTTTGAGATGGGTTTACATTTCTGAAGATTGTTTGATAATGTTTGATGATGGTTTAATGGATTTTAATGGATTTTAATGCCTTATTCTTAAGGTTACTAATGGGTTTCACGCCTAGCCATCGCCCAGCCGCCCAGGTCACCGCCACCACTGCCACCATGACGGGCACCGGCACGGAGTCGTCCATCACGGTGACCTACACCAGCATCACGAGCTCAGTCACGGTCAGCTCCACGATGACCACCACCTTCACGAGCACAACATCTTCAACGATCAGCACTACTGTAGTGACTCACACTGCCACCAGTGTCACCACAAGTCACCTGGCTATCCTGGCTGGCAGAGGATTGGTAGCTGGGATAGGCTCAGCAATTGAGGGTTGGAGTGACCCCACTTCATGGCGAGCTCGTTGACATCTCAGGTTCCACGACCGTAACAACCACCACATCATCAACGACTGCTTGAAGCCCCAGAGTTCTGGGGTCTTTAAGGATCGGGATACCTTTTGAAGATGCAGAGGTCTGGAGAAACAAAGTGGAAAAACGTGATGGCGAGTTGGGTATGTGTGTATATATATATGTATATGTATATAGATATTTTGTGTATATCATGAGCTTTGTAGAAGGACACACTACTGGAGCAGCTTGATGCTGTATAAGTCACAATGAAATGTTGCAGGTTTTCCTTCACAATTTTGACTCGGGCAACGAAATGTTCTGCTCTGGTACCAAATTGACATGTCTCAAAGTTGGTCCCCCATTGAGCCACCTGGGGTGCTCGTCCAGCTCCTTGAAGGTGACACAAGCTGCGAACACTTTGGTCACGCGAGTCGTGTGCTGACCTGAGAGTGTGCGACCGCTGACGCTCTGTGGAGTTTTTTTTTCTATGCTGCACTCCACATAGCGGAAAACCAATTCCAAGAAGCATTATCTCTTGGTTTGGTTCTTTTTCCAATGCTTTGATTGGAGTTCGTGCTATTTTATGATGTCCCTCATCCAACAGCAGTGGAAAACCAGCAGTGATGTGATCTTCAAAAGACTGTCGTTCCCTGGCTTCGATCAGTGCCGAGGCCAGCTGGATCCTCCCAGATTCCAATCGCAGATCGCACGGGCTTCTCGGAAGGCCGGGTCCGTGACTACACTGTCAGACTATGCTGGGACCCTGCCACCCCTGGGGCCAGGTGCGATCCTCATTTTGATGTTTATGATTTTTTTTGTGACACTCGTGGTATCTCGTGGTCAGGCGATGTAATCCTACTTCGGAATCGGGAAGTGGTCAGCGAACTCAGAGTCTCAGCGACTTCCGGTGAAGGCAATCATGATCGTACTTTGCAATGCTCTTTGCAATGCTCTTTGCAATGCTCTTTGCAATGCTCTTTGCAATGCTCTTTGCAATGCTTGGGCTCAGGTTGTAATCGAAAATATCACGGACGATGTTGGAGGTCGCAGATTGGCCCAAGCCTCGGCCAACTGGACAGGCAACACAGGCCACACCGTGCAGACCCCAGCAACCCCAGCAGCCCCAGGCTGGAGACGAATCGGATTCAGCTTACGGACGCATCTTGTCCGCTGCTGTGCCGGCCATTTTGGAGGCTGTGGACCTGGTTTGCAGGGACCTGTGGATGGGCACAACTTTGACAGCGTAAAGTCGCAATAATAGTACTTGTTTGGAATTGTGCAAACATGATGAGCATCATCAGTTTTTAAGTGAGAACTAGGTCTTAGTTGAGCCACCCAAGTGTGAGCATTTTTCCGACCGACCAAAGGATATTGAGTGGAATAGATACGGATCCGCAAAGTGGACAACGAAAATCCTGCGTTATTGGATTCTGATGAAGAGCCACTTAGTTCCTTTGATTTGATGTTGAAATTGTGTGCTTCCATTTGTTCCAGGTGGATCCTCCCGTGGAGAAGGCCTACAGTCCAGGGGACAGCCTGAAAAACCTGGGTCCTTCAGCCACTTACACGGGCAGAGCCTTGGTAGCACTGGGCAATCTGTTGATGAAAATCCTGAAGACCAGGGATTTTCCATAAGATTTTCCATGTCTATGTTTACGTGAGTTCACCTCAGGGTAAACGAGATTCTGACAGATGATCATCAATGCCGCAAAATCTAGATATCGACTGAACAAATCCACTTCCGTCAGGTCTGGAAACTGCTCAGTTGGTATTGATGGAGTTGCCAAGCAAGTTGTTTCTGTTAATCAAACCACATTGACGTCAGTCGACCGGGCTTCATGGTGCCCCCTAGGCGATCCGATCACCTTCCATGGTGTGTTGCTCAGATGTAGTGTGGGCCCTCTTGCTGAAAAAGATCTGAAATTATTGCTGCAGGATTTGAGGTCTTTTCAATTTTGTCCGTGTCCAAGGCGACAAAAAGTTTAAGTTCTGGGTGCCGAACCACCAGGCAGCTTGGACAGACGCTGACCATCTCTCTCCCTCTCTCTCTCTCTCTGTGTACCGTTTGCGTAGACGTAAAACTTCCATGTGTTTTTTCCTGAAATTTCTACAAGGTCGTCGCTGCCTTGTCAACTTGGATGAAACAGTTTGTTTTTCAACAAGGTCTTCATCGGGATCGTTAAGTGTCAACACAATGGACGGATGACGGTGACAAATTGTCAACTGTCGATGGAAGCTGGATCGAAACCCTTCTCTCTTTGCTTTTTCTCTTCGATCTCTTCGATTCTCGCTATTTCTCCTCCTGTCATTGTTTTGCGGATGCACTCCAACATCCAAATTCGAAACGTTCTGAGATGTTCTGAGCAAGTGTGGGGGCAGCAAGGGTACATTGCGCTGATTTGGGTATGACATATGTGTAAATGATCAAAAACTGCAGTTCATTCTTGGAGATGAGACGTCTTAGTAAGGGACAGGAATTTGTTCAAGATGGAGTCATCCTTGACCAACTGAGGAGTTCTTGATGCTGGAGACGAGCGACTTGCGAGTCTTTGGACGAACCTTCCCAGGACCTGGAAGCCCCAGATTTTACAAAGCTTACAGTCAGGGGCCACATTAAGGCGCCATATTTTCATCCCATTGGCCCAGTCTCTGCAGAATTGAAAGCAAGGGGGCAACACCCAAGGTGCGACTCCACCATGACCCTGCGTCCCCAGCGCAAGCCATCCTGCAGGACCAAAGTCTGATCAGCAGTGGTTCGGAAATTTCCGAGTGGTCTTATCAGATGACACTCCAGTGATGGAGGCCAAATTTGGAACAGGTCAACCCTCACGGTTCACACAAAATAGGCAAAACCCCTTTCAACAACCGTCAAGAAACTGTTTTGGGACCCTGGAGAAACATCGAAACCCGAAGGCAAGTTACCAGGAGTTTTACCACTTAAGCCATTTCGTGGCCTGTAGCCCTTTGCTTCCGAGATCCAATGGCAGTGTTGTTTTTCCCTCTCCATCATGATCCTGACCTTGAAACAGGTGAACATCAAAAGACCGGCCGCGAACCACAGCAGAGTTACGTCCCTTGGCAATTGACCAGATGAATTTTGATGAATTTTGATGAATCTTGATGAATTTTGGTGAATCTTGATGCATTTTGATGAATTTTGAATAATTTTGATGAATTTTGATGAATTTTGATGAATTTTGTCTATAAGGCTGTGCAAAATGTAGCTCCAAATCCCCCTGGGCCAGCGTCGTCCTGCAACATGGCTTTATCGAGGCGGTGCTCTTCACGTAGAATGGACTCCATGGATGTTTTCCTGGGTCACTGGGCTAACTTGGGACATCTGGCCATGCCGTGTCTGTGCTTGGAATTGGCGCCATGAAACCAAGTGGTTTACATAATGTCCAAACGGGGGAAGAACACTTTTACTTGAATGGGAATGGGCCAAACCCCATGGTTGTAGATGGGCGGTAGTGGGAAATCCAATAGATTTGAATTTCGTTTCATGTGGTCTCATGGCAGGTTTGATCTACTACGTACCGGTATGCACAATGAAATGGAGACACTATCTAGTGATATCTAGTGGGACAGCAAAAGAATGTGGAGCCAAGGTCAGTCGAAATCTCCACTCCTGGAAATGCAGCGTCCGGTTCCGAGAGATTTGGAAATTGGGTTCTTAGTTTCACGCCCGTCGCATCACGGCAGGCGTTTCCATTGCACCCAGGTTTTTTTGGGTGAACCCCAGAAACTGGTAACTCAATGTTGCAAATATGGTTGAAATGGCAACTTCCAGCTCCAAAATGCTGCAAATCAGAAGGAAAACAGACAGAAGTGGAAAACAAACAAATCCCAAATGGAAAAAAACAAGAAAAATGCTCCAAATGCATCCAAATGCTGCTCACCCATTTGAATTGATTGGATTCTGTCAAATGACGTCATCTCAGGCCGTCCCATGGAGTTCACAGCAGGCAGGGAATCGGGAGACCTTTGGAATAGGCTGATATGATCCCATGATATCCCATGGTGATCCATGGTGATCCGTGGGGATTTGGGACAAACACTTCGACACTTCGACAGTTTTCTTGGATTTTCTTGGTCTCTTTCAGGAGCCGGATCCTGCTACATTCCAAATTTGCGTGTTGTGAGCGAAGTAGCAGTTGGTGCACAATGGTGCCTGCTTGCTAGGAGAATCATTGGTGCATGTTGTTTGCCTTGCCACAAATCCTGCAGTAAAACATACGCCCATGGCATCGGGAACCAATGAGTTTGCATTATGTTTCAGGCGAGATGCATATTTTGCATCTACAGAGTTGGCATCACGCATGTCCGGTCCTTCTCGCGTCAACGTAGCAGGTGATGATGTTCGGTTCATCATTGACTGCCGGCAGCAGGACCGGGTTCTCCAGGGAGCAATTCACGTATTTTTCCCGTCGGTCGGATGCTATTGCCTGAGCAGCTAGTACAAGATTTCTCTTGACAGTGAAAGTCTTGCCCTAAATACGGGTTGCACGGTCTGTCTCACCCATCCGTCTCCTGTTCCTAGTTAGCTAGGCTTCCGAGGGACTATATATGAAGATCTTTGTAGAGCGTTGACAATGGGGGACCAACCCGTCCCGTACACACGACCATGCATGAAGATCCCTATTGAACAGCTTCTATATGCCGTATCTCTTGGTCGTTAAAAGAACATATCTGGGCATAGGTTAAATTTATCACACCCGAAATGGATGGATTAACATGGATTAACAATATATAATTATATAATATAATAAAATCAGTTTTGTGGGTCCATTGGTAGCCCGTTCTTGACTCATACCCATGTGGGGGCATTACGGGGGCACGTGAAGCGATTGGCTCCTAGGACCGGCCTCTTTTGGCCTCGTCACGAACAGAGTACATCCATTTCGAGACGCCTTCCATTGCGACTTGCCAAATGCCAGGGTGGTTTGGATGTCGGTGACATGCACTCCGTCTCAGGGTGACCATGACAATGGTTACCCTCCATCCTTTCTGTTGAGCCAGATGGGAAATCGACGATTAAAAGGTCGATGTCCAAAAGACGGAAACTATTGGTGAATCTCCATCTCAACTTCAGTGATAGGCACGCCGGATGAGATGTGCTACAATGGCTTGCAGGGAATGTCCCATTTCCACACAAATTTAGGTCTTAAGGGGCCGTATGGCATTTTCTGTATCTGTTTTCTCGTGAGGTTTTGGGTCTGGTCCAAATGGCCCCCAGGCCTTTTCTAGACTAAGGGCTTCTTGATCGTGGCTGCTCATGCTGGCAACGAGTTCCCAGATGACTGGAGGCTGCTTCTTCCCAGTGCAATTGCTTGGTTGTGATGCAGTGTTTTTGAGAAAAGTTTTTGGAAAGAACATTGCAGGTAAAGCCGACCAGAAACTTAACTACATCAATGGATTTTCCTGCAAATCTGAGCTTGCTTTGAAACCAGCAGCTGATTTTCGGGAGGTGGTTTGCAAGCCGCACGGGGCAACAGATGGAGACCCCCTGTCAGTATGCAAGTACCCTGGCAGGTTGCAGTTGAAATACATGCACCTTGTCAGGGGCACTCAGTGATCATTGGATGCTTCAGGTTGATGGAGGTGTACCAACTAGCTTAATGGGGATTCTAGCTGATTCTACAGCTAATCAGCTAATCCAATGTGGGACACCTATGAATCAACCTGTGGGAAGGGGATTACGGGGGGAAAGGGGGTTTGGCACTTCTCATGTGCTGATGTGTTTTTTTACTTGTGGGTTATTGTGACGGACAGATAGACATAGTGAGTGAAGTGGTTCGCGCAGAGTGACGCAAATCCGATAATACTCGTACATCCGGCACCCTTTGAAACATGAAACTTTAGTTTCCCCTGAACCCCGCCTGGTTAGATATTAGCACCCAGACACCCTTGGTCGATGAGGATCTTCTGATACTCGAGATGCCACGGAAGAATGAGTTCAAAGGCTGCCTGATAGTGTCGCCGTTTCACAAGATATGTAGAATGTCAAGATAGAAGGTTGCAATGAGTTGATTTGATGGGGTAAATATGCACCACTAATGTCATCGAACGATTCAAAGTTGCAGAAACTGGAATTTGTCTTATATTCTGGTTCCTCTGTGAGTGGCAAAAGCAATCAAGAGCTCAACATCTTCTGGCATAGATGGAATATGAACGAATATGGCCTAGTGCCAGTGTAGTGACCAGTGTAGTGTGCAAGTGTAGTGTGCCAGTAGACCACCATGTGTTCAGGCATCCTGCCTGAGATTTGGGGCATTGTCCCTCGATCTCCAGAAGTAGAAGCAATGCTGCTCGGCGGCACCTTGGGTTTGGATGAGCTTGTGGGTTGGAGATCTTCGGACCTGAAGTTGCAGCTTCTACGAGGAGTTGGACCATGCTGGTTCTTTGACATTGGATGATCAGCATTTTCTGAGCATCATTCTATACCGGGGTCTTGGAGCGCCACTTCTGTGCTGTGTGGGGATGTGGGGTCACCTCCAGATCTCCGAGGGACTCGTGGATTGAGGTTATCTCCCCCGGAGACAGAAGAGACAGAGCTGGGATGCCCAGCCCGAGCTTTCAAACATGAAAGATGAAAGGTCCACACCACAATACACCACACCAACCTTTTGAATCTTTATGTCAATTTCAAGTCCATGGCTGTGGGGAAGCAGACAGGTTGCACGATGTCTCCATTCGTCTGCATTTGAATTTGAAAGTATCCTCAAGCTCATGAGATGGTCATCGATATGTTGCTCTTGCATTTTTGGAACCACCGTTGCCCCAGAAAACAACTTAATTTGAGATATTGAAATATTGATATCCCACAACTTGCGTTGTCTTAAAATAGGGCACCCCAACATCTCATTCTCATCAAATTGTTGTATCAAAATGGACATTTTCCGATGTGGTCATATTAGTCATTATTAGTCATATATCCCCCATTTTCAGCGCCGAATCCCTTCGCCAAAGGCTGGCTCCAAGAGTGTGCCAGGAAGATCGGCTGAGGTGGAAATCAGATCGGGGCTCCGGTCAGATGGGCTGACACCTTAAGTGAATGGAGGGATGAACATCTTAAGCAGAGATAGCAGAGATAGCAGCTACTTTGATATAATCTGATATAACAAGAGGACCAGGGGATACCAGGGGTTTGATCCATTGCATTTGTTGCCAAATGAACTACTGTAATTATACTGCATACCGCATACCATACCAAACTGTTGGATGTATTCATTCTATTTCCCCAAAGTGGATTGTTGCTAGTTGATTGCAAACCGTTGAACTGGTTCGGCATTCACACGCAGACAAGTATATGATGCTCGTCGATTCCAACACAAACTTTAAGTGTCTCGAACAGCAAGCTGAGAGTTTCTTTCGAAGTTTGTATATCTTTATCAAGAAAGCTAGCTTCTGCTAGCTAAAGTCCCTCTTGCTTTAGCAAGATAATTACTGGGGGCTGGAATCTCCAACCCGTGAAACTTCAGTTAACTACTCAGTCACAAGCAGTTTTCATGGGCAGCATCCGCATCCTCTGCATCATTGGCATCGTCAATAGGGCATGGTTTAATAGATTACTGTACTATCTTTGGGAAGATGAATATCCGTCACTCAATGGGAATTTCAGGATCCTAAAATGGAGGTACTGTACCATATAAGGCCATATTTTGGGGGGATATTCCCTTACATAGGCCTTACACAGGCCTTACACAGGCCTTACACAGGCCTTATATATGGTAGGTACCTCCAGTTTAGGTTCCTGGAATGGCCATTGAGAGTCACAGCTTTTCATCATGTGTAATTAATGCCTTGTGTGTTTTCATGCCCAGCTCCCTGCCGAGCTAGCTTTCGTCCCTTACCACTGGGCCTCAAGTTTGGATATTTTTCTTCATGCACAGGGGTTGGTGCAGGCAAGGTGGCTCTCCCGTGTGTCTGAGCTGATTGCCGTGATCTCAAGCACTAGAGAGCAAAGAAGTTGGGCCTTGGCTAAGACTGCTGTTGCAGGCTGTTGTCAGGAAATCTTGGCAAGTCCGCTTGGATTTTGTTAGATTTTGATGGATTTTTTTCGCTTTGGACTTCTTTTGCCCGATCACCCGTCATGTACATGTCAAACAATGTTTCACCGCTGTGCCACGTAAATTGCAGGCGCAAAATATGTCGCAGTTAGCGGCTAACCTTACAGTGCCAGGGGTTTGCGTATTAGAAACCATTGACCTATGGAGTTTTGATTTATTGGGTGCCATTCACATTCTGATTGGGGCTCGAAATCATTAAGCGCCAAATAGGTTGATACAGGCAGTACCGCAGCCAGGTATTGGGCCTGATCAAACGCCATAGATCTGGAGTGGGAGGAGGCCTTTGCCACAAAGTTTAGGCATATTGAACTAAAGTCAAGAGTATTGAACTATATAGCTGAATAACCTTTTGGCATGCAGACTGAACCAATTCACATCCTTTAACAACTCATCATTGAACATTGCAAAACCATGCAAAACCATCCCATGACATGGGTCAAAGCATAGCTTTTCAATAGGACTTGTCCATGCATAGCAGTGGATTTTCATTCAATATTTGACATCGGCCAGTTGACATGCCAATGCCATGGCCGGTGTCCAATGGAATTCCTTGCGTGACTTTGCCGGCTTTCGCGGGGTCGAGCGCAAGCCGGCCACGGGGCGCTTGGCGGTGTCGGGGTGCTTGGATATGGAAGGGTCATCCTTTTCAAACTTAGGTCAGTCAGCTGATTTGCCACTAGATTCAACGTTTTTTTTTTAAAATCTTTCTCATCAATAAATACCAGGTCCTTTAGGGAGGCATGCGTGGAAGTACTTTGCGGACTGAGAAGAGGTACACCTGTCTATCTCTCAAAGTTGATCTGAAAAAGCCATAATATGGATCCAAATGGCTATTTAAATTATTTGGATATAGTACCGGGTTGGTACCGCATGAGGCCCGTGCTCCAAGAGTGTTTTCGTTCACCTCGAGGCCTCCCAGCGATGAGGTGGTCACGGCCCCGGCGCCACTGAGTGCGGCTGATAAGGTGAAGCAGCGCCTGGCGGCTTTGAGAGGTGATGGATTGCCAGTCTGTTGAAGTCTGTTGAAGTCTGTTGGATGTTTTAGAAGGTGGATATATTCCATCAATTTTAATCCGAAAAAGTGATTTGGTTAGTTTGGTTGGTGTTTTGAAAGTCTTGGGAAAGCTCCCACTTTGCCATGATGATGTGATTTGGTGAACCTCGTATTTAGAGGCATATTGACATTGAGTTCCAGCAGTCTTGCTGTCGGGCACGGAAGTGTCCTTCAGAACTAGCTTGACAGGCAGTGCTGCGCCTGCGGCCCGTGTGGCCGGCATTGCGCAGTGCCCTGAGCGAAAAACCAAAGAGGAGGCTTGGAACTCGAGAAACCCTTGGTTGTTGCAGTTGTTGCCCTACAGTTGGAACTGGACGGCTTCATTCATACTAGCTTCAGGATACGCAGAACTGTGCAAAGTGTTGAAGGAATCTCATGTTTTCGTGACGTCTCCGCTGCTTTGCCACATTTTTTTCGCATGGAATGTAATGGGACCTGATAGATCAAAAACCCTTTCCCTCAGGAGCCGGCTGACCTGCTGGCCTTCCACTGCACCGGCAAGCGCTGTGGTCACCACTGGGTCACTGGACGTGGAGTCACCAGTTCGGAGCAGCCTCATGGCTGGAGAAGTTATTGCCCCTAGTGGTTCGCAGTGGATCGACTGCTCTTCCAAAATGGCGATGTACACCGGCCCTGACAAAAGAGATAGCGCTGGTAACCGCTGGTAATACGTATATAGTCATATGTAATCTTGGCAATGGCCAACCCTGATTTTCAATACTTAGATCATAGATTATCCACAAACAGGTGATTTCTATTGCCAGGTTGCAGTACCAGAGGGTAAATCATGGGCAAGCCGTGCGCTTGGTTTTGGGAATGATTCGCTTTGCTGCCAACGTATCAGGATTTGCAAATGTTGTGGCGAATCTGTGGTGGGAGTGCCGAGCAAAGGAAGCATCTTTTGCGAGATTGACCAGGACTGGGGCAATGGTTGCCAATCCAAGATGGCAAGATGGCTATTCCATGGAACTTTGATTAAATCAATGGAACGAATTGAAAGAGTGTGAATTGACAGTATCTCAAGAAGTCATACTTGGGTTGATTGAACATGAAATTGTTCTAGCGGATGCTAAAGACGCCACTAAATCCTGCTGCAAAACGCAGATGAGTAGACAATCCCTTTCCCAAATATCGGCTTGGGGGCCCTCAATGCTCCCCATCTATTTGACATCTGACACAATGGCAGGAGGCTGCAACTAGCGCTGGCGAGGCGCGTCATGGTCATGGTCATGGCGTTTCTGATGGTTTTGCTTCTGATGGCGGGTAGTGAATAAATTTGAAAAACCAAAATAAAGTGCTTCTATTGCGGCCAAACAATATTTGACACCCCAGAAACGCTGTGAACTTGCCTCGTGGGTCAAAGATTTCGCGTGAAGAACGATGTAACGAGCTGAGTATTGTCAGCACTGAGTGCAGGTGGTGAAGATACGCCTGGAACAGCATGTGGCGCCCGGCTGGGCCACCTTGGAACTGGAGGCTGGGTGTGAGAACTCGAACAATGTTGGAACATGTTGGAACGAGATATTGACCCTCAAATCCGTTGGGTTTGATTTTAGTCAGTTCATGTTAGTTCTATGATATATGAACTGACTAAAATCCATTTTAGTTCCATATTGTTCTATGGATTTCTATGGTATATAAATTATGCAAAGTGATTCTTAGCAAATTGATGGGATCATCACGATCAATCATGGTGAAGATCTATTCATCCCACATGACAGGTGCAACAGGAGACTCTCAGACTCACCAGGATCAATCGTTCCACAAAAAATGCATCTTTGATCATCTTTGCATATTAAGAAACGACAACTGGATCTTTCCGATCTTTCCTCATCCAGCCCAAGCCTTCAGGACCGCTTGGTGGACTTTGTTCGTTCCTCGGTTGCGTGGATGGGGAAGGAACTCGGGGTTTCTGAGTAAATGGTGCTCTGTTTGGAAGCTCGGAGCATGCACTCACATTGGCTCAGTTGCTCTCATAGATCAGTTCATCAGTTCCATTTGATTTTCCATTTAGGGATTCTGGAAGATTCTGGAAGATGCCATGGCTACAGGTCCAGAGTCATAGCAGCTAGGCGCGGGGATTGAGGCTCTGAAGTCAGATTTATCTCCCAATTCTTCGACGAAGATGGTGTGAGGGATTATGTGGCTTACCGCAACTGGACAGCACGAGGAACTGAAGCACTGGACTGTTCAGTCGGCTTCAAGTGGGGACCCATGGCTGAAGCACTTGAATCATGGGATGCCATGCTGATGGATCCTGCTGCTTGAGGTCAAGGGAAGTCCCTGGAGGGTGATGAAGGCCGAGATCGCAACAAGGAGCTGCAAAATGGTCTCCAGATCAGGGCTTGTTCTCATCATTTGTTTGTCCAAACTCTGTGGAGCATGTCTTCTGAACATCTTTCACAGTTCGTAGATTGGAAAAGCCAAGATTATCCAAGACCAACATGAAAATCTTCATCTCAACGAATCTTCATGAGACTTGTGAGATGTTTGATGTTTGAACCACTGTTAAACGGACAGTTGCAGGATGCCCTCTTGATGGACAGTATGTGCAATGTGGTGGATGCCTTGTGCAAGGCGAGTTTGTACCTAACAGTGATACTGCAACAATCATCATATTTTGCTTATGATCATGGATCGATTATGATCGATTCATTGTCAAAGCTGATCATGATGATCATGCTGATCATGCTGATCAATGATCTGGAAATTACGAACTTTCTGCTGCTGCATCCCTATCTCCGAGCTCTGCCCTGGGTCAACCATGTCAACCGCAACGATTCCGCAGGCGGAGTTCACCGGCAGCCTCCGTGCGGGTGAGGCAGATGCCAAGTTGCAGGCTCTGCTGAAGGGCCAGATGAAGTTTTCGGTGCTGCCACCTGGCAGCTTTCAGTAGCATTCGGTTCAGGTACCATAGGACCTGATGTTTCCTTGCATGAATCGACCTTGCGGGGAAGCTGAAAATATGTTTCTTCTTTTTTTTTACCGCATAGTCTTTTATTTGAACATGCAAAAACAGAAGCAATCTGTTGCACGAGTCCAGAGAAGAAAGGCATTGTACAGATTTGCTCGGAAGCAGATTTTCGGCATGTTGGTCGCGTACTGTACTGCGCCACTGTGCCCTTTTAGACCTGGAGCTAGTGTTGGGCCTTTTTCGCCAACTCCGAACGAAATCTAGGTGTGCACCTGAACGAGAGAAACGCGGTGCTTTGGTCACAGCGGAGGTGGATTTTGATATTGAGTTCCTGGGTGCGAACGAACGGTTTGAGTTTTGGAACTTGGAATGTGCATACAAAAAGGACAGATTCCACGAAGAGACCCTGATGTTTATTTTTCTGCCAAGACTCAGATAGTCGGCACCAGTCATTCCAAGGCTGGATGTTGAGGATCGGATTGCCGACAAAGCTGACGCAAGACTACAACGACTGCGAAAGGTGATGTCGGAAATGGACAAGAAGGCGAGGAGAAAAACATGCTTGGCATATCTTGGCATGTGCAATTGTTATCAATTGTATTGAAACTGCGAAGTGGATGAATCCGATTAATCCTGGCGGGTTGGTTGCTCTCAAGAAACAGAGATATCATGAGATACTGGTCATGAGATATCATATCCATTGACATTTCTTCTTTGATCTTCACTCTGGATTCTTTTTGGATATGAGATCTTAGTGGGTCCCTACTGCAGGTGAGAGATAGAGCTGAGACAGCAGCTGGGCCGCAAAACAGAACTGCATAACTGCCCCTCCCGTCATCTCTGCCACGGGCGATTGGTTGGGTGGATCACCAGTGGATCAGCCAAGGATAGGAAGTCCTCAGCGCTGCAGCATCCACGGCAGCTGCTGGCCAAGATGATTTCTGGCCTCGACTGGCGCAGGGGGATCAGTGATCAGGTGAATCGCGAGGGCCATGCGCCTTGGTATCTCCAATGGGATGATTTTGGATTTTGGAATGTCTGGATTTGGAAGGGAAATATGAGGGGAAATACCAATGACCTGAGGGCTGGAAATGCCAATGACCTGAGGGCTTTTTTTCACACCAAGATCTGGAATTCACGCCAAAGGGACCCTGCGTATTTTGCTGAATTTGATGGATTGAGATGATCGATTTGATGATTCGCATCCAAGTTTCATTGGATGTATGAGCTCCATTAGCTTGAATCAAGTGGACAAGAATAAGACTTTCATAGACTTGCGGGTATTACGCTATTCATTTCGGCCGAAGGACCCCCCATGTCAATCTTGTGGCAAGGACCGCGTCCGCTGCATGACGTGTCGCTTCTTGGGCGAGGATTGCAGCGCCGATATTGCCAGGTGCCTGCTGGAGATTGCTCGCGTGTAGTCAACCCTTCGGGGTGAAAGGGTTGACATCCCGCTTGGCGATTGGTTTGGTTTGTTTCTTTCATATCAACATGGAGGTGTGAAGGTAAGCCAGGTAAGCACCTTATGAACCATCTAAGAATCTAAGCCACACCTTTGTTCAAATCTCCCATGCATCAAGGTCCAAAGACGTGCGTGTGGCTCTGCGTTTGTTGCCGAGCTTCCTGTTCACCACCCGCATGGTGTGCCGGAAAGATGGCAACAAGGCGGGAAGGTCTTGGTGCTTCACCATGGTTCACCAGGTCTGATGGTTCACTATGATTTGCACATATTTGCAACATTTTGCAATGCTGTGTTTTGTTTGTCAAAAGATGAATCCTGGCCCCCCCATGTCTCAAAATTGTTCACCACGGTTCACCACGGTTCACCACCATGGTTCGGAGTGGTTGGCTTAGCTTCCTACCTTCCTGCACTCAAACGCCGCGCCCGCGTGAGGACTGGCAGAGCTTTGCCGGCGATTTGCTGGAAGGAGTTGCGCAGAGCAAGGGGAGCGAGTGTTTGATCCGTGCAGAACCCAAGCAGGAGCCGCACGTTGTCACTGCAAGCCCTCGCCATGACCATAAAACACAGCCCAATTTCGATGGTCAGAGATGGTTTCACAGTGGTATGGTTGCTTTCGAGCCACCACTGGTGATCAAAAATTAGATGGATGTTAGGAGCTGATCAGCATCCAGATTCTATGAGTCATAGTTTCAACGAGAGCGGAGCTATATTTTTATGTGTCCTAGCACTCTTGGGCGTGAAGTTGGTAAGCACCAAATGAACAAGACATGATATGGTGATGGTGTAACAATTGGATCGGGGTTGATCAGTTGATCCAGAGCTTGGCAAACTGGACCAGGATGGATTGCACTTGCAACTCTTTTCTCAAGCAGATTGGTTGCACAACGCAGCGGAGCGTCTATGTGCACTTGTTGCTTGGCACAATATGGTACAGTATGGCGGTTGAGGATATGAGATGCTGCCCGATGCCTGAACATGATATTTGGCAAATGCGGCGAGGATAACACAAGATGGGTGTGTCGGAGAACTGATGGAAACACAGATAAGACCTCTCGCACAAGCGCGCGCGCACACGCAAAAACACACGCCTAGTGGTACAGCATGGTACAGTTGTTAATCTTTAGGATATTTCTAGTTCATGGTTTGTGCCACAGCGTGCAAAGGTTTCCAGATGGCTACCCGGCTACCTTTGCAGCTGACATTTTCTCAGGCGGCTGAGAGTAAGTCGCTGACTCTGTCCAGCCTGGTGGGGGTTGGGCGTTCTGCCCGTGGCTTGCACGTGGAGTGGGAGCGGACGTGCCTTGGCCCAGCTGGTGACTGGTGACGACTGAGGATAGAGCAATTGCAGTTGAAAGATTATTGGATATTATGATATTATTAATTACAGTAGATATTATTAGATGGGATGTTGAGTCTGGGGGTGAAATGCCATTTTCTGCCGGATGCATCAAGTCGTGAGGCCTCAAAATCTCCAGCAAAACAAATTCCAAGTGGAAAACTGCCTGTGGTGCAGTGAGGTGTGAGGCTGTTGAGGATGTGCCGGGCTTTCTCCGGGAGCTCTGGGCTGGCACATCCGGAGCTGCTTGGTGACGGGATGGGTCAAAGAATTCGTTAATACAGATGGTATCATCGTTAAAGGAATGAACATCCAGCTGTACATCAGAAATTTTGGCTGGAGCAGCAGGGTACCGGAGTTTTAATGGTTTGGAGTGACCCATAGCGCGGAGCTGCATGAGTGGTAGGTAGGGATTCAAAGCTATGGCACCGTATGCTGTGATAAGGGGTTGATAGGTTACTGTTCAAGATTTGTCGAACTTATATATTTCTCGATCATCTATCTCTCTCTCTCTCACTTGTGGTTTTCAATCATTTTCAGTGGTTTCCTATGGGTTAAACGGTTAAACCTTTAGGTAAAACGTCTTGGTAAAACCTCTTGGTTTCGGGGGTCAACGGGGTCAACGGGGTCAACGGACCCAGCTGCTCCAATGCCGCTGCCTTCCAAGGCCCCGGTGGCCTCGGTGGCCTCGATGCTTCGGTGGTGCCAGTCTTCGGTCGACCTGGACTTGACGCTTGGACCACTGACGCTTGGGGAAAAGGGGGAAAAGGGGGAAAAGGGGGAAAAAGATGTGGGGAATCTTCCGGTGGTTGGAAAAACCATGGAAAAACCATGATGAAAAAGATCCAAATGAACCAAATGGAATCGTATACGCCAATATCATGCGGAGATAGGATAGACATTGATTCAAATTGATATAGATGGGGATTCTTGGTGGAAAAGCGGGACTCCCAGAATTACAACCATCAAGTGGAATGGAGCTAGAAAAAAACGAGTGAAGGATTCATCACCAGTGGCAGGAATTGAGAACTTTAGTGGGTATGTAGAGATAGCATACAATAAATCAGAATATAAGAATATCATATATCTATGTCATATCAGATATAGGGGGTTTCTTAAAATGGGGGATCCCCAAAATGGATGGTTTATAATGGAAAATCCTGTTAAACTGGATGCTTTGGGGGTACCACCCATTTTAGGAAACCTGCATATGGGTTACAAACTCAACAGCTCCAGGAAGTGCTCCCCGGTGGCTGCCAAAGCTTGGCAGGCTCCAGTGGAACTGGGGCACCAAACATGCCAACAAACACACATTTTGGCTGGACACAGGCTGATGATACCTGTGATTTCTGAAAATGGTGTCTCCGAACAATCTGATGCATTGTCATTGATCATCATTTATCATCATTTGTCATCATTTCCATCTAAAAATGATTGAAGCTTATTATAAACCCATATGGTGTGTGTGTTGATTTCCAGGAGGCGCGCCGCACCTTTGGGGCCTATGCCAACTTTGGTGACTGGTCGGGGTTGATGGACTTCCTCCGCGACTTTCGGCAGCCCCTTGGGCAGCACGGAGTGATGGAGTGTGATGGTTGAGATGTTGGGTTTGGGCGGGATGAATGACCTGCTTTGCTTGGGATGATTGGGATGATTGGGATGATTGGGATTGATTGGATGGATTTGGGAAGTGATTAGGCGATTCATCTTGATTCTAAGCCCCAAAGACAATGGATGATTCCAGAGGTGGGCGAGCCAGACTGCCAAGGTTGGTTCATGAATGTTTCTTAGGTGTTGGCCGAATTTCCTGTTTACTGTACTTTGAATTTGATGTTTTAATATGTTTTATGCATTCCAAAATTTCTGGGTTTGTTTTCTGAGGCCGTTGAAACTGAAACCCATTCCCTCCAAATTCTGCTTGGCACAGGAAGGGCGCTGCCCACGCCAAGCCCGTCCCACGGCCGCGGCCTACACGGCCTGTGCGGCCTCCGGCTTCGGAGCCGAAGGCACCGAGTGCTGAAATGGTCTGGATCACTGCTCCATTGTCCTGCAAAAAGTCTCATCTTTTTGGCATTTGGAATATTTTGGAATCAGCACCATGATCAAATATGGTTAGCACATGTTAGCACATGGGGCGCTAACGTCCTCTTGTGAGATCGTCTGTGAGGTCTCTCGCCACAGCCGCTCTCGCAGCGCTTCGCATCGAGAAGCGCGCGGCCGTGCGGCGCGGCGGTCGCCCTCCTATGGAGCCTACCGGGGTCCGGAGGCTCGCTGACTGGGAAAGGTGTTGGACTTGCAAAGCCTGACGACGCAAAGGTTAGATTTCTCCAACAGATCAGGTTTGTTATCCTCCGTTTGGAGATTGCCTTTGATGCTTGAAACAATTGGCCGAAGTACCCCCAGCTTGGTCCTGTATACATATGTATATACATATGTACATATATATATATATATATATGTTGGTTGCCTAGTTAAGTGAGGTCCTTGATTCCTTGATGGTCGCCCAGCTGGGAATGACCCTGTTTGCTCAGGTTGCTTCGTGGCTTGTTTGCAACCTTGCTCTGGAATTGTGGGAATGTTGGCTTGTGTAAAGTCTTTTTTCCCTTCCCAAATGCAAAAGTGTCTAGAGCGCTGGGGGCCTATACCTGGAGTCGCAGCAAAGTGCTGACACATAAGATACTGCAACTTTCGTGGTCCCGGGAGCGGGCGTGCAAGTACAAGCGACAGCTCCGTTTGGGGCTTCTCAATTCAACCTGAAGATGCGTGGATCGCATTGGATCGCTCTACGTATTGTAATTGTGACATGTGTGACCGAGGTCTGGCAAGAAGCGCAGACGTCGCAGCAGCAGCTGAGTGAAGCTTCAGCAAAATGGGGCTGCTACTGTTGCTATTTGAAATGACCCTTCCTTCATGTCACCATTTCAATCAAGAGATCTGCTAGTGTTGCACGCTTTGTTGCCGAACCTCTTGGATGTCGCGGGGGCAAGGTGAGATTTGTCTCTTTGCTTGTAAACACTGACAAGTCTTGGTTGAACTGAGGTCTAGTCATCTAGCATGCGGGACGGACTCTAGTCATGACCTTTTCAATGATAGGAACGGTGGTGGTGCAAATCTAGGGTCCAAACCAAGCCAGCGGTTTTCCGTTGGGGCACCGGTTGCGAAGATGGTGCGAATCAGTGTGCTGCGCGATTGCCTGAACAACATCGTGAATGCTGAGAAGCGTGGAAAGCGACAGGTCTTGATCAGGCCAAACTCCAAGGTCATCATCAAGTTCCTGCAGGTGATGCAGAAGCACGGCTACATTGGTGACTTGGAGATCATTGACGACCACCGAGCAGGAAAGGTTGTCGTGGAGCTCATCGGCCGCATCAACAAGTGCGGCGTGATTTCCCCCCGATTCGATGCGGCTCGACTGACTCTGGTAGCCAAACGACTCCAAACGAATCACACACTCACAGTCTTGGGGACAAAGGTGACAGGGTTTGTTGGACTAGAACAATGCTATACCTGACCTGACCATCATTTCACATCATTTCACCACTGCTTTGGTTGCCCTAGATTCTACTTGCCTGTCAGCTTAATGTCACCATTTCTCAGGTCTCCGTGGCGGGAATTGAGCAGCTTGCCAGCGACCTCCTTCCATCGCGTCAGTTCGGCCACCTGGTGCTGCACCTGGGCTGCAGATGTCAGCAGCTTGTGGAAAGGGTGGATGTTTGCTGGTCAATACCTTTCTGATCCGTTCTGAGGATTGTGGTTGACCATCAGTTGCACGGTGATTTCTATTCTATTCTATTCCTTTCTATTCTGTTCTTTTATTCTATTCTGTTCTATTCTATTCTAATTCTATTCTATTCTGACAATCTTTGGTATCAGCAGTTTTCATAAGGCACTTCATGGAACATTCAAATTTACATGGATAATTTGTTAAGGGTCCGATTGTTTATTTGAACCGCACATTAATGGCTTATTCGATGTTATTCGGAATCTGCAGAACATCTTTGGATAGGGATTGCGGGATTTGCGATCTTGATTTCAACAGCTCAGCCTTGAAGTGACCAGGACAACTACCTACGGGATCATGGACCACGAGGAAGCTCGACGCAAGCACGTGGGTGGCAAAATCGTGGGCTTCTTCTTCTGAAGGGCAAAGATTGGCACGGACCGTCGGCTTGGAGAAAAAACTGCAAGCTGCGTGAAGCACAAGCGTCTTGATTGAGGTTGAAAAGTGAATACCTTAGAAGATAGGAGCCAATTTACTGTATATAGAAGTCTTCATCGCGAGGCAAATACATGAAACAGGCTAAACATATTTTTACTGTAGATGGCTGACAGCTGCAATTTCATGATTGTGTGGGTTCTTCAGGCACTGAACTCAGATGATCACATACCTTCAGCGATAGAGGGTGGGCTCCAACAAGAATCAACACCAATCCTGCTGCTGTCAGGGTCCAAACCAAGCCAGCGGTTTTCCGTTGGGGCACCGGTTGCGAAGATGGTGCGAATCAGTGTGCTGCGCGATTGCCTGAACAACATCGTGAATGCTGAGAAGCGTGGAAAGCGACAGGTCTTGATCAGGCCAAACTCCAAGGTCATCATCAAGTTCCTGCAGGTGATGCAGAAGCACGGCTACATTGGTGACTTGGAGATCATTGACGACCACCGAGCAGGAAAGGTTGTCGTGGAGCTCATCGGCCGCATCAACAAGTGCGGCGTGATTTCCCCCCGATTCGATGCGGCTCGACTGACTCTGGTAGCCAAACGACTCCAAACGAATCACACACTCACAGTCTTGGGGACAAAGGTGACAGGGTTTGTTGGACTAGAACAATGCTATACCTGACCTGACCATCATTTCACATCATTTCACCACTGCTTTGGTTGCTCACCTAGATTCTACTTGCCTGTCAGCTTAATGTCACCATTTCTCAGGTCTCCGTGGCGGGAATTGAGCAGCTTGCCAGCGACCTCCTTCCATCGCGTCAGTTCGGCCACCTGGTGCTGCACCTTGGCTGGAATAGACACCAAGAGGCGCGATATTTGTCCGTTGACTCAGTCCGTTGGCGTGTTTGAACCATTTTGAACAAATTTGAGACATTTTGAAACATTTTGGCACATTTTGAATCAGTTTTGAGATCCTTTTCTGCTCTGTGTCTCAAAACTAACTGAACTAACGGTTCTGAAAGCGTTTCTGTGATGGGTCGCTTTATGGGCGGGTCCGGCACCTAAGGACCACCACCTATGGCATCATGGATCATGAGGAGGCCCGAAGAAAGCACGTCGGTGGCAAGATTGTCGCTTGGCATGGGCGAAACAGGGACAAATGGAATTCTAAAATTTTAGATTATAAATGGATATAAACATAAATGGACTATATGTTTTTGATTGTTTTTGTGTGTCTGAAAATGGGGTTAAAAAAACAACAAAAAACATATATACTTCCTGGTCCCATCTGGAATCCTTGGACGCTTGAAAGTTGTTTGTCAACATCTGTTGCTTCAGTGAGTCTCGAGCCGCACCCAGGCACCCAGCACATATCACTAGCAGTTTTAGTGTGCCAGCAGGTGCATCCAATCGGGTAGGCTTCTGAGTTTTCCTCGAATAGCTACTTTTTGCAGGCATTGTTAAGCATCTCTAAGCTGCTCAGGTGCACATGTGCTGAAATGCTTCTTTTTTCGCAGCCAATGCATTCAGATCCCACAGACCAAGGTTGGCTTCTTCTTCTGAGGCGGAGGCAGCAACGCAACCGGCTTGGAAAATATGGGCTGGGTGGCTGAGTAATGGAAGTTGGGGATGGCAATTTTGATAAATCCCAGAAATAGGGATGACAGCAAGACACTTTTGATAGTTCTCCAATGACGAGCTGGTTTGATTGGTGAGTGGAGGTGTCAACTGCAACATCTTTTGCTGAGAAAGACAGGGCCCCTCTCACAATATTTGAGTATGAGTACTTGCTAAAAGCAGGTATATGTATATATAATAATAACTATATATCTTTCTGATTCTTTGGTTTTGAGAAGACCTCTTGAATTTACCACCTTCTGCAAATAACAGATTGAGGGTGGGCCTGGAAGGCACCCATTTGAGAGGTGTATCTTGCGGCAAGGTCAACTAGGACCTCCCTCAGGAGTCCTCAGGAGTCTCAAAGCTGGTTTACATTTTGCAGCGGTTCAAACCAAGCCAGCGGTTTTCCGTTGGGGCACCGGTTGCGAAGATGGTGCGAATCAGTGTGCTGCGCGATTGCCTGAACAACATCGTGAATGCCGAGAAGCGTGGAAAGCGACAGGTCTTGATCAGGCCAAACTCCAAGGTCATCATCAAGTTCCTGCAGGTGATGCAGAAGCACGGCTACATTGGTGACTTGGAGATCATTGACGACCACCGAGCAGGAAAGGTTGTCGTGGAGCTCATCGGCCGCATCAACAAGTGCGGTGTGATTTCCCCCCGATTCGATGCGGCTCGGCTGACTCTGGTAGCCAAATGACACCACTAATGACGCATGCCCTTGCTTCACCAAGTTAGATCTTATATCGAACAGTGGTATGACTTTCCTCCTATTTCATAGCATGCTCTTGGGCTGTGGCTTGGGTTTGTTTGCATGTGTACATAGAAAAACACAGAGTGAGTTTACCCGAGCTGTAGCTCTTGTTGTATAGACTCTTGCCATTCGGGAAACTATTCAAGACCTGCGAACATCCGGTAGAATTTAGCATGGGGTCCACTTGCTTTCTTGGTCCAGAGAAACCTCGCCTTCTGCTGGTTGGAATTGCTGGCTCGAGCATGTAACAGTTCTTTATTATGAAAGCCAGCTGTCAAGCATGGCGAAGTTGCTCATTGGGGGCGGTGGCTGAAAACATGGACAATTTTGAGGCACTTCCCCACCTAATTGGGGTGGCCTGCGTGGTCGATTTTGAGCGATTTTGAGGCTGATGTGCCAGGTGGCAATTGGGTGACGGTGGGGTTCGATTCTCCCCTGGTCCGACCTCCGACGTGCACTTGGGGAGACTGGAATGGAGGGTAAAATGATGGAGAAATATGAGAAATCGAGTAAAACCATGGAAAAACAATGGAAAAATTGAGGGAATGGAAGGATAAAATAATCGTACGGATTGGAGTTCCAGGCGAGGTGTGTGATGGGGCGAGAAGGTTGGAGGGAAGAAAGAGCGTGGCTTGGGCGGGCCTTTTGGCGTGAGGCTCTTTTAGGTGGCTGCTGGGAAGCAAAGGAGCCCGCAGGGTGAAGGTTGCAGATGGCTGCTGGTGCCTGGGGGTGGGAGGAGGCTGTGTGCTCTTCTGGCTGGTATCGGTCACACCGTGAAAATCACGATGTTTGCCCTCGAAAAGTCGAAAAGGTTCACATGCCAGGAGATTTCGGCTCGAAAAGTCGAAAAATTCGAAAAAATCGAAAAGTCGAAAAGTCGAAAAGTCGAAAAGTCGAAAAGTTCGAAAAGTTCGAAAAATTCGAAAAATTCGAAAAGTCGAAAAGTCGAAAACTTTTTGGCTTTATGACTTTTTGACTTTTTGCGAAAATTTTCCCTGGAAGAGTGATAAACTCCGTGGGTTTTGGAGGCATTGGAGCACAGGCAGTATCCACGCACAGGGCTTTTTATGGTTGTTTGGTTGCTCTTTCCCGGTCGAATGGTTGGTTACTTTCCAGGGGAGCAGGAAACTTGCAATCAGTGTATCAGAATTAGATTTGGTGTTGCTCATGTAATTAGTGGGTTTCTCTATTTTTTTGTGTTGATTTTGTGGGTTTTGAAAGCTGGACAATGAAAACCCACAGAATTGCTGAGCAGGTATTTGGCTCAGGGCTACCAGGGCCACTACTGAACGGTCTTGAGTTGCAACCAATTTAGAGGCCAATGCAACTCAGCTTGCAACATCTTGCTACCAGTTTAGGGGGCAAATAGCACTCTCCAAGCGTCTCAAGTTCCAGCTACTGTGCCGGTTTGAGGAGTGAAACAATGTTCGGCGCAGCCAAACTGAGGCTTTCTGGTTGTGTCGCAGGAATTCCACAGGGATGGGGCAGCATGACCCTGATCAACCAACAGGGTTCTGATGGGTTTTGCCTACAGCTACTAACTAGGAGCACGGCCTCTAGAAGGCCGTGGGTTTTTTGTGATCAACGGGGTGTCATGGATCATATTTGATGCGCCCGTGCAAATAGGAATTTGTTTGATGTGATATTTAAGGCCGTTAACCCCTTATTCTGGTGCAGTTTTTCAAAACAGGCATTTCGCCTAGACGAAACTAACATTTTTGTTTTTTTTGCCGATTCTGAAACTAATTCGACGTGACATGTTTTGCGTCATCTTTTGACGCGCGAATGGAAAGTTCAAGAGTACCTACAGTAGCGTAGCATGACGCATGCATAGAAAGTTCAAGAGATCTGACAGTAGCGTAGCATGACGTATGCATGGAGAGTTCAAGAGATCTTACAGTAGAGTAGCATGACGCACGCGTGGAAAGTTCAAGAGATCTGACAGTAGCGTAGCATGACGTATGCATGGAGAGTTCAAGAGAACTTACAGTAGCCTAGCATGAGGCATGAGTGGAAAGTTCAAGAGAACTTACAGTAGCGTAGCATGACGTATGCATGGAAAGTTCAAGAGATCTTACAGTAGCGTAGCATGACGTATGCATGGAAAGTTCCAGAAAATCTACAGTAGCGTAGCATGACGCATGAATGGAAAGTTCAAGAGTACTTACAGTAGCGTAGCATGACATATGCATGGGAAGTTTAAGAGAACCTATAGTAGCCTAGCATGATGCATGAGTGGAAAGCTCAAGAGAACTTAAAGTAGCGTAGCATGAGGCATGAGCGGAAAGTTTAAAAGAACTTACAGTAGCGTAGCATGACATATGCGTGGAAAGTTCTAGAAAACTTACAGTAGCGTAGCATGATGCATGAATGGAAAGTTCAAGAGTACTTACAGTAGCGTAGCATGACGCATGAATGGAAAGTTCAAGAGTACTTACAGTAGCGTAGCATGACACATAAATGGAAAGTTCAAGAGAACTTACAGTAGCGTAGCATGACATATGCATGGAAAGTTTAAGAGAACTTATAGTAGCCTAGTATGACGCATGAGTGGAAAGTTCAAGAGAACTTAAAGTAGCGTAGCATGACGTACGCATGGAAAGTTCAAGAGAACTTTCAGTAGCGTAGCATGACGCATGAGTGGAAAGTTCAAGAGAACTTACAGTTCAAGAGAACTTACAGTAGCATAGCATGACATATGCGTGGAAAGTTCAAGAGAATTTTCAGTAGCGTGGTATTAGGCATGAATGGAAAGTTTAAGAGAACTTACAGTAGCTTAGCATGACGCATGAATGGAAAGTTCAAGAGAACTTACAGTAGCGTAGCATGACGTATGCGTGGAAAATTCAAGAGAAACTTCAGTAGCGTGGCAAAAAAAGAATAACAACATATATAAAAGTCCACTGATCTTGCTTGGACATGACATGTGCAATGCACTTCATATTTAACAAAATTGGACTTTGAAAATCATGTATGCGTTTTTGATAAAATAATGACAATAAATAAGAAAGGAACAGATGCATAGTTCTGAATTGCTATGATATTGATAATATATATATATATATTAATCAATATATATATATATATTGACAAGCACTAAAAAATATAGCATAATTTAACACAATATCATATATTTAAAAATATAATATAAAATAATATGATATAATATATTTTAATCTAACATAATACAATATGATAAAATAAAATAGAATATAATACGCTATAATATAATATTATACAATATAATATAATAAAATATAATATAATAATATAATATAATATAATATATGAAAAAATATTATGCTATAATATAACAATAAATAATATATTTCATAATAAATTAAAAAATAATAAAATATCCTATATAATATAAACTAATATAATATAGCATAGTATAATATAATATGGTAAAATATTATTTGATACGATATAATAGAATACCATAGGTAAAATATATTTATTTATAATATGTTTTTATATATACTGCAATTTCAAATAATGCAATATATCATCATGGGATGTCATATATAAAAATATAATATCATATAATACAATGTTATATATTTAAAACATAAGATATAAAACAGCATAATATAGTATATTTTTATAAAATATAATGCAATATAATACAATAAAATATGATATAATAAAATATAGTCAATAATAATATATTATGATATAATATATAATATAATAAAATATAATAATATAATATGATATAATATAAACAATATTATGCTATAATATCATAATATATAATTTATATCCCATAATATATTATTAAGTAATATAAAATCTGATATAATATAAAATAATATAATATAGCATAATATAATATAGCATAATATAATATATAATATGGTAAAATATCATTTGATACGATATAATATAATATCATAGGTAAAATATGTTTATACACAACATATTTTGTTATAATGCAATATAAAATAATATAATATAACATACCGGTAACATCATGGAATGTTATATAGAATGATATGGTTTTGTGATGTGTTGTGTATTATAGAAAAATAGTTCATAATGCAACTTAATGCCAAATTATATAAAATAACATGGTATAGTATTATATGTGTAGCCTTACCGGGGATATTATTATTTTATTTACACATCCATTTAACAACTACCCATCTCAACCCAAATCGATGCGGCCTTTTTGTGGGTTTCTGGCTAGGCATTTTCGCGATCCACAAAACCTGGACCTCGCTTGTCTTCTGGTGGAGGATAGATGATAAGACAGGAACCCTTGCGTACCCAGTTTGGTGTATTGTTTGGGTGGTTCAAACGCAACTTTTCGCTGAAAATTCCAACCGTGGTAGAAAAGTTTCACCCGAAAAGTTGAAAAGTTCACATTCCAGGAGATTTCTGCTCGAAAAGTCGAAAAATTCGAAAAATTCGAAAAGTCGAAAAGTTCGAAAAATTCGAAAAGTCGAAAAGTTCAGATTCCAGGAGATTTCTGCTCGAAAAATTCGAAAAATGCGAAAAGTCGAAAAGTCGAAAAGTTCACATTCCAGGAGATTTCTGCTTGAAAAGTCGAAAATTCGAAAAGTCGAAAACTTTTTGACTTTTTGCGAAAAGTTTTGCAATTTTCGCGCTGTGCGATTACCGGCGAGAAGAGCGCTTAGCAGGGAGGTGCGTGGCCGGGGGTGCATGTGGCTGGAATGGTTGCTGCAGGCCAGGCAAGGTGAGGTTGCTCGTTCGGAATGATCTGTTGGGGCGGTTGGAGCGCGATTGGATCGCGATTGGATGGCGATTGGAACCATCCTCAACTTGAGCAACTGTCCACTCGTGAGCATGTCCTTGTCACAGTCTTTTCGGGTTGAGTTTTGATCTTATAACGAGTCAAGAGAAACGTTCGGAATGAAGTCAGAGCAGAGGATGTGGGGAAAAAGTGGACAATTTGAGGCAACTATGCGAGTAGGACTGGTACTGTTGGGGCGGTTGGAGCGCGATTGGATCGCGATTGGATGGCGATTGGAATCATCCTCAACTTGAGCAACTGTCCACTCGTAAGCATGTCCTTGTCACAGTCTGTTCACGTTGAGTTTTGATCTTTTAACGAGTCAAGAGAAACGTGGATACCAATGGTCTTGCGATTGGGATTATTGGGACCGCGATTGGGACCTGCTGTACACAGATGCGCCGCGCTGGTAGAGAATAAAAGAATCCTCCGTGCATGCACATGGGGAACCAACCCTGCTCATTTCGCAACATTGCTAGGTACCATTCTTTTTTCGAAAGCCAGCCCATGAACCTCTTTTCCACCCGACACTGCTCCCCATCCAAATTGCTCACCACCTAACATCGTCCTTGTCACCATGGCGAACTCCTTCCCACAGCCTCCTCCCACCAACTCCCTGCATCCCACCCGCCTTCACTGCATTTTCCAGACAACCCAGAGATTCATTCTCCACAGCCGCTCCTAACCCATTCCTCCTTCCCTCCCTTGCCGCCGACACCTCCTCTCCCCTTCCGGGCTCTTTTGCGCCCCAAAACCTCTTTAAAGGAGCCCGCCATTCCACTTCCTCAAACACGCTCTTCACCCTTTCCCTACCATTACGACACTTCTTTCCCCCGCTCCTTCTTCCTATTCTTTCCTTCTCTCCAAAGACATCCCACGGGTGCACCCAAACCAGGCCTTACCATTCCGGCTCCTCAGCCTCCCAAACAATGCCTCAACCAACCCCCAACCGCAATCCCTGCCATGCTCTCCACTCTCCTGTCTCCGTTCCAACTAGTCCCTTCCCTGCCTTTCGTCCCCTCCTCTCAGGTGCATTTTTACCCAACAGCGTAAGCTTGGGGTCTTCATAGTAAAGGTTCCGGAGCAGGTCGGAGCAGCCAAATCCGCACGGCACAAGGTTGGGAACCGGGTTCCCAGGAAGGGTGGGTTTCCTTGTCCAAGAGAAGCCCTCAGAGCAGCCAAATCCGCACGGCGCAAGGTTGGGAACCGGGTTCCCAGGAAGAGGCTCCCAAGCAAGGTTCCCAGGAAGAGGTTCCCAAGCAAGGTTTCCAAGCAAGGTTCCCAGGAACAGGTTCCCAAGTACGGCCCCCAAGAGGTTCCCAGGAACAGGTTCCCAAGTACGGCCCCCAAGAGGTTCCCAGGAACAGGCTCCCAAGCAAGGGTTCCCAGCAAATTGTTCCCAAGCAAGGTTCCCAGGAACAGGTTCCAAGCAAGGTTCCCAAGCAAGGCTCCCAGGCAGAGGTTTACAGCAAGGTTCCCAGGCAAGGTTCCCAAGCAAGGTTACCAGGAACAGATTCCCAAGCAAGGGTTCCCCGCAAGAGGTTCCCAAGCAGGGTTCCGGAAGGTTTTCAGGAAGAGGTTCCCAGGCAAGGTTCCCAAGAGGTTCCAAGCAAGGTTCCCTGTTCCTTCGCACGAGCTTCAGGAATATTTGCCACAGTATTGCAAACGCTTTTGGAAAACCGTTTTTCCTACAGTGTTTGTGCTGTGATTGCGCCTTGCACGCCCGACCTCTAGAGTAAGAAGGGCGGGGCAATAAACATGCTTCACTCATTGCGTGTTTGGCAACTGTTTTTGTTTCTGGCTGTTGGGGACACCCTTTGGGCTTATTGTTTACATCATTTTGAAATTTTCGCCTGCGTTCCTAGTGGGATGGACCCTGCACCCAGGTTGATAGGTTTATTTATTATGGTTGATCGATGCCGATTGATATTTCAATATTCGGTGAAGCCTCCTGCTGTCCCCAAGGTCTCTGTGGCGGGAATTGAGCAGCTTGCCAGCGATCTCCTTCCGTCGCGTCAGTTTGGCCACCTGGTGCTGTACCCCGGCTGCAGTGGTTTTTAAAGCCTTGCAGAACTTCACGACGATTTGGGCAGGGATACGGGGGAACGATTGGAGATACGTCGACAATCCCAATGTGGGTTGCTTGATTTTAAACCATGCGTCTCTTTGCAAGGTGGGGTGGACTTGGAGAGTTGGGGCCAATGCACATGATAGGACCATATTGAAGAGGTTCTGGTTGAAACTTTTGACCAGTCGAATCCTGGAATCCATAGGTTTATCATGCTTCAACAAAGAGCAGAAAACTGCCAGGGTTTCACAGTTTCACTGTTCCACAGTGTGGTGAGGACGACCACCTATGGCATCATGGACCACGAGGAGGCACGACGCAAGCACGTGGGCGGCAAGATCGTGGGCTTCTTCTTCTGATGCAGATCCATGTGAGGCAGGACCGTGGGCTTGGTAGAAAACATGCCCGCTTTGCGTGAATCTGTAGAGGTGGAGACAGGGGACTCAGGGGACCTTAATTGCATAGAACTAAGGCTTTTGTTAGGCAGATCATGTAAACATGTACAGCAAGATTTGGCAAATGTAGCAGCAGCCTCAGTCAAGCATAGCAGCATAGCCAATATACAAATGAAGGATTGCACTGCTGTTTGTTTATTGGTGGTTGGACTCCACACATTGTTGGATATTTTGAAGCTACCAGGTTGATGTATCCCAAGTATTCCCCCCAAACATTGCGAACCCAGAATTGTCATGAGCGAATAACGTTGAATTTCATGTTGATGGTCAAATCAGCTACAAGATGCTCTGGTGGCAAAGCCAGAAGAAAGATTGAAACACCAACAAAAAGGTAACGCATTGACAGCGATGCAACATCTGGATGTGACAGCATGGTCGCTGCCCCAAGCTCTGTGGCTCGAGCCCGGCCTTTGAGAACTCAGAAGCCATAAGCAGTGTCACCCAGAGAACTATTTCGAGGATGATGTTGTTAATGTGACATACCACCAAGGCGTTGTCACACTAACCACTAAGGCGTTGTCACACTAGCCCGAATAGTGATGGAAATCGTCAGCCGCGTTGGTTTCAAGCCATAAGCCACCCAAAAGCTATCCAAAACAGCCCAGTCCTTGGCCTTGTTTCAAGCGGCTCCGTCGATGAGTTGAACCGCGGCCATGAGATTTCGCGCTGCTCAGGAGGCTTGACTCTTCGTATGGTGTCCTTGTGTGGCTCGGGGTATGGGCCCCCAATATATTACTTGTACGTAGACTATAAAATAAACATATATAGACTATGATATAGACAATTATTAACATATATAAACGTATATAGTTTTGATAAAGCCGTTTAAATCGAAACTTCACAATCCAAAATTCTGTCTGTGTTGGCTGACTCAGATACCTTGAAATGTGATGCTGTGACATTCGCAACGCAGGAGGCATTTTCGAGACTCCTCCTGATGCGCGCATGGGCCTCCGTTTGATGAGATGCAGGTGCAGAGCTGTGGAGGGAGACCGGGCACTGCTGTTATTTATTCTTAGCTGTCGGGTGTTTAGGATTTAAAGCCACTAAAGTATGAAGCAAATTCCCAGGGAAGGCATAGCACCATCCGAGTGCTGTGGTCAAGAATTCCACTGTGTATAGAGTAATATACGCATCATATAAGCATGAACATTCATGCACACGCACACACACACAATAGAACAGAACTGGATCATTGTAGTGATCCGTCGGGAACTGAATACCACAACGTCAATCAAACAAGATTACTGATGTAAGGTGATCTCCAGGAGGTAGTATGCAATCAATAGGATGTAGTTCGGAAAACAGGACCCCGACCAGAAACGTGTTCAAATAGTCTCCAATGAAGAATAAATAAACCAATGAATAGATAAATATCAGATTGCGGCAGGCGTGCAAACCTCGAAGTGAATAAATGCCAAATTGCGGCAATCGTGCAAAACTCGAAATGAGGGGTTCTTGGCTTGGCCCCGTGCCATTGCAGTGAAAAAGAGTGCAGGTACGCATGGCTGATCAGGCCATGTATCACCAGGGGAACCAGAGCGTCTTCGTTGGTGACTGGTAAACTCTGGACCCTGCTACCACCCCCTGCATCTACTGACAGTACAAAAAGATAGAGGTTTTACATCTGTTCAGATGTTCCACACACGCACATAGAGGGTGGGGGAGGGGGGCAGTGCACAAGCACTCATATAGACACAGATCTGTTTAGTAGGAAGTATAGTACGTAAGTTGCGCGCAAGGTCGTATTAGGTACTGCACACAAGAGGGTTCTCTGTAGGTAGTATGAAGGACATTCATTAGAGTATATGTGGTTACAGGATGTTACAGGAGTATAGCTACGCTACAAATAGCATATCATTTAGGAATGTATTGGGTTATTTGAAGTGTAAATCGTCGTGCGAGTATATATATATATACTTATGTGTATGTTACAGTCAGTGTATAGGTGCGATAGAGGTATGTTCAAGGTAGTGTAGGTCCACATTGGAAGATAAGTCAGAATATATACTGTATATATATATTAGATGCCATGAACAAGTGTACCAGAGTGTGTATGTGTGTGCATGTGATTGAGTAGCATATTTGTACACAATATGCCACAGGCAGTTAATGGGTAGTCTATAAGTAGCCTATAGACAATATATGTATGTTATACAGGTAACATGATGACAAGAAAACATGGATAGTATACTAGTAGTACACATACAGGTATCATGAGAAAAGTACAAAGACTGTGGTTCCGACATGCTGGAAACATCAATTTAAATATGGGGCTGTGCCTTTGACATCTGCTGCAAATAACATGGAAATGTGAGGTTCGAGCCTGGGCAGGGGGCTCTTGGGGGACCAGAGCATTGGAGGGAGCTAGTGTCCAGTGAGCGGGACCATTTATAGATTCTATGGATACATCTATTGTCATTATTTTCTGCAGATTATGATGTTCTGATGTCGACTATATTTCTATTCTCACAGAGGATGGTGGCGCCAATCCTCCATGTGCCAGGAAGCCAGCTCTCAGGTTCCATCTCAGGCGGGTGTTGGGGTCTCCAGCCCTCAATGTGATCTTCTCAGAGGTTACTCAAGAAACCTCAGCGTTTCAGACCAAAGTTCCAAGTACAGGTAGAAAATGGTAGAAAATGGTAGAAAATGGTAGAAAATTCTGGTTCGTTGAGTTAAGTTGGGGTCTCACACAAGCTGATTTGCTATCGCCAGACAATTTGCAATTGCTCGTATTTCAATGGCTCGTCAACAGGGTCCAAATAGGAGGCCCATATTTGATCATTTTTGTTCTGTGGTACTGAAACATTTTGAGTGTGTCCACAACTTCATACACATTAGCAGTTGCGCCAAGCTGATTCTTGCCTACTTATTTGTGCTGGATGCCAAAAAGATTTTCCGGGTAGGTACAGTAGTCCTCTTAGGACCTGTGTGGCAAGATGGGATGTTGTGGTAGATGTACGGCACTTTTGTTAATGAACCAATTATGAACCGCATTTGCAACTCTGCAAGGGAAGCTTGCCGCTAGAGGAGGAAGGAGGCAATTGAGAGAGTGGCTGGAAGATGTGGGGGTGCATGTGCTTGATTCCAAGGAAATTCCAGTGCTTTGTGGCGTCACAAATTCCAACTGTTGGTGGATCCTGCCAGCAATTCCCTGCCCACAGGCCTGTTGCCGCCAGCACCCAGCAAGCGCGTGGCCAAGCAGCTGGTCAAAACTAGGCCGGGTCGATGGGATTTCAAGATTGGACTGATTCTTAATGTCTCTTATGGGGTTCCATGACACTCCCTGACCTTCACTTTTTCAGCTGTTTTGAAAATTAGTTGTATTTTGTGGCTCGTCTTGGGCTTGAGGGTTTTGTGTCTGTGTCTCCAATTCTGGTCTTTTTCAGGGTCAGTTGTTCTGACATCTTTGTTTGTTTCTGGCGCCTCGGCGGGGGGACTTTTTTGGCCGGCTCTTCGTTTGGGCTTGGATTTTGCCGGCTTCATGTCTAGCCGCTGCCAAAGGTTCTGCAAACATTTTCTGAGAGGATACTGCAGATATCAGGCCTTCCGGGGTGAGCAGCTTGTGGTGTTTATTGGTTGGGAGAGAGAACTTTGTGAACAAAAACTATTCATTAGTGAGGCAAGAAAGCAGTTCGCCAACTTTGATTTAAGTTGCAACTTTGAACAGACACAGTAGCAATCTTAGATGCTTAGATACATACTTCAAAACTTATTCAGAAACGCTTTTGCTCAGCACTGGAAGCTTCGCTGACGGTTGTGCTGCTGCTGCTGGCGGTGCTGGTGGACGTTGATATTCACATGACGATGGTGCTGACGTGGGTGATGGTGACAGTGAGGGTGGGCGACGGCAATGCTATTGCTGCCGCTGGAAAGCGGTTCCTGAAGTTCATTGGTCTGTGTATGCTATGCCTAGAACAGGGGGCAAACAGAGGTACATGTGTAGTATGTTGTTGTTTACACGCTCTCTTTTTTACCAGTACCGCGCAAGGCGGTGGCGGAAGTTTCAAAAATAGGAAACCTATAGGAAGGGTTGGTGTGACTCACGGATGGCAGAGCGAATCCACTGATGGACCGAAAGGTGGTTGGAGTTGTTTTTTTCTGGAGTGGCTGCAGAGAGAACTTTGTGAACAAAAACTATTCATTAGTGAGGCAAGAAAGCAGTTCACCAACTTTGATTTAAGTTGCAACTTTGAACAGACACAGTAACAATCTTAGATGCTTAGATACATACTTCAAAACTTATTCAGAAACGCTTTTGCTCAGCACTGGAAGCTTCGCTGACGGTTGTGCTGCTGCTGCTGGCGGTGCTGGTGGACGTTGATATTCACATGACGATGGTGCTGACGTGGGTGATGGTGACAGTGAGGGTGGGCGACGGCAATGCTATTGCTGCCGCTGGAAAGCGGTTCCTGAAGTTCATTGGTCTGTGTATGCTATGCCTAGAACAGAGGGCAAACAGAGGTACATGTGTAGTATGTTGTTGTTTACACGCTCTCTTTTTTACCAGTACCGCGCAAGGCGGTGGCGGAAGTTTCAAAAATAGGAAACCTATAGGAAGGGTTGGTGTGACTCACGGATGGCAGAGCGAATCCACTGATGGACCGAAAGGTGGTTGGAGTTGTTTTTTCTGGAGTGGCTGCACTGGTTGCAGTGGTCACCTCACCACAACTGCTGGACGTAGTGTGGTGTACTGCAGTTGTAATAGTTGTTGTAGTTGTAGGTGTAGTTGTAGCGTAGTGTAGTGGAGTTGTAGTTGTAAGTTGTAGTTGTAGTGTAGTGTAATTAGTGTAGTGTAGTTGCAGTTGCAGTTGTGGTTGTGGTGTGGTGTAATTAGTGTAGTATATTGTAGTGTATTGTAGTGTATTATAGTGTACTGTAGTGTTGTGCACTGTAGCGTGGTATAGCGTAGTGCAGTCTAGTGTATTGTAGTGTAGTTGTAGTTGTTGCGTAGCGTTGTGTAGTGCAATGTAGTGGTAGTTGCAGTTGTAGCCCAATGTAATGTAATTAGTGTAGTGTAGTTTTGTGTAATGTAGCGTAAGGTAGTGTATTTGTATTCGTAGCTGTCATGTACTGCAATTTAGTTAGTGTAGTGTAGTGTAATGTAGTGTAGCTGTCATTGTAGTTGTAGCTGTGGTGGTGGTGGTGGTCATAGTAGTAGTGGTAGTCGTCGTCGTCGTCGTAGTCGGAGTAGTAGTAATTGCTGCTGTAGTTGCTGTTGTAGTAGTTGTAGTGTAATTAGTGTAGTGTAGTGCAATTAGATGTAATTAGTGTAGTGTAGTGCAATTAGTGTTGTGTAATGTAGCGTCGTATATTTATACTTGTGGTTGTAGTAGTAGTGTAGTGTAGTGTAATGGTACTTTTTTTATACTTTTATTATAGTTGTACTTGCAGTTGTAGTTGTCTATCTATCTATCTGTCTATCTGCAAGCTTGAAACGAAGCTATTCTGCGAGACTTCTTCAGTGTTTGAACTTGAGAATATGAAAAACGCAGCAATTCAGCGAGACTTCCTCAATTTTTGAACTTGACAACGTCAAAAACGAAAGGCTTCCTTTTTTTTGAAGTTGACAACATCAAAAACGAAGCAATTCTGCGACACTTCCTTCAAAAATGGAAAGTTGAGTGCAGAGCTGACGGCCGGGTACCAATGCTTTTTGCGATTTTTCCACTCCACCTGTCTAAAGTATTGCGCCTGCCACGAAAAAGTGAGGCCAGGTCATACGAAGTGCTGCACCTGTCACGCAAAATCATTTCAGCAAACCTGAAGATCTGATGCTCCAAAATGCAACCCCTCAGGAAGTGCACAATCCCTTGCGCCTGCCACGCGAAACGACATCTGAACGTTCAAAACTGTTCCGTACCCCTCATTTTTTTTCCCTTTTGACTTGGAAATGTGCTTCGGGCCTCAATGGCGTGCACTTTTTCGACATCTCAACTTCCAAAAGTGGTCCGAGCATGGTGTGCTTTGTACATTTTGACTTCGAAATGTGCTTCGCGCCACAACGGCGTGCACTTTTTCGACATCTCAACTTCCAAAAGTGGTCCGACACTGGTGTGTTTTGTGCATTTTGACTTCGAAATGTGCTTCGCGCCACAACGGCGTGCACTTTTTCGACATCTCAACTTCCAAAAGTGGTCTGAGCATGATGTGTTTTGTACACTTTGACTTGCAAATGTGCTTCGTGCCACAAAGGCGTGGACTTTTTCGACAGCGCAACTTCTAAAAGTGCTCCGGAGCTGACGTGTTTTGTGCATTTTGACTTCCAAATGTGCTTCGCGCCACAACCCCGTGCAATTTTTCATTTCTCATCTGGCCAGCTGGCCCCGCGCCCGCCATTTTAGCGAGCCGACTTTTCGACCCTCCGACATACACATACATATATATATATATTTATATAGATCATATTTTTATTGTGCTGTATGCTTGAATCAACCCAGAACCTGTTATTGCTTCTAAAGCCTTGCTCTGCTACATCCGAATTTCACGTAGTTGCGGCCTGCCGCCAACGGATGAACCGAACCCACCAATTGTTCAATGGCACGTTTCTTGCGCTCTCAGGACCAATTGCTGATTGGGTCTCTATCCTGAAGTGTCAAGTGCAAATAATTTGCAAGTGTTTTTCCATGTATAAACTTCGATTCGTATGGCCCTTCGTTGCAACCATCCCAGGGCTGTTGTTGGGTTTTTACGTTGCACACAGGGGCAAAGTCTTTTGGACTTGTGGGCCACCGGCGCCGACAGGACAACTGCGGTTATGCACACTACAACGAGGACGTGCAACTCCTGCCATGCTGCACCCTGGTCTCTGTTTGGGAAAACCATTTACACCTGGATGATGCATAAACTTTGAAAACACTTGCAGTGCTGAATTGATTCCACCTAGAACTGGTTGGGACAGTGATATTCCTGTGAGTTGTCCAATGTTTGATAGGAACGTGCGCAAGACAGTCTTTTTGATGAACATGGTTTCATGTATGCAGCCCAGCGAAAAAGTGTGTTTGCAAGCAGGTTAAAAGGAACTTTCTCGCTATGCAACAGCAACGTGTTTCAAACTCAGGGCCTTTACCTTGGCCTTGGAAACCCTGCTCTGGTTTCTCTTCACCCTTCAGCGTTCTTGAGCAGAACCTCACTTGGCTTGTGGGTTGATCTCTCTAGAACCAGGCCAAACATGGCCAAACCAATGTATATATATATATATAGACACGCACGATTACACACGTTTATACATTTATAGTATATATGTTTAGATATTTATACATATTTGTTACATATGTAACATTATTATCACTATCACTATTATTATTATTACTATTACTATTATTATTACTACTACTACTACTGCTACTACTACTACTACAATTACTATTACTATTACTATTACTATTACCATTACTATTACTATTACCATTACTATACAACGTGTATGAGACCTTAGCCAAGAAAGGCATGTCTTGAACTTCGTGGTTTCTCAACGGTCCCTGCAGGAGCTCCAACCGCGCCCGAACTTGTCAAAGCCTGGGGCCGAATTGGTGAAGCAGCTGACGAACACAGCACGAATCCACATTTGTTCTTCCAAGCGCCAAGGACCAAGATTTGCATGAGCTTTTTGGCGGGCAACTGCCAAAATGGAGACCTCTGCATGTGATTGGACTCCTGTGGCACTGGTCCATTTGTTGGTGCTCTCGCACTCAAAGATTTCTGGCGTGGTGAAAGGCGCTTTGGGTAAAGGCAGTATTCCTGATGCACCAGCCATATGCAGCCATTATCGGCCCTTCTATTTTCCACGGCCGTGGCCCCTCATCGAACCTGAGATGCCACCAAAAAACACCGCCAGATCAATGCAGCTACGCCCATGGTTTGACGGAGCTCAGGGAGGTTCGGGGATCCAAGCTGTGTGCTTCCTTGGTGCGCCCGGGATGCTGCCCATTCTGGCGATAAACATCAGCACAAATGAACATTAAGGACAGCATTGCTGCCGCTGGAAAGCGGTTCCTGAAGTTCATTGGTCTGTGTATGCTATGCCTAGAACAGGGGGCAAACAGAGGTACATGTGTAGTATGTTGTTGTTTACACGCTCTCTTTTTTACCAGTACCGCGCAAGGCGGTGGCGGAAGTTTCAAAAATAGGAAACCTATAGGAAGGGTTGGTGTGACTCACGGATGGCAGAGCGAATCCACTGATGGACCGAAAGGTGGTTGGAGTTGTTTTTTTCTGGAGTGGCTGCAGAGAGAACTTTGTGAACAAAAACTATTCATTAGTGAGGCAAGAAAGCAGTTCACCAACTTTGATTTAAGTTGCAACTTTGAACAGACACAGTAACAATCTTAGATGCTTAGATACATACTTCAAAACTTATTCAGAAACGCTTTTGCTCAGCACTGGAAGCTTCGCTGACGGTTGTGCTGCTGCTGCTGGCGGTGCTGGTGGACGTTGATATTCACATGACGATGGTGCTGACGTGGGTGATGGTGACAGTGAGGGTGGGCGACGGCAATGCTATTGCTGCCGCTGGAAAGCGGTTCCTGAAGTTCATTGGTCTGTGTATGCTATGCCTAGAACAGAGGGCAAACAGAGGTACATGTGTAGTATGTTGTTGTTTACACGCTCTCTTTTTTACCAGTACCGCGCAAGGCGGTGGCGGAAGTTTCAAAAATAGGAAACCTATAGGAAGGGTTGGTGTGACTCACGGATGGCAGAGCGAATCCACTGATGGACCGAAAGGTGGTTGGAGTTGTTTTTTCTGGAGTGGCTGCACTGGTTGCAGTGGTCACCTCACCACAACTGCTGGACGTAGTGTGGTGTACTGCAGTTGTAATAGTTGTTGTAGTTGTAGGTGTAGTTGTAGCGTAGTGTAGTGGAGTTGTAGTTGTAAGTTGTAGTTGTAGTGTAGTGTAATTAGTGTAGTGTAGTTGCAGTTGCAGTTGTGGTTGTGGTGTGGTGTAATTAGTGTAGTATATTGTAGTGTATTGTAGTGTATTGTAGTGTATTGTAGTGTACTGTAGTGTTGTGCACTGTAGCGTGGTATAGCGTAGTGCAGTCTAGTGTATTGTAGTGTAGTTGTAGTTGTTGCGTAGCGTTGTGTAGTGCAATGTAGTGGTAGTTGCAGTTGTAGCCCAATGTAATGTAATTAGTGTAGTGTAGTTTTGTGTAATGTAGCGTAAGGTAGTGTATTTGTATTCGTAGCTGTCATGTACTGCAATTTAGTTAGTGTAGTGTAGTGTAATGTAGTGTAGCTGTCATTGTAGTTGTAGCTGTGGTGGTGGTGGTGGTCATAGTAGTAGTGGTAGTCGTCGTCGTCGTAGTCGTAGTCGGAGTAGTAGTAATTGCTGCTGTAGTTGCTGTTGTAGTAGTTGTAGTGTAATTAGTGTAGTGTAGTGCAATTAGATGTAATTAGTGTAGTGTAGTGCAATTAGTGTTGTGTAATGTAGCGTCGTATATTTATACTTGTGGTTGTAGTAGTAGTGTAGTGTAGTGTAATGGTACTTTTTTTTATACTTTTATTATAGTTGTACTTGCAGTTGTAGTTGTCTATCTATCTATCTGTCTATCTGCAAGCTTGAAACGAAGCTATTCTGCGAGACTTCTTCAGTGTTTGAACTTGAGAATATGAAAAACGCAGCAATTCAGCGAGACTTCCTCAATTTTTGAACTTGACAACGTCAAACACGAAAGGCTTCCTTTTTTTTGAAGTTGACAACATCAAAAACGAAGCAATTCTGCGACACTTCCTTCAAAAATGGAAAGTTGAGTGCAGAGCTGACGGCCGGGTACCAATGCTTTTTGCGATTTTTCCACTCCACCTGTCTAAAGTATTGCGCCTGCCACGAAAAAGTGAGGCCAGGTCATACGAAGTGCTGCACCTGTCACGCAAAATCATTTCAGCAAACCTGAAGATCTGATGCTCCAAAATGCAACCCCTCAGGAAGTGCACAATCCCTTGCGCCTGCCACGCGAAACGACATCTGAACGTTCAAAACTGTTCCGTACCCCTCATTTTTTTTTCCCTTTTGACTTGGAAATGTGCTTCGGGCCTCAATGGCGTGCACTTTTTCGACATCTCAACTTCCAAAAGTGGTCCGAGCATGGTGTGCTTTGTACATTTTGACTTCGAAATGTGCTTCGCGCCACAACGGCGTGCACTTTTTCGACATCTCAACTTCCAAAAGTGGTCCGACACTGGTGTGTTTTGTGCATTTTGACTTCGAAATGTGCTTCGCGCCACAACGGCGTGCACTTTTTCGACATCTCAACTTCCAAAAGTGGTCTGAGCATGATGTGTTTTGTACACTTTGACTTGCAAATGTGCTTCGTGCCACAAAGGCGTGGACTTTTTCGACAGCGCAACTTCTAAAAGTGCTCCGGAGCTGACGTGTTTTGTGCATTTTGACTTCCAAATGTGCTTCGCGCCACAACCCCGTGCAATTTTTCATTTCTCATCTGGCCAGCTGGCCCCGCGCCCGCCATTTTAGCGAGCCGACTTTTCGACCCTCCGACATACACATACATATATATATATATTTATATAGATCATATTTTTATTGTGCTGTATGCTTGAATCAACCCAGAACCTGTTATTGCTTCTAAAGCCTTGCTCTGCTACATCCGAATTTCACGTAGTTGCGGCCTGCCGCCAACGGATGAACCGAACCCACCAATTGTTCAATGGCACGTTTCTTGCGCTCTCAGGACCAATTGCTGATTGGGTCTCTATCCTGAAGTGTCAAGTGCAAATAATTTGCAAGTGTTTTTCCATGTATAAACTTCGATTCGTATGGCCCTTCGTTGCAACCATCCCAGGGCTGTTGTTGGGTTTTTACGTTGCACACAGGGGCAAAGTCTTTTGGACTTGTGGGCCACCGGCGCCGACAGGACAACTGCGGTTATGCACACTACAACGAGGACGTGCAACTCCTGCCATGCTGCACCCTGGTCTCTGTTTGGGAAAACCATTTACACCTGGATGATGCATAAACTTTGAAAACACTTGCAGTGCTGAATTGATTCCACCTAGAACTGGTTGGGACAGTGATATTCCTGTGAGTTGTCCAATGTTTGATAGGAACGTGCGCAAGACAGTCTTTTTGATGAACATGGTTTCATGTATGCAGCCCAGCGAAAAAGTGTGTTTGCAAGCAGGTTAAAAGGAACTTTCTCGCTATGCAACAGCAACGTGTTTCAAACTCAGGGCCTTTACCTTGGCCTTGGAAACCCTGCTCTGGTTTCTCTTCACCCTTCAGCGTTCTTGAGCAGAACCTCACTTGGCTTGTGGGTTGATCTCTCTAGAACCAGGCCAAACATGGCCAAACCAATGTATATATATATATAGACACGCACGATTACACACGTTTATACATTTATAGTATATATGTTTAGATATTTATACATATTTGTTACATATGTAACATTATTATCACTATCACTATTATTATTATTACTATTATTATTATTATTACTACTACTGCTACTACTACTACTACTATTACTATTACTATTACTATTACCATTACTATTACTATTACCATTACTATACAACGTGTATGAGACCTTAGCCAAGAAAGGCATGTCTTGAACTTCGTGGTTTCTCAACGGTCCCTGCAGGAGCTCCAACCGCGCCCGAACTTGTCAAAGCCTGGGGCCGAATTGGTGAAGCAGCTGACGAACACAGCACGAATCCACATTTGTTCTTCCAAGCGCCAAGGACCAAGATTTGCATGAGCTTTTTGGCGGGCAACTGCCAAAATGGAGACCTCTGCATGTGATTGGACTCCTGTGGCACTGGTCCATTTGTTGGTGCTCTCGCACTCAAAGATTTCTGGCGTGGTGAAAGGCGCTTTGGGTAAAGGCAGTATTCCTGATGCGCCAGCCATATGCAGCCATTATCGGCCCTTCTATTTTCCACGGCCGTGGCCCCTCATCGAACCTGAGCTGCCACCAAAAAACACCGCCAGATCAATGCAGCTACGCCCATGGTTTGACGGAGCTCAGGGAGGTTCGGGGATCCAAGCTGTGTGCTTCCTTGGTGCGCCCGGGATGCTGCCCATTCTGGCGATAAACATCAGCACAAATGAACATTAAGGACAGCCCGAATTAGAACTGGGACTGAATCAGGGAATTGAAATTGGAGAATTGGGACTGAATCAAAGCATTTGCGGGAGCTGAGAGACAAAGAAGAGATCATGACATCATGGCTGTTGGACCGTGCTACTGCAGCTGGTATATATATACTTCTTCAATCAGATAACAGTGAAGAAACATGATGTTTCCATTGCAACGATGTTTAATGACTTCTTATGCACATTTGGTGAAGTCTCAAACAAATCGCAAACTATCCACGCATCTCGTCCCACCATCTTTTACCAGCTTCTGGCGAGACTGAGGCTCAGAAGGAACGGGGGCAGGCGGGCCCGTGGCTGTGCTGTAAACGCAAATATAAAGGCAAAAAGCAGCCATGTAATTACGTGGCTTGCATGGGGCCCTGGTGAGCAGCCCATTTTGTTGCATGAGCTTCGTGCCCATTTAAAATCAAGGGATCCAAATGGCATCTACTGGCCAGGACATGCAGGTCCCTGGCGACCCAGAGGCACTTCAGCGTGGGGGCGACCCAGTACAAGCGGGGAACACTGAGAACACCGAGACCTTCAGTTGCAGTGGATTCAATGGATGTCCTCTGGGGCACCCACTCTGCCAAGGTTTGCAGAGTCAGCAGCTGCAGTCCATGCAGTTTCCGTCTCTCGTCTCAGTCAGAGCTGGAGATGAGATGGATGGACATCAGTGACATCAGCATCAGCACATCATCAGCTTCATCAGCATGACACCAGAAAAAGCTTTTGTTTTTTGTCAATTTTTGTCATGATGCTGTGTCAACAATCAATGCATCCAGGACGGAAATGACGATGAAGATAAAGAAAAATAAATTGTGTTGCTGTTGTTGCTCTGATTCTTCTGTTTCTTCTTGTTCTTGCTGTTGATGATGTTGACCACGATCGGCATTATCCATCGCAGTCCAACCAGCTATACTACTGCTATACTCAATGTCAGTTGCATCTCCATACCGATTGGTGTGTCCGTCACTTTGGGATAAATATATCATATATAAATGTAATTAAATAATTAAAGGGCTCACGCCCCCTGCCGCCGACCCCAGATTCACTCTTTGACGCATGTGTCGAGCAAACATTTGTAGGCGCAGCAGCATGGAAGGCGCGAAATGCAGAGAGACGGTGTTGTCGAACATGCACAACCAAGATGCGCGACCACTGGACGTGCAGCCACTGCGCGGAACGAAAACCTCGCGCTGAATTCTCTGCGTGGCAGGCCACGCGCGCGCATGCACAGAATGGCACGCAACAATGCAACACGTGCGTGTCATTGGGCTTGGTTTGTCGCGTCGCTCGTAGAGCGAACCAACGCGTGCTGTGTTTGCGGCACCGCCTTCAGAGGGAGCGCGAGCAATCCATTGTAGAGGACGTCCGACGCGAAATAGCGGCAATAACCGAACGGAGGGCAAAGACGAGCGCGCAGGCAACACCTGCGCCGGGACACGTTTAAGGCCAGCCTAGTGCCTAACTTTGCTTTCTGAAACCAGAAGAAAATTTCCAGGAAAGCGCCCGGCAGGTGGCCGAAGGACATGCTGCTGGGCCGCCAAGGGCGCCGGGAAGGGTTTAAGGGCAGCCTGGGGCGCCGGCGCACGTTTAAGGCCAGCCTAGTGCCTAACGTTGCTTTCTGAAACTAGAAGAAAATCTCCAGGAAAGCGCCCGGCAGGTGGCCGAAGGATGCTGGGCCAGGGCGCCGGGACACGTTTAAGGCCAGCCTAGTGCCTAACGTTGCTTTCTGAAACCAGAAGAAAATCTCCAGGAAAGCGCCCGGCAGGTGGCCAAAGGACATGCTGCTGGGCCGCCAAGGGCGCCGGGAAGGGTTTAAGGGCAGCCTAGGGCGCCGGGACACGTTCAAGGCGGGCCAAACCTCTGTTCTTTGATTGTGATAGTTTGGTTTTTGAAAATGATAGTTTCATTTTGTGCGCCATGGAAAGTAAAAAACACAACATTTTTTAGAGTTTTGTTTTTAATGTGCTGGAAATGATATTTTAATGACATTTGTGATATATTAACATAAAGCTAATCATGAATATCTTGGAGGACTATATGTGACACACACCTTGAAATACCTTGGATCTTGAAGCATCAACATACATATTAGATTAGCCTTAGCTATCTAAGTTTTGCTTAAAATAAGATCACTCTCCAAAACTTTGTTTTGCAAAAAAACATTGATTTTGACTCAGGTGACTAAGGTTTCATGCATGGGTAGTAAACCCTGAACAAGGGTTCTAGCCCTGAATAAGGGCATGGGTGGGAATGGGCAGGCAGGAATATTGCAACTCAGCCACAATTTTCAGATCATGTAATATATTGTTTTCATCGAATAAGTTTTGACATGGAACTATCTGGGACTTGGCCTTCCTTGTCTTGGATGCCCATCTCAAAACTTAGATTCATAATTTCCATGGTTTTGAAGTGGATCCATCTGAGACTTGGTCTTCCTTGTCTTAGATGCCAATTTCAAAACTTGTTTTTTATGGATCCATCTGAGACTTGGCCTTCCTTGTCTTAGATGCCAATTTCAAAGCTGGGTTTCATGGTTTTCCCAAGTTTTGAAATGGATCCATCTGAGACTTGGCCTTCCTTGTCTTAGATGCCAATTTCAAGACTTGGTTTCATGTTTTTCCCGAGTTTTGAAATGGATCCATCTGAGACTTGGCCTTCCTTGTCTTAGATGCCAATTTCAAAACTTGGTTTCATGGTTTTCCCGAGTTTTGAAATGGATCCATCTGAGGCTTGGTCTTCCTTGTCTTAGATGCCAATTTCAAAACTTGGTTTCATAGCTTCCCAGGTTTTGAAATGGATCCATCTGAGACTTGGCCTTCCTTGTCTTAGATGCCAATTTCAAAACTTGGTTTCATTTTTTTCATTGTTTTCACTCTGTTGGTACTTGGTTGTTTTTCATTCTGTGCGCATGTTCTGGACTCGTGGGTTACTGTTTCAGAACTTGGATGCCCCCAAGGTTAGACTGGGCTTAAATAGACCGACCATACACTTAAATTCAGCAAATTTCCATGTCCCCCAGACTGGGTTTTCCCGAATTCTGTTCCTAATGGATTGGATTCTTTGACATTCCGATTCCCCATCTGGTCACAAAAATACGGGTTATTCAAAATTGTCTTATCCAAGGTTTGTTCATAGAGTTGGTTTCTCAGTGACTTGTTTTGGTCATACAATTGAATGCTTCAAGACTTCGTCGTCCAAGTGTTGGTCAAAAAACACATTTCCCCGGGACTGGTTATTTTACTGTTTTTCCTTAGAGTTGGGTTCTCCATCATAACTTGTTTGTCCAGTTTGGGTCATAGACAAGAATCGTTCAAGGCTTGGCGGTCCATAATGTCTTGGTCATGCAACTGGATTTCCCAAGACTCGCTACTTTCAAAGTTTTTATCATATAACAGACAAGAAATACAAGGTTCAAGACTTGGCTTTCCAAGTCTTGGTCATAGAATTAACTTGGTTTTCCAAGTCTTGGTCAAAGAAATAACATGTTGAGGACTTTGTTTTCCAAGTGTTGGTCACAAAGACTCTCATAGACTTAACATGTTCAAAAACTTGGCTTTCCAAATTTGGTCATCAATACTTCAAGAGATGGCGTTCCAGTCTTATTCAAAAAAAACATGTTCAAAGCCAACAGTTTTTCTTAAATCTTTTTTAAAGAAACTAAAAGTTCAAAGAAACAAGCACTAACCATTGGGAAAAAAGAATCAAGTCTCTGGACCTCATTTTCTCAGTGATGAAATTCAAAAAATATCTTTTTCACAGAGCAGTTTCATGAAAAATATGAGATTCTGGGAGGACACTGCCAGTGCCACGTCTCTGAACCCCATTTTCTCTGTGATGAAGTCTAAAACACAGAGAAAACGTGTCTTTTTCACAGAGCAGTTTCATAAAAAATATGAGATTCCAGAAGGACACTGCCAGTGCCAAGTCTCTGAACCCCATTTTCTCTGTGATGAAGTTTTAAAAAACACAAAGAAAACTTTTTTCTCACAGAGCAGTTTCAAGAAAAATATGAGATTCTGGGAGGACACTGCCAGTGCCAAGTCTCTGAACCTCATTATCTTTGTACAGTTGCTGCTGAACACATCCAGCGAGGGGGGGAGAAAAGGCAGTAAGGGGGCAGGGAAGAGAAGGAGGTTCGAAGGGTGGGAATGGGAAATGGCAGTGTCCACCAGGGAAAAGGCCCTCTTACTAACCTACGTATGCTTTGTACAGTTGCTGCTGAACACATCCAGCTATTTTTTTTTAATCATATTTTCATTAAGATAATGAGGTTTGAAGACTTGGCACTAGCAGTGTCCACCAGTGCCAAGTCTCTCAACCTCATTATCTTTTTACAGTTGCTGCTGAACACATCCAGCTATTTTTTTACAAACAGATTTTCATTAAGATAATGAGGTTCGAAGACTTGGCACTAGCAGTGTCCACCAGTGCCAAGTCTCTCAACCTCATTATCTTTTTACAGTTGCTGCTGAACACATCCAGCTATTTTTTTACAAACAGATTTTCATTAAGATAATGAGGTTCGAAGACTTGGCACTAGCAGTGTCCACCAGTGCCAAGTCTCTCAACCTTAATTTTTTGACATTTTCAGACCTTGGGGCTGATGCACATTGCTGTCACAGACAAGACCATGATCTGAGCATTAAAAACAGCAATTTCAACTTGCGTCATCAACCTTTTCAGGGTTTCCCTGAGCCCCCCAAAGTGAACTGTCGATGGCCCATTGCATGACTCTGTCTCACAGACCTGACTTGACATTCTGGTGACTGACGGCTGGCCAGCCATAGTCGAAAATGAAGTGAAGCACCTAGGAGCAAAAGCCTTTGAAGACCGCCAAAACACCTGTGAGGGCATAAATGATCTCAAGTGACTAGGGACAAGTAGTTTGCAACAAAGAGTCAACCCTCTAGAATGGCACTGGCAGTGCCTACAGGCCAAGGCTCGAAGTTACATCAAATAGCTTACCAAAAATGTTCAGGGTTTAGAAGAGAGAGAGGAGGATCTACAGACGTTGGTAAGCTACTTTGATGAATTTAGGAGAATTGGCACGGGCCACACACTGCCGTGCCAAAGTCTAGAGGCAAAAAGTCACTCCTCAGACTGGCCTAAACCATTGTGGACATCACTAAGATAATGAGGTTCAGAGACTTGGCACTGGTGGACACTGCCAGTGCCAAGTCTTCGAACCTCATTATCTTAATGAAACTCTGTTTGTAAAAAAAAATAGCTGGATGTGTTCAGCAGCAACTGTAAAAAGATAATGAGGTTGAGAGACTTGGCACTGGTGGACACTGCCAGTGCCAAGTCTTCGAACCTCATTATCTTAATGAAAATCTGTTTGTAAAAAAATAGCTGGATGTGTTCAGCAGCAACTGTAAAAAGATAATGAGGTTGAGAGACTTGGCACTGGTGGACACTGCTAGTGCCAAGTCTTCGAACCTCATTACCTTAATGAAAATCTGTTTGTAAAAAAATAGCTGGATGTGTTCAGCAGCAACTGTAAAAAGATAATGAGGTTGAGAGACTTGCCACTGGTGGACACTGCTAGTGCCAAGTCTTCGAACCTCATTATCTTAATGAAAATCTGTTTGTAAAAAAATAGCTGGATGTGTTCAGCAGCAACTGTAAAAAGATAATGAGGTTGAGAGACTTGGCACTGGTGGACACTGCTAGTGCCAAGTCTTCGAACCTCATTATCTTAATGAAAATCTGTTTGTAAAAAAAATAGCTGGATGTGTTCAGCAGCAACTGTAAAAAGATAATGAGGGAGAGAGACTTGGCACTGGTGGACACTGCCAGTGCCAAGTCTTCGAACCTCATTATCTTAATGAAAATATGATTTTAAAAAAATAGCTGGATGTGTTCAGCAGCAACTGTACAAAGATAATGAGGTTCAGAGACTTGGCACTGGCAGTGTCCTCCCAGAATCTCATATTTTTCTTGAAACTGCTCTGTGAGAAAAAAAGTTTTCTTTGTGTTTTTTAAAACTTCATCACAGAGAAAATGGGGTTCAGAGACTTGGCACTGGCAGTGTCCTTCTGGAATCTCATATTTTTTATGAAACTGCTCTGTGAAAAAGACACATTTTCTCTGTGTTTTAGACTTCATCACAGAAAATGGGGTTCAGAGACTTGGCACTGGCAGTGTCCTTCCGGAATCTCATATTTTTCATGAAACTGCTCTGTGAAAAAGATATTTTTTGAATTTCATCACTGAGAAAATGAGGTCCAGAGACTTGATTCTTTTTTCCCAATGGTTAGTGCTTCTTTCTTTGAACTTTTAGTTTCTTTTAAAAAGATTTAAGAAAAACGGTTGGCTTTGAACATGTTTTTTTTGAATAAGACTGGAGCGCCATCTCTTGAAGTATTGATGACCAAATTTGGAAAGCCAAGTTTTTGAACATGTTAAGTCTATGAGAGTCTTTGTGACCAACACTTGGAAAACAAAGCCCTCAACATGTTATTTCTTTGACCAAGACTTGGAAAACCAAGTTAATTCTATGACCAAGACTTGGAAAGCCAAGTCTTGAACCTAGTATTTCTTGTCTGTTATATGATAAAAACTTTGAAAGTAGCGAGTCTTGGGAAATCCAGTTGCATGACCAAGACATTATGGACAGCCAAGCCTTGAACGATTCTTGTCTATGACCCAAACTGGACAAACAAGTTATGATGGAGAACCCAACTCTAAGGAAAAAAAGTAAAATAACCAGTCCAGGGGAAATGTGTTTTTTGACCAACACTTGGACGACGAAGTCTTGAAGCATTCAATTGTATGACCAAAACAAGTCACTGAGAAACCAACTCTATGAACAAACCTTGGATAAGACAATTTTGAATAACCCGTATTTTTGTGACCAGATGGGGAATCGGAATGTCAAAGAATCCAATCCATTAGGAACAGAATTCGGGAAAACCCAGTCTGGGGGACATGGAAATTTGCTGAATTTAAGCGTATGGTCGGTCTATTTAAGCCCAGTCTAACCTTGGGGGCATCCAAGTTCTGAAACAGTAACCCACGAGTCCAGAACATGCGCACAGAATGAAAAACAACCAAGTACCAACAGAGTGAAAACAATGAAAAAAAATGAAACCAAGTTTTGAAATTGGCATCTAAGACAAGGAAGGCCAAGTCTCAGATGGATCCATTTCAAAACCTGGGAAGCTATGAAACCAAGTTTTGAAATTGGCATCTAAGACAAGGAAGACCAAGTCTCAGATGGATCCATTTCAAAACTCGGGAAAACCATGAAACCAAGTTTTGAAATTGGCATCTAAGACAAGGAAGGCCAAGTCTCAGATGGATCCATTTCAAAACTCGGGAAAAACATGAAACCAAGTCTTGAAATTGGCATCTAAGACAAGGAAGGCCAAGTCTCAGATGGATCCATTTCAAAACATTTCAAAACACGGGGAAAACCATGAAATCCATTTCAAGTGAAACCCAGCTTTGAAATTGGCATCTAAGACAAGGAAGGCCAAGTCTCAGATGGATCCATAAAAAACAAGTTTTGAAATTGGCATCTAAGACAAGGAAGACCGAGTCTCAGATGGATCCACTTCAAAACCATGGAAATTATGAATCTAAGTTTTGAGATGGGCATCCAAGACAAGGAAGGCCAAGTCCCAGATAGTTCCATGTCAAAACTTATTCGATGAAAACAATATATTACATGATCTGAAAATTGTGGCTGAGTTGCAATATTCCTGCCTGCCCATTCCCACCCATGCCCTTATTCAGGGCTAGAACCCTTGTTCAGGGTTTACTACCCATGCATGAAACCTTAGTCACCTGAGTCAAAATCAATGTTTTTTTTTGCAAAACAAAGTTTTGGAGAGTGATCTTATTTTAAGCAAAACTTAGATAGCTAAGGCTAATCTAATATGTATGTTGATGCTTCAAGATCCAAGGTATTTCAAGGTGTGTGTCACATATAGTCCTCCAAGATATTCATGATTAGCTTTATGTTAATATATCACAAATGTCATTAAAATATCATTTCCAGCACATTAAAAACAAAACTCTAAAAAACGTTGTGTTTTTTACTTTCCATGGCGCACAAAATGAAACTATCATTTTCAAAAACCAAACTATCACAATCAAAGAACAGAGGTTGCCACTGCCCCCAGAATGCCGCAAAACTCTGGCAAGGGCGCTGCGAGGGATTTGAAGCCAGGCTACTGCCTAACGTTGCTTTCTGAAGGCACTATAAAAGCTCTTGGAAAGCGCCCAGAATGCTGCAAAAGCCTCCGGCGAAGGCGCCGCGAGGCAGTTGAAGCCAGGCTACTGCCCCCAGAATGCAGCAACAGCCTGTGGCAAGGGCGCCGCGACACCAGAAGCCAACGCATGCCCTGCCATCGCCTGGGCGCTCCTCGGACGCGCTCCCCCTGCCATCGTCTGGGGTCGGCGGATATTAAATATACATGCAAATAAATCGATGCTTACACATTGTATGTACACATACATATAAAATCAATTGAAATCATATGAATCAGAACAACTAGAAACAACTAGAAGAACTATAATCTAATCCCATACAAGATACATCTGTCACACATTCAGCTCAGGAAGCAATTGCCCTCTGGTGGTGCTCAGCTTGCACCGCCTTCGGGCCCCATGGCTCCGTGCCCTGGCTGGGGTGGTCGGGCTGCCATTTCGAATACATTTGGAATATGCAAATAATATGTCGAGATTATCGAGATTGTGGAGCAGGCTTCGTTCTGAGCATTTCTGAGCACTGGGTTCTTGTTGTGCACGTCATGCTGTGTCCTGTCACCCGAGGCAGCAACAGCAGCAGCAAATGGAACAACAGCTGCACCTGCAGCAAATGCAGCAGCGGCTGCAGCAGAGGTTGGACCAGTTGCAGCACTTGCAACAGCAGCAGCAACAGCAATCGCAACAGCAAGTGCAACAGCAGGCGCAACAGCAACAGCAGCAACAGCAAGTGCAACAGCAGGCGCAACAGCAACAGCAGCAACAGCAAGTGCAACAGCAGGCGCAACAGCAACAGCAGCAACAGCAATTTCAACTACAACAGTTGCAACAGCAACAGTTGCAGCAACAACAGCAGTTGCAGCAACAACAGCAGTTGCAGCAACAACAGCAACAGCAACAATTACAGCAGGAACTTTTTCTGCAGCAACAGCAGCAGTTGCAGTGCGCTGTACCATCCATGGGAGTGCAAGCGGTACCTGTGCAAGCGGTGCAAGCGGTGCAAGCGGTGCAAGGAGTGGCGCCTACAGTGCCCATGCCGCAGCTGCAGCCACCACCCCAGATATCCCAGACCCAGTTTCCTCCAATGCCATTGCCTGGTTCTATGGCCGCAGTGGCCCCAGCTTCGGCAGCCATGGCACCTGCCATGGGACTGCCAAGGGCGCATGGGGAGCCCATGTCGTCGCTCCAGCAAGAGCTGCTTGGACGCATTGGCAGGCTGTGGTCTGCAAATTAGAGGCACCTGTTTTTGGTGACTGTCGCACAGGTCGCTGGGAAGGGCCTCTCATGGCTTGAACATTGTACTCGCAAAGATAAGTACGAGATACTTCTGAAGAGTGCAGAGTTGAGTCTCTTCGACCAAACCATTTTTTTGATGTAGAGTTTCTTCATCCTGTAATCGAACAAATCAAACGTCCTGGCAGAAAAGTTCTTGGCCAAACCAAACAGTGATCGAATTACATAGGATCATTACAGAAACCCAAGCCATGCCGGAGCCCAATGAGGTCAGACCTGCAGGTTGGGCACTGGGAGCCGGGTAACTTGCTTCTTGGGATGATCCCCCATTTGTGAACATTATAAAGACAAGGCTGTTAAGGGCGCTGGAACACGCTGTGGTCAAAAGTGCGATTGAGCAATCTAGGTTAAATGGTCAATATTTTCAATATGTGTCAATACTACTTGAGCCCTTGCCATTTAAACCAGAATCAGCATTTCCTGGAATGGGAAGGACATCCCCGGCTTCGCTACTTGTTGATGCTGGATCAGCAGCTCACTTGCTGATCCTACTCTGCCAGGAGCCGGTCGATGGCGCTGCAGGCGCATTCTGGAAAAACTGTGGGAATGCAACAGTCAGAGTTTCTCTTAGCCCATGCTTCATCCATGTCGAGACACAATTCACAAATGGACACGGATAGTTTTGGATATACACACGGCATCAAGGCAATTATAGATATCAAGTGAATTCAAGTGATTTTTTTGTTTTTTTGTATGAATGGTGACTATGGTGACTATGGTGACTGATAGTGAACTGATAGTGAACTGAACAGCTATCACATGGAGCAGTGGCACTGCTTCGTTTCCAACCACCTGACAGCTGCCTTGCCCGCGCTGGGAGCGGACATGCCAGTGCTGGCGTCGCTGGAGGAGGCACCTTGGGAATTTGTTGTATGGGAAAAGGCAGTTTTATGGCGTTCAAAATGATTCAACTATGACCTTCTCATACTTTCATTATCTTTTATTCAATTCCTTTCCTGGTACTTTTTTGAAAGGCTCAAAGCGAGAATTTTGTCTTCGAAAGCAACCCGCGAGTTGCAGCCGTTGCCGCAACTGCCACAGGTGGTGCAGAAGGTGGCCAAAGAGGCAGCAGCGAAGATCATCACCCAAGAGCTGGGCAACAGGCGATGAAAACGAAAAAAACGTCCCTACTTGGCCCAAAAATCTTTACCCGAAATGGATGGAAAAATATAGTAAATAGATGGAAAAGAGGGTCTGGGAATCCACTAAGTATCCAAGTGATCGAACCAAAGGCATTGGGCATGTTGTGGAAGGGATGTGGGATCCTTGATCATTCTCAAGTCTTTAATTCGCACCAGTCAAACCACAGTCATCTCCTTGCAGAGCCTGAAAATGCTCCCCTTCAGGATGGCCGTTGGTTGGGTCCTGAGAATCTACCACAACGCCCTGTAGCCTGGGTACATGTATTTTTTGTGTTTTTGGATGCAAGCATCCAAGCTATGCCCAAATCTGAAGTCTGGAAACCAATGGAAACCAATACCATGCAATACAGTATAGTATACATCCTCAATATCTCTCCCATGCAGTGGATATCAGTAACTGCGCGGCTCTTAGCACCTTGAGGTCCAGCTGTTCCGCCGGAGGCGGCGAAGTTGCGGGAGACATTTGGGAGACGGGTTTTCCGGTTTTCCCGTCAAAATTCTTGGGGAAAATGGTGCGGATTTTCAGGAAGTGCGATTCTAACTGGGCAACTGGGCATATAAGAGCACCTTGGACGTAGTATCCCTCTACATTTGGATGTCAATTTCCCAAAACTGCATGGTTTGCACTAAACATCACCAATGTTTTGGGTCATTTGGTGCCCCATTTTTGAGCCCAGCCGATCCGACTTGAGGCACCCTCTCGGCAGCGTGGAATGCTGCCTGCCGAGGCACTTCGAGTTGGCGTAACGCTATGGATATTTGCGGTCTCAGATGGTTTTTGGCTTTTCGTGTTTTTTCCTATTTTTCCATGGTTTTTCCATGGTTTTCCATGTTCTTCCCTGTCGCTTTTCCAGTCTTTTCCATCACCAAATGCGAAGATTTTAAAGGCCACGTTGCTGCTTCAAGGCCAGGGAATCTTGGGGAGGAAAGGTAGTCCAAGAAAAAAGAAAGCAACCCATCATCAAAACAGGAGAGATTCAGTTTTCATTATTTTTTTATCAGTTTTCGTCGGTTTTATCAGTTTTTATCAGTTTTTATCAGTTTTTATCAGTTTTTATCAGTTTTTTATCAGTTTTCATCAGTTTTTGGGGACAGCTATACTGTAAAGTATGGCCAATGGTTGCAGGTGAAGCAGCGGTAACACAAAAGCACCCCCTCCCAAAGATGTGTCTCGAATAAAACTTGATTGAATGCCAGGGCGATCGCAACAGCAAGAGCCCGTGGAGGACACGAAGCAGAGCGGATTGACGAACCTTGCAGTCAAGCTGTGGACATTGTGCACAGAGTGGAAATGGAGTGGAAATGGAGTGGAAATGCAGTGGAAATGGACTAGTCTGGTGACTAAGCATGGATCCAACGGAATCTAACACCGTGAGTCACTTTGAGAGCGCCAGAGGACATGCTCCTGTTCAACGAGGTGCTCCCGGTTGATGGGCAAAGAATGCCCCACAAACGGTACAGTTTGGAGCGCCTAACCCATGATGAAAATTGAGTTTAGTGATGTTTCATGTTTCTTGTTTCAAGTTTTGTGAGCATTGGGCGACCAAGACTTTCCTCTAAGTTCCCGTCAAGTCTCAATGGAAGCCTTGCCAGGCTGCAGCTGAGATCTTCCAGCTACTATTGGAGGAGGACTCCACCGGCAACCCATCGTTGCAAATGTTGAGCAGTTCCAGAGCCATAACATCGACGGGTTCCAGGCAGTCCCAGAGTTCCACATTCCGGATTTCCTACTCACACCTGTTGAAGTTTTCCGGCCCTGGATAAATGTTGCGATTAGCGTGGGGGGAAGCTTCAGGTAAAGTTGCTCCAACTTGCGTTCACGTGAGCAGGAGCAGCCATAGAGTTACATTTGCTGAAATGTCAATGTCCAAAAGAAAGTAAGAAATAAAGACACACAGTGAAAGAAAGGGGAAGAAAAGGAAGGAAAACAAAGACAAGTAAAGAAAAGGAAGGAAAAGGAAGAAAAGGAAGGAGAAGAAAAGAAAAGGGAAGAAAACAAAAGAAAAAGAAAGCAGAAAAGGAAAGAAAAGGAAAAAAATATAAAGAAAGAGAAAGAAAGAGAAAGAAAGAGAAAGAATGAGAAAGAAAGAGAAAGAAAGAGAAAGAAAGGGAAAGGTAAAGAAAGTGAGCGAGGGGTGGAGCAAGTGAGCACATTGGACCTCGTTCGTACCTCATTCGCACCTGTTCGGACCTCGTTAGATTCGCCGCCGGGCATGTGCAGCCAAAGGTAGCTTCAAGAATGCCCCCAAACCTGCAGATTCAAAGACGAAGCTCGTAAGGCTCTTTTCACGATCCTGACCAAATCTGTGTTCACAATAGGTTTTCCTTGAATTTCCTTCATAAAATGTAGCCAAAGATATTCCCTAGGTCCATTAGCATATATTTTCATGGCCCCCATGAAAGCTGCATTCACACTGGGATTTGCACAATAAAAGGATGTTCAAGTTAAAAGTATTCCAAAACATATGTTTTTGACTCATTTTTGACTATGGTGCAACTTGCGTTCTCATGGTTTTACCATTTTAAGAATGTCCCATTTCAAACTTTTATCCAAAAATCGTCTGCGTATAGCAGAAATTGTTGGTACGACTTTTTTCACATGGTGTGCAGAGTTCCATGGGGAGAGCCCATGGGGAGAGCCCTCACATGAGCTTGGTGTGACTTCCGCAGTTTCCAGTAGCAGTTGCTCTCTTGAGGTTCACGCATTTACTTGTAGCAGTAGTTCTTCTGATCATGATGCCCGGATCTTTTCACATCTTTTCACATCTTTTCACCCCACGAATCCATAGAATTGTAGAAATCCAAAGAAATCCATAGAAATCTAAGTAAGATCACTCCTAAATCCAAAGCGCTTTGGGCCCAGGAGCAACAAGAGAAGCGCTTGGGGCAGGATACTGCGCCAGGTTGGTCCAGCATGAGGTGCGGATCCACCGTGTCCAACCTGGCTAGGTCCACTGTGTCCACCTTTCCAGGATCTCAGTGGATACTGTGACCAGTTTGGGAAAGATCGGGCATAAAATGGTCATGTTGGACAGGATTGAAATGGATTGAACATACATGACATAGACTTCCAGGAAGAGTTTGATGGGTTTGTCCCGAAACTTGATTCTTGATGTATCCTTGACATCCACTAGTTATTATGGAGACTCTTATTTTGGGTTTTACTAAAGTTATACCCTTATACCGGTATACCAGTATATATATATATTATTTCATTTTTGGACAAACCCCATGTGAAGAGATGGGGATGTTTGGGGACTGCCATGATCGAAGATCAACCAGGTGGGCCACGCTGTCCATGCGACTGCTTGCAATGAGGCCTGGAATCTTCAGAATTCTATATAGAATCATATAATATCATATATACATATAGAGATGCATATTCAGTGTAGAACTACCATATGATTGTATCATATACATAGATGTTACCCATTTATCATCTATATCTATATCTATTCTACAACCCTATCCATATCTGTGTTTGTATCTATATCTGTATCTATGTTTATGTGCATATCTATATATACACATAACTATCTATATCTATTTATCTAATCCAATCTGATCTGACTTGATCTGATATGTCATCTAATCAAATCAAATGAAATCTAAATTTTAATCAAAATCAAAGTCAAATCAAATCTCTCTCTCTCTCTCTACATATATATACATACATACATACATACATACATACATACATACATACATACATACATAATCTAAACGTGGATAATTCAGTCCAGTCCAGTCCAGTCCAATCGAATCCAATCGAATCCAATCCAATCCAATCCAATCCATCTATCTCTCCATCCATCCATCCATCCATCCATCCATCCATCCATCTATCTATCTATCCATCTATCCATCTATCCATCTATCCATCTATCCATCTATCCATCTATCCATCTATCCATCTATCTATCTACCTATCCATCTGTGCATCTGTGCATCTATCCATCTGCCACCCATCTACCATCTATCTACCTATCTATCTATCTATCTACCTATCTATCTACCTATCTATCTACCTATCTATCTACCTACTTATCTATCTATCTATCAATCGATCTATCTACCTACCTATCTATCTGTCTGTCTGTCTATCTATCTATCTATCTATCTACCTATCTATCTATCTATCTATCTATCTACCTACCTACCTACCCACCCACCTACCTACCTACCTACCTACCTACCTACCTACCTCTCTATCTATCTATCTATCTATCTATCGATCCATCCATCCATCCATCCATCCATCCATCTCTCTCTCTCTCTCCCCTTTTTTCTTTCCATAAAGTTACGAAAGCCAGCCGGGAAGCTGGCTAGTTGCTATTTGCGAACGAAGTGAGAATAGGGGGTCGGGGGGGGGTAGTTGCCAAACGGGTCAAAAATCGGGAAAATAGGTGGTGATTTTAGTGAGAAAAAAGTATGGTTTTGAAGGGTAATGTAGCAGGCGGCAAAACAGTGACGGTGGGTCCCCCTAGGTCCGGTTTTCTGGGGTTTTCTGGGCTCAGTCAATGGACAGAAAGATGGGCCAGCTAGTTAGAGGAGATTGGAGAGAGAAGGACATTGGGTGAAAAGTATGTGCAAGAAGGGTTTCTGGGTGAAGAGTCTCGGGGTGAAAAGTATATGGGTGAAAAGTCTGCGCAAGAAGAGTTTCTGGGTGAAGAGTCTCTGGGTGAAAAATCTGTGCAAGAAGAGTTTCTGGGTGAAGAGTCTCTGGGTGAAAAGTATATGGGTGAAAAGTATTTGCAAGAAGAGTTTCTGGGTGAAGAGTCTCTGGGTGAAAAGTATATGGGTGAAAAGTCTGTGCAAGAAGAGTTTCTGGGTGAAAAGTATGTGAAAGAAGAGTTTCTGGGTGAAGAGTCTGGGTGAAAAGTATATGGGTGAACAGTATGTGCAAGAAGAGTTTCTGGGTGAAGAGTCTCTGGGTGAAAAGTATATGGGTGAAAAGTATGTGCAAGAAGAGTTTCTGGGTGAAGAGTTTCTGGGTGAAGTAAGGGTGAAAAGTTGTGCAAGAAGAGTTTCTGGGTGAAGAGTCTCTGGGTGAAAAGTATATGGGTGAAAAGTATGTAGTTTCTGGGTAGTCTCTGAAAAGTATGTGAAGAGTTTCTGGGTGAAGAGTCTCTGGGTGAAAAGTATTGTGCAAGAAGAGTTTCTGGGTGAAAAGTATGTGCAAGAAGAGTTTCTGGGAAGAGTCTCTCGTGAAAAGTATATGGGTGAAAAGTATGTGCAAGAAGAGTTTCTGGGTGAAGAGTCTCTGTTTCTGGGTAAAAAGTATATGGGTGAAAAGTATGTGCAAGAAGAGTTCCTGGGTGAAGAGTCTCTGGGTGAAAAGTATATGGGTGAAAAGTATGTGCAAGAAGAGTTTCTGGGTGAAGAGTCTCTGGGTGAAAAGTGTATGGGTGAAAAGTATGTGCAAGAAGAGTTTCTGGGTGAAGAGTCTCTGGGTGAAAAGTATATTGGTGAAAAGTATGTGCAAGAAGAGTTTCTGGGTGAAGAGTCCCTGGGTGAAAAGTATATGGGTGAAAAGTATGTGCAGAAAGTTTCAAGAAGAGTGGCCTGGGTGAAGAGTCTCTGGGTGAAAAGTATATGGGTGAAAAGTATGTGCAAGAAGAGTTTCTGGGTGAAGAGTCTCTGGGTGAAAAGTATATGGGTGAAAAGTATGTGCAAGAAGAGTTTCTGGGTGAAGAGTCTCTGGGTGAAAAGTATATGGTGAAAAGTATGTGCAAGAAGAGTTTCTGGGTGAAGAGTCTCTGGGTGAAAAGTAAATGGGTGAAAAGTATGTGCAAGAAGAGTTTCTGGGTGAAGAGTCTCTGGGTGAAAAGTATATGGGTGAAAAGTATGTGCAAGAAGAGTTTCTGGGTGAAGAGTCTGTGGGTGAAAAGTTTATGGGTGAAAAGTATGTGCAAGAAGAGTTTCTGGGGTTGAAGAGTCTCTGGTAAAAGTATATGGAGTGAAAAGTATGTGCAAGAAAGTCTCTGGGTGAAGCGTCTCTGGGTGAAAAGTATATGAGGCAAAAGTATGTGCCAGAAGAGTTTCTTGGTGAAGAGTCTCGGGGTGAAAAGAATATGGGTGAAAACTATGTGCAAGAAGAGTTTCTGGGTAAAGAGTCTCTGGGTGAAGAGTCTGTGCAAGAAGAGTTTCTGGGTGAAGAGTCTCTGGGTGAAAACTATGTACAAGAAGAGTTTCTGGATGAAGAGTCTCTGGATGAAAAGTATCGGGTGAAAAGTATATGGGTGAAAAGTATGTGCAAGAAGAGTTTCTGGGTGAAGAGTCTCTGGGTGAAAAGTATATGGGTGAAAAGTATGTGCAAGAAGAGTTTCTGGGTGAAGAGTCTCTGGGTGAAAAGTATATGGGTGAAAAGTATGTGCAAGAAGAGTTTCTGGGTGAAGAGTATATGGGTGAAAAGTATATGGGTGAAAAGTATGTGCCAGAAAGTTTCTTGGTAAAGAGTCTCTGGGTGAAAAGTATATGGGTGAAAAGTATGTGCAAGAAGAGTTTCTGGGTGAAGAATTTCTGGGTGAACAGTATATGGGTGAAAAGTATGTGCAAGAAGAGTTCCTGGGTGAAGAGTCTCTGGGTGAAAAGTATATGGGTGAAAAGTATGTGCCAGAAAGTTTCTGGGTGAAGAGTCTCTGGGTAAAAAGTATATGGGTGAAAAGTATGTGCAAGAAGAGTTTCTGGGTGAAGAGTCTCTGGGTGAAAAGTATATGGGTGAAAAGCATGTGCACGAAGAGTTTCTGGGTGAAAAGTATGTGCAAGAAGAGTTTCTGGGTTAAGAGTCTCTGGATGAAAAGTATATGGGTGAAAAGTATGTGCAAGAAGAGGTGAAAAGTATATGGGTGAAAAGTATGTGCAAGAAGGGTTTCTGGGTGAAGAGTCTGTGGGTAAAAGTCTATGGGTGAAAAGTATGTGCAAGAAGAGTTTCTGGGTGAAGAGTCTCTGGGTGAAAAGTATGTGCAAGAAGAGTTTCTGGGTGAAAAGTATATGGGTGAAAAGTATGTGCAAGAAGAGTTTCTGGGTGAAGAGTCTCTGGGTGAAAAGTATATGGTTGAAACGTATGTGCAAGAAGGGTTTCTGGGTGAAGAGTCTGTGGGTAAAAGTCTATGGGTGAAAAGTATGTGCAAGAAGAGTGTCTGGGTGAAAACTATGTACAAGAAGAGTTTCTGGATGAAGAGTCTCTGGGTGAAGAGTCTCTGGGTGAAAAGTATATGGGTGAAAAGTATGTGCAAGAAGAGATTCTGCGTTAAGAGTCTCTGGATGAAAAGTATATGGGTGAAAAGTATGTGCAAGAAGAGTTTCTGGGTGAAGATTCTCTGGGTGAAAAGTATATGGGTGAAACGTATGTGCAAGAAGGGTTTCTGGGTGAAGAGTCTGTGGGTAAAAGTCTATGGGTGAAAAGTATGTGCAAGAAGAGTTTCTGGGTGGAAAGTATGTGCCAGGAGGGTTTCTGGGTGAAGAGTCTCTGGGTGAAAAATATTGGGGAACATAGGGATAGATGGGATGCTGGCTTTCGTTCCCCGCTTCTCAGGTAGTTATATATGCAGACCAGTTGTTGAGTACCAGAAATGGTTCATTCTCACTTAACTTAACAGAGTCCCTGCGAAAGTTGAGTTTTCCATGTGCCCACATTTTTGTTTTCCCAGCACCACACCACAGTCGGGCTATCAGGCATCAATTCTCTTTGCGGGAGGGCAAGTGCTTGCTTGCCATTTGCAGAAAAGAGTGCCAGTCTCAGTGTCGACAGCTGGTTCTGTCGACCTTCATGTCATGGACATCCCAGGTCTTTGAGCCTGGCTGAGGTGGGGATGTTGATGTGTTGATGTTGCAGGTGCCACCTCTACCTCCAAACTTGGTGACATAATATGATGTACTATGATTTAATTATTGTTATAATGATACAATTCTGTAGTCCCATTCGATTCCTAGTTTTTTGTTATGGGTAACCACAGCATGTTATCGATATCTACTTATATACCAGTAGTACCGCACAAGGCGGTGGCGGAAGTTTCAACAATAGGAAACCTATAGGAGAGGTTGGTTGTTGTGAATCACGGATGGCAGAGCGAATCCACTGATGGACCGAAAGGTGGTTGGAGTTGTGCTTTTTGGAATGGTTGCAATGGTTGCAGCGGTCACCTCACTCACGACTCCTGGATGTAGTGTGGTGTAGCGCAGTAGTTGTAGTTGTAGTTGTAGTTGTAGTTGTAGTTGTAGTTGTAGTTGTAGTTGTAGTTGTAGTTGTAGTTGTAGTTGTAGCGGCGTTGATGATGTTGTTGAAGTTGTAATGTTGTAGCTGTGGCTGTAGTTGTAGTCCTGGTTGTAGTGTAGTTGAAGTGTAGCTGAAGTTGTACTTGTCTTAATTGTAGTAACTGTAGTAATGGTGTAGCGCAGTAGTTGTAGTTGTAGTTGTAGTTGTAGTTGTAGTGTAGTGGAGTTGCAGTTGTAAACTGTAGTTATGTAGTGTAATTAGTGTAGTGTAGTTGCAGTTGCAGTTGTAGTGGTGGTGTGGTGTAATTAGTGTAGTGTATTGTCATCTACTGTAGTGTTGTGTACTGTAGCGTGGTATAGTGTAGTGTGGCCTAGTGTATTGTAGTGTAAAGTAGTGTAGTTGTAGTTGTAGTGTAGTGTCGTGTAGTGCAATGTAGTGGTAGTTGCAGTTGTAGTGTAATTAATGTAATGTAATTAGTGTAGTGTAGTGTTGTGTAATGTACTGTAGTTCTAGTTGTGTCTGTACTTGAAGCTGTAATGTACTGCAGTTTAATTAGTGTATTGTAGTGTAATGTAGTGTAGCTGTAATTGTAGTTGTAGCTGTGGTGGTGGTGGTGGTGGTAGTAGTAGTAGTTGTTGTAGTAGTGTAATTAGTGTAGCGTAGTACTGTAGTGTAATTAGATGTAACTAGTGTAGTGTAGTGTAATTAGTGTTGTGTAATGTAGCCTAGTATATTTGTAGTAGTGTAGTGTAGTGGTACTTGTAGTTGCAGTTGCAGTTGTAGTTGTCTATCTATCTATTTGTCTGTCTGCAAGCTTGAAAACGGAGCAATTCAGCGAGACCTCCGAAATTTTTGAACTTGACAACGTCACAAACGAAGCAATCCTGCGAGACCTCCGCAATTTTCGAAGTTGACAAAGTCAAAAACGAAGCAATTCTGCGAGAGTTCCTTCAAAAATGGACAGTTGAGTGCAGAGCTGACGGCCTCGTACCAATGCGTTTTGCGATTTTTCCACTCCACCTGTCTAAAGTATTGCGCCTACCACGAAAAAGTGAGGCCAGACATACGAAGTGCTGCACCTGTCACGCAAAATCAGCTTCCCAAAACTGAAGATCTGATGCTCCAAAATGCAACCCTTCTCAAGAAATCAGTGCCCTGACCTCCTAACATCTCTGATGAACATGTCTCTTGTACTGCGCCTGCCACGGGAAATGCATCTTTGCAGATCCTCTTCAAATGTCCCACGCCTGCCATCGTTTCTGGAAATGCTACAAAACCCTAACCCTTTGCTCACTTTTGACAAGGTGCCCAATCCCTTGCACCTGCCACGCGAAACGAATCTGAACGTTCGAAAGTGTTCCGTAGTACCCCTCAGTTTTTTGCACTTTTGACTTGGAAATGTGCTTCGCGCCACAACAGCGTGCACTTTTTCGATATATCAACTTCCAAAAGTGGTCCGAGCATGGTGTGTTTTGTACATGTTGACTGCGAAATGTGCTTCGCGCCACAACAGTGTGCACTTTTTCGACATCTCAACTTCCAAAAGTGGCCCGAACATGAGGTGTTTTGTACATTTTGACTGCCACAACGGCGCGCATTTTTTCGACATCTCAACTTCTAAAAGTGTTTTAGAGGTGAGGTGTTTTGTCCATTTTGACTTGGAAATGTGCTTCTCGCCACAACGGTGTGCAACTTTTCATGTCTCATCTGACCACATGGCTCCACACCCGCCGCTTTAGCGAGCTTACTTTTTGTCCCTCCGGAGCCACAAATCATTGGAAAAACACAGCGTTTCGTGACTTTCTACCTTTTCGCGCAGCTCGATCTTCGATCTTCGATCTTCGATCTTCTTTCTTCTTTCTTCTTTCTTCTTTCTTCTTTCTTCTTTCTTCTTTCTTCTTTCTTCTTTCTTCTTTCTTCTTTCTTCTTCCTTCTTCCTTCTTCCTTCTTCCTTCTTCCTTCTTCTCTTCTTCTCTTCTTCTCTTCTTCTCTTCTTCTCTTCTTCTCTTCTTCTCTTCTCTTCTTCTCTTCTTCTCTTCTTCTCTTCTTCTCTTCTTCTCTTCTTCTCTTCTTCTCTTCTTCTCTTCTTCTCTTCTTCCCTTCTCTTCCCTTCTCTTCCCTTCTCTTCCCTTCTCTTCCCTTCTCTTCCCTTCTCTTCTCTTCTCTTCTCTTCTCTTCCCTTACCTCCCCTTCCTCTTCCTCTTCCTCTTCCTCTTCCTCTTCCTCTTCCTCTTCCTCTTCCTCTTCCTCTTCCTCTTCCTCTTCCTCTTCCTCTTCCCTCCCCTTCTCTTCCCTTCTCTTCTCTTCTCTGACTCTTCCCATCTCTGCTTTTCATCTGTCCATATTGTCGGAAGTTTGACTTCTAAATTTCCTTCGGCGATACACGCGCAAACAAATAACATGTATATTTCTCTTGCATTTATATCTTTCTCCTCACTTTTATATGTCTACAACTTCTTGGTGGCGCGTAGGAGCAGCTGGTGGAACTCATCCTGCTGGGCGACCCACTGTGGATCTCCACCTTCCCGTGGCTGAAGCGACGCTGTATGCAACTGCTGGCGCAGCGTTTGTCACGTCCCAAGTCGCGTCGTGAGTCGTGGGTGGGTTGGGCAGTCTTTGGATTCCAGGCGCCACAAGATTCACAAGATGTTTGAATCTGTTAGAATCTGTTAGTGTTTAAATTGCGACCAAGGGAAAGTTAACTTCTTGGGAAAATTCTTTCGAAGATTCTTTCGAACCGTTTTTTTCAGGATTTGAAGGGCTCTTGACATCTTGAGCCTCAGGAGGTGGTTGTAGGAAACTGATTTCCAGATCCCGTCGCGGTGTCACTCATTGTCACGCTTGATTTCAAAGGTCAAATGATCTTGTAACAAATGAAGATGTTCGAACACTTTCATCCAGTTGCAATTTGATGCCAACCAATCAAGACCGATTTTTGGATGTCATAATTTGGAATCCCAGTAGCAGCACTTGCTTGTTGTCAAAATATGGACACTGAAAATGGTCTAAGAGCTGAGAGCTGCGAAAATTCAAAAGGTCATTTGGGGTGCTCATGCTCTCCCGGTGGGGAAAAAACTTGGACATGTTTGATGTTTTTTTTGGTAACATCGTCATGTGGCCACAGGGAGGAAAACTTGCCTGCCGAAACAACGAGGCGTCCAGGGTTGGAAGTGGTTTGTGGCACTTCTGGCCTATTTTGGGATATATGAATCCATCTTAGCTGGTCCATCGTAATCTGTTCTCGAGGGATTGTGGACAGTTTCATTGCATGCATTGTAGCGGTGCCGTTTGTGATCTTAGCGACTGGGCAAATTTTGGTGAACATGTGAACCCTGGGTAGACATACCGACAAGTAAACAATGACCCTGGCTGCACGCAACTTTCTTCTGAGTGACTTACTGTATTTGCACAAAAGGGAGACCGGTTTTCTCTTTGCATACTGACAGTGTTTGTGAGAAAAGATGGACTGCTCAGGCTCCCACGGTAATCCGTGGTTCCCTTCTCATTGTGTCAATGACGTGAGTGCACTCCGCAGATAGACTCTCCAAAGTGTTAAACACCGTTCAAACGGAAATGTCTCAACGTGAAGAGCAATAGTTTGGGGTGAAATACACTCAGGTGAGTTAGCTGGTTTGATGGGGTCACCCATGTGCGTCACAAAACCGAATGTGCTGCTGGGAATAAAGTCTGTATTTCCATTTCTCAGAGGCTAACCATATCTTTATCATCCACTTTTTTCCCTGGATATTTTGCCCCCCTTTTCTCAGGAGTCCCCAGTTTTGGTTTGTAAGTACCAATTCTGCACACTCGGTTCAAGCACAACCTTGCGGCACCAGGCACTCCAAGATTGGCGTCGCTCCAGGCGTTCTTCGGAGGAAACATAGTGGAGTCAGAAACTTTGACTGTCTGTGTTAGAACCATAGAACAAATCTGGGAAAATGGGATTTGACTCATATGACCACCAAAATCTCGATTTAACTTGGCGATTACCACCAATAATGATGAGGATTTAACAGCTATAATTTCAATCCTCAATTAGGTAGTTTGGGGCTGGGGGAATTCGTTTTTTTGCAATTTGGATCCTTTTTCAGAGAAGAATCTTGTTGCGATTTTTGCTGAGTTTCAATGTGTTAAACTATTGCCGACCGGTCTTTGGATATGAAACGCCACAGCTCCTTGGCAAGGCTGATTGTGCTTCTGCTTGGCACATAATCTATACACATACACCTCCATGCAGACATATAAACACACATGCCTATGTGATCATATATGTACAGTATATATTAATGATAATAGTGATAATAGTAATGAATATTCATATTCAAATTCATGTATACATATATGTATTAATAATATATATATGTATATATATATGTATACATATGTCCATATGATCTGATTTGCAAAAACCCGGTAGGGTCTGACCAATTGCCGGTGCTGTTGGATTTTCTGCCGATGGGGTCAGGCACTTCCCTGGGCTCCAAGAGCATCGCAGAGAGGTGCCACTGCCCTGAACTGTTCTTAGTTGTTGAATGGATTCAAGTCGTTTCTAAATGTAAGCCCATTGGGTAGAGAAGCCTGGTATTTGGGTTCTCTCAAAAAGTATAGCTGGAAGCATTGGAAGCCCATCAGTGGTTGGACCCTGCTGGAATTTCAGGAACCCTGGCCCAAATACTGAGTGAAGAAATCTGCTGCGACTTTTCATTCCTTGAGTTTCTGGGGTATCTGGGGGTGACCAGTTCCATTTCTGCAGGAGGAGCCACCAAGATGGTGTTGTGGTGAGTAGTCTGTACTCACGGAGAAACTTCGAGGCTGGAGCAAGGAGCTACAGTAGATGTAGATGTGCATGTATTGTGTTTGCATTGGCATGTATCCGTGTTTGTGAAATGCGCTCCTCTAGCTGGATAGAAGGTTTCGTACAACAGAGAAGAGTCTACATTTGGATTCGTGGATGCACCGTTTCTGTTCGTGTACATCTACGACATACTAGGATTAGTCTACGAAGCAGTTACTGACTTGGAACAGTGCTTAATTTCTCGTGGATAGGGTCTTCAACGGTCTTCAAAAGGTCTTCAATAGTCCTTGAGACCAGTAGAGCACAACTTTTCCAAGAAAAAATCATTGGTCAAACACGACCTCCCCTTTGCAGCCTGAATGGACATGTTCCATTCAGCCGCCTTCAGCTGTGCAGGTTCCTGTCGGCTCTTCGCGCACCATGCAAGAGCTGCCGCCTCTGTATCACGCCAGTGTCCGGGCACTGAGTCTGTCGGATGGGGTTTCACTGTTTCACCAGTTTCACAGATCAACTCAGATCAACCAGATGAGGTGACTATTTTTGATGGTGCACTGCTTGAAGCCACAATAGGAAATGCCCACGCTCAAGCAGTTGAACCAGCGTGGATGCCAACGATCATTTGAGGCAAGCACAAGGGTCACAAGGGCAGGAGCCGGAACATCCTTGTGATCCTGTTGTGATCCTGTTGTGATCCGGTGATTTCGTTCCGAGATCAGAGCCTTCTACACCCATTCTGCAGATGCGCTTCCACCTCCACCGGGATTGTGTCGGTCAGAGGAGCGCACCAGGGAAGCAGGTCTCCGGTGTGACAATGCGGATGTTGGGAAAATGCAAGAGCTGTTGCTAGACTGCTAGAAGCTGGTGTTCTGACTTCTGACTTGAGTCTTTCTAGAGAGAGTTCGTGACAAGTCATTGATTGATTGGGTTGTTGTTTCTGAAAAGCTCTGCACGATTCCTGACTACTTTCAGTGTCCATTTGTCTCTCGCGGGTCAAGAAAATTGTGGGATTTACAGTATGATGTAAAATTGCTTTGAATTGTACATGTATATAAACGACCGACTACAGATCTTACAGTACCCAAGGACGCTTCAAACCGGGACCCCAACACGACGCGTTCTTCCTCTTCGATTGGAAGTAGACCGAATGGCATTCATTTGGATCCAGTCTAGGGGATTTGTTGGAATCCACGAGTTTACGACTGATTCATCAATTTTAATCTTGCTGTCTTGTCCCATCTTGTCCCAATGTGGTCGCTTCTGGCTGCCTGGGAATACGATATGGGGCCAGGACGAGGACGAAGATGAAGATGACTGAGGGAATACTACAAGTTTCGATTTGTGTACTAGTTTTGCCTTTATTAAGCTCACTCCCAGAGGACGGAAGTGCGAGCTGGGAATGGGTGCCAATGTCGTATCCTATGGTGAATCATGGAGTGTCATGGATTGATGGCCCCTCAGAAAAACTTCTAAGTACTTGTATTGGATATGAAATGATATGAATAGATTAGGGGATTTCAAGTTTCTTTTTGAATATCCAAGGTTTGTGGGTGGATACGGAGGGGTGTGAAGGGTCAGAAGAACTTGTCGTGGTGGGTATTAGTCATGAGTCATGAATGGTTTTTTCTGCTGAGTATGGCCATTTCTGGGTTCCAGTTTTTGTTTCTTGCTGGTTCCAGTATGTTTATTCCCGAGAGCGTCTGAGCGCAGGGTTCTTCCAATAGTGGGGGTCTGTAAAACATCTTCTCATCTTCACATCTCATCTTCACATCCTCTCATCTTCACATCCTCTCATCTTCACATCTGCTCATCTTCACACCTTCCCATCTTCACATCTGCTCATCTTCACACCTTCCCATCACATCTGCTCATCTTCACATCTGCTCATCTTCACATCTGCTCATCTTCACATCTTCTTATCTTCACATCTTCTCATCTTCACATCTGCTCATCTTCACATCTGCTCATCTTCACATCTGCTCATCTTCACATCTTCTCATCTTCACATCTGTTCATCTTCACATCTGCTCATCTTCACATCTGCTCATCTTCACATCTTCTTATCTTCACACCTGCTCATCTTCACATCTGCTCATCTTCACATCTGCTCATCTTCACACCTTCCCATCTTCTCATCTTCACATCTGCTCATCTTCACATCTGCTCATGTTCACATCTGCTCATCTTCACATCTTCTTATCTTCACACCTGCTCACCTTCTCTCTCATGCCTTCTTTTTATCTTTCTCTCTTAAGGCCGAGGGTGGTGCCGGCGGCGAGTCACGAAACGTCAACCCTTTCGCAGGAAATGAGGGTCGATCGGCAAAAACTGAGGTAAAAGTGCGATTTTACTTGTTGTGGAGCAACCCTTTCGCAGGAAATGAGGGTCGATCGGCAAAAACTGAGGTAAAAGTGCGATTTTACTTGTCCTGGAGCAACCCTTTCGCACGAAATGAGGGTCGATCGGCAAAAACTGAGGTAAAATTGCGATTTGACTTGTCCCGGAGCAACCCTTTCGCACGAAATGAGGGTCGATCGGCAAAAACTGAGGTAAAATTGCGATTTGACTTGCCCCGGAGCAACCCTTTCGCACGAAATGAGGGTCGATCGGCAAAAACTGAGGTAAAATTGCGATTTGACTTGTCCCGGAGCAACCCTTTCGCACGAAATGAGGGTCGATCGGCAAAAACTGAGGTAAAATTGCGATTTTACTTGTCCTGGAGCAACCCTTTCGCACGAAATGAGGGTCGATCGGCAAAAACTGAGGTAAAATTGCGATTTTACTTGTGCCGTTCTTGTCTGTGTGTAAAAGCGCCTGTGTGTAAAAAGCGTCTGTGTGTAAAAGTCTCTGTGTGTAAAAGCGTCTGTGTGTAAAAGCGTCTGTGTGTCAAAGTGTCTGTGTGTAAAAGCGTCTGTGTGTAAAAGTGTTTGTGTGTAAAAGTGTTTGTGTTCAAGTGTTTCTGTGTAAAAGCCTCTGTGTGTAAATGTGTTTGTGTGTGAAAGCGTTTGCGTGTAAAAAGCGTCTGTGTGTAGAGGTTGTCTGTGTGTAAAAGCGTCTGTGTGTCAAAGCGTTTGTGTGTAAAAGCGTCTGTGTGTAAAAGTGTTTGTATGTAAAAGCTTCTGTGTGTAAAAGTGTTTGTGTAAAAGTGTTTGTGTAAAAGCCTCTGTGTGTACATGTGTTTGTGTGTGACAGCGTCTGTGTGTAAAAAGCGTCTGTGTGTAAAAAACGTCTGTGTGTAAAAGTCTCTGTGTGTAAAAGCGTCTGTGTGTAAAAGCGTCTGTGTGTCAAAGTGTCTGTGTGTAAAAGCGTCTGTGTGTAAAAGTGTTTGTGTGTAAAAGTGTTTGTGTTCAAGTGTTTCTGTGTAAAAGCCTCTGTGTGTAAATGTGTTTGTGTGTGAAAGCGTTTGCGTGTAAAAAGCGTCTGTGTGTAGAGGTCGTCTGTGTGTAAAAGCGTCTGTGTGTCAAAGCGTTTGTGTGTAAAAACGTTTGTGCGTAAAAGTGTTTGTATGTAAAAGCTTCTGTGTGTAAAAGTGTTTGTGTTACAGTGTTTGTGTAAAAGCCTCTGTGTGTAAAAGCTTTGTGTTTAAAAGCGTCTGTGTGTAAAAAGCGTCTGTTTGTAAAAGTGTTTGCGATGCAAACTACTGTCTTGCACTTCTCACTGTCCTGTCTTGATACTCCTCTTCTCGACTGCCTATAACAGAGCTTTCATATATCGTTTCTAATATTGCGTCTCCATACTAACAAGAGAAGACCCTGCTCCTCTACGCTCTCGGGCCATCCGTCGTCTAGTTTCAACGGGTACGCCATTCCCCAAAAAGTATAAACAAGTCCAATCCCAATCATTCAATCTGGTATGTCTCAGAATGATGGACTCCCATTTTGGGATGGTGAAATACTAAGAAAGACAGACATAGAAAGACAGAATATCTTGTGGCCCTATTGCTACCCCGTTTTTGAGCCATACCCATGTTGATTCCTTTGTGACTCACAGGAGTGAAAGGACTTCTTCAGGATGCTCTTTCCATGCATCCGTCCTACACGCTCGTTTGTTTATGACGGCTTTAGAAACTTCAATTCCAGCGTTTTTTTCACAATTTCAATCACGCCGCAGGAACCCGCATCGGCAGACAGTTTGACCGTTTGAAGATGTTTCAAGTGACAAGAGGAAGGATGCAGAATACTGAACAAGTTCGGATCTTGCATGTTTCATAGTTTGATGATATTTGAATATATTTGGTGGGTTTTGGGTGGAGGATTTCTTCCGTCAGGGTCTCATGAGCACCCTCGGGGGCTGTTAGATGCAGTCATCAACCCCCAACTGTAGTCAGGATCTGTTTGTCGAAAACCTTGGAGGTTGACACATTGTTTCAACTCAGGGCATATTCCAGCAATGCAAAAAAAGGGGCACAACACAGTCAAATCATTTGTGTATGCAGTTCCTGGGAAAATTCAGCCCTCCAACAGGAGGGCCCAAGCCCCATGATTCATCAAAGACCCACTTATATGATTTTGATATATTTTGATGATTGACAACAGCTTCGTTTGCACGGTCTTGCGATGTCTTGCGGCCTCGGAAGTATATTAAAGAAGAGCCTCGAAAGCACTGGATTACAGCGAAAATGGAGATGGCCACTTTCTTAACGTTTCTTCCAATGATCAAGATAAATAGATATAATTTATGATATAAAATGATATAAATAGATATAAATAGACTCAAATAGATGCATTTGTCGGCCATCTCCTGCTGCACGGCCCAGAAAGGCGGCCTGTTGGGCCCTTGCTCCGAAATTCCAAAGCTTTGCCAACCGGGAGGTGCGAAGGCAGAACTTTATAGCGATTTTGAATGTGAAATATGTGAACAGTTGGAACTAAATCAACGACAGTCGAAAAGTTTCTTGATCTCTTTGCCAGCAAATCTTAAAAGATACACACGTTTTTTTTTAAGCAACATAATTTCGAGAACTGAGCCTTGCTGAGAAGGCGAGCAAGTTGGTTTGTTTTTTGTTTCCTCGGCCCATCCAAGTAGTATTTGCTGAGGTGGTGCTGTGGGGAGACCGATGCTGGTTGTTGGACGGTTTCAAAAATATATGGAAATATAACATCTTATGAAGCTCAGAAGCTTTCAATGGTCAGGAGGATCTCCATCCTACTTAAGATATCTTTATCTTTAGATATAGAGTTTTGCAATGTCTTGTACCATCTTGTGCCTACATCATAAATTCATATCATTCATATCTCATTCCAGCAGCCCAAAGATGCGAAAGATGCGAAAGATGTTGCTGGAGATGTCGAAGTTATGGCTGTATTCAGCCAAGAGGTGCCGCTGGCGGAGCACTTTGCTCCACGAGATGACGCAGCGGCGCGGAAACAAACAGGTCTCCGGCATCGGCGAATCGGTGGATCTCGGTGGTCAAGCCAGGTCAAACCGAGGTCCATTGGCATCAAGGGAATTCGAAGTGCTCAAGGAGTCCAACTAGTCCAACTCGTCCAGTTGTTCATTCGAGGTGAACATTTGGATCCAGTGGCTGTGGTGGTCCAGAAACTGGTTTGCAAAGCGGAAGTTGGTCATCAAAAATGATCACCAGCCCACCGCAGCCAGGTTAATTGGCTTCCAGCACTTCACTGCTGGTATGCCACAGTCGTCCCACAGTTTGCTGAACCAACTCTTCTAGCCATTTAGTGGCTTCGAGTCAGGCTGAAGATATGCTGCAGACGCCATTGTTACATCATGGGGATACTCTACCTGGTAAGCAAGCTATCAATCAATATCTATCAATGAACTTCAGAATGCACATGAAGCATCCATGGGAGGGCTCAAAATTCTTGGCTCCTCAAAAATGGACAGTGAGATGTTCAAACACATTCAACACATTTCAAAACGATATCAAACAATAAACAATTATTTAGGACAATGATAAAGAAAGCGACTGCTATGGTCTATGGTCCTTAGCCCCCCCAAGCGCATTATCCCAACTCAGCACCCTGCCATGGATGGGCGCTATGGGGCACCCTCACGTCATGGCTGGGCCATCCAGCGTGAAGCTGAAGCTCTGCAGATGGTGTGGCTGCAGGACCTGGTGGATTCTCTTTGAGGATAGCTGCATCCCCACACTGCCTGTCCCGACCTTGAAACCTGCTGACAGCCCCAAATGAAGAAAGCTGCACAACTCCAAATTCACTTGGTGGCAGTCTAGCATAATGATGCATAATGTTTGTAAGGTTCATTTCCCCACGTCAACCCCCCGTCCACCCAGGAGCACAGCAGTTTGGATGCCTTTGCAGCAGAGATCCAACGGCAGTTGGATACAACGAGGTGAGGTGGTTTGGAGGCGGTAGATTCGGATTCTTGGCATTGGAGGATTTGCTCCTGAGGACTGGAGCCTCGACATCGTTGTCTTGGCGGCCGTTAGCCGGCGCTGGGAGGTGCGGCGCCTTTCTTGGACTTTTCGGGGATGCCTTGGGCATTTCTTTTTTCAGAGGTTTTAGCCATATCGGCGAAAGTGTTCGAAAGTTGGGGCTTTGCAGGGATGAACCTGGACCATTTTGCCGCTAAGGCCTGAGCTTGGCGCTGTGGTACACCGTTCCAGTAAGTTGGAGGGAGGTTCGATGGTTGGGTGCAGGGGTGGTGACTGATTGACCAGCGCGCAATGTGACTTGGAGAGTAAGGATTTTGACTGGCTCTTCCCTTGTCCATTCTAGGAATCCTTCTAGTCGCGACTGACAGGAATGGGTATGGAGGCTTGCTTTAGCTTCTGTCCGCGGATTGCAGCAGATTTGCAAGAAGGCGCTGATCATCACCTCCATACCATGGACTTTCCCGTGTCTACAGTAGATGTTTCTGGTTTGCTCGGCTGTTGTCCAGGACTTCCTAAATGCAGGATCCAGGAAAATGTTCAGGCAAACATCAATGGCAGCTTAGGCTGAACCCAAACTTGTAGCAGTGCCAAGTGTTTCTGCAGTCTACAACCGTCTTGCTGGATTTTGAATCACCCAGACATTAGGCCAGGAATTGAAAGAAAGACGAGACTTCCACCGTGTCCAGGTGCCCCATCCACCAGCTGGATCTTGAAGTTGACTGTCCAGGGTGCCATGGCAGGATTTGTCTGTGGGTGACTGGCACGTGCTATGTCTCGTGGTGTTTAGTTCATCGGGAAGAGCATAGGAATGTAGCGACGAATCATCATTTTGATTCTGCAGTTCTATATTTTGGATCCCAAAGGCCAAATATCAGGAAATCCCCAGGTCTTCGGTGGGGTAACTCTTCCTGATCCGTACAACGGTAAAAACAGAGAACCAAGGCTTTTAGGAGTTGCCAGCGCTTTGTGGCCAGCTTTCTGTCTTCGGTTTTTGGTTGCTGGACATGTTGACATCCTTTGGGGGGATCTTTCTGCCCAAAAAAACCAACCGAAAAAGAATTGACGTTTTCTGTCAGTGTGTTAAGCCCAGCCGGGCCCAGCCATTGCTCTCAAACCTTCCAATTCCAATCCGTCGGGTTCCCTTAATTGGTGTATAATTCCATTCAGGGATACACTATTAATAACGACCTCAAACGACCATAGATGGTCATTCATATTGGGAAAATAATCACATTTGATGGTGTGTAGAACAGATTTACTATGGTTTACTATTACTAAGTATCCAGATGCAACATGATGCAAGTCAGCTATCACAAATCATCACAAATCATCCAGATATGTCATTCGCTTCCAGATATCCCAGTTGAAGTCGCTTGAAGTCGTCATCCCAAGGTGATGAGACGCCGGAGCTTTTCGCCAGCTTTGCAGTGCTGTACGAAGTCAGAGGCGCCCGAAAGTCGGTGGCAGTGGATCTCCACTTTTGGGACATGCAGAAGGAATTCACAACAGATCTGCTCATGTGATTAAGGATATTAAGGTGTGTATAAAGGGGGATAAAACAAATTAAAACAAATTAAAACAATAGTTCTGGATAGTTCTGGACTGCTGACCCTTTTGGACTTTGATGATCGTTTCACAAAAAGAGTACTCAGACATCCAACAGTTTCTCTAGTCGCTTTCGTGTTTCAGATGTCATCAGATGTCCAATTGTAACTGCAGCTACTGTACATCAGGCTGGCGCGTCCAAGTGCCCTGCCAACATGAGGTGCTGGCTGTGAAGGGGACTGAAGGGGGCATTTTTTTTTCAAGGCTTTTATTCAGCACTGTAGTTTGAAACTTGGTTTAGGCGCCTACAAAACCAGTCATTTGACAAAAGGTTTGGTGCTAGCAATGCAGAGCTATAGTAGCTATAGGTAGATGTAGCATATCAAAATACCAGGTCGAACATGTATCAGAATCAAAAGGGACTTGCAAAGCCGAAGGCACCTTGATGATTGTTTTCATCTCGCTTTACTTCAAAAAGATCGAAAAGCCCTGTGAAACAAAAATAACCACAAAATCCATGAACTACAGCAACAGGAAGTTCCCATGGAAAAGTATCACACACTTTTTTCATGGTCTTCCAGGGACCTTGTGCATGAATATTACGTGGACAGAACCTGGTTGCGCTCTAGGCAACTTAGCTGGGAAAGTGCGGTGCAGGCATTTTGTATCATATATATATACTATACTATATATATACTATGATATATATATATATACTATGATATATATATATATTCCAAGCGGGTCTGCAGTCTACGCCTGTTGCTGAGCCAGCTATGGGTCACTTCTCAGGTGAAGCGCCGAGGCCATGGAGAGGTTCGACCTGAACTTTAGCCACCTCCAACAATATCAGGGATAGAATGCATCAGCAGCTTGACTTGGACCATGCATTTGTGGTAATGTCATGTAAAGTCCGCCAGTCTGCAGATTCGCATCCCATTACTCGACACTGGACGCAAGTGCCACATCAGGTCTGGATTTTGAACGTCACCAGCGGATAGATCACGTAAGTCGATGCTATGCGATGGTCTATCTGCGGTTTCCAGGGCCATTCATTTTTGACCATTTTTGTCCCGTTTTGACTATGACCCCCTATTGATGGTCACATGCTACCAGCCAGGTGGAATTCCACTGCTGGGGCACCTGGGACGAGGTTCTTACGGAGGCCGCTGCTGATGAATCCGTGGCCGTCCTTGATCATCCTTGGCCGCTGCAAGGCGATGGCCTGCGAGGATGGAGTGCTGCTACACTCGGCCGGGGCACCAGGGTACCCCGTTTGTAGCGATGTCCAGATTCTTTTATGAGTGTCTTCATAAACCCAAAAGAACAAAAAGAAACAACCACTGTGCCATTGGCACATTGGCAAACTTAGGGACTTTTTCCCAAGTTTTTTTTTAAAGCAGAGCTTATTATTGGTTGTGGTGAGTGGTTCCAATCAGCATGTACCAGGTCACATGTCATGTCGAGATCTTTCGGGTCACCATCCCAACATGCAAGCCGCTCGGGCCTTAGCTGCCTTAGCTTGCTACATGCTTCAGCTTCTTACTGCCCAACTCAGTTCCCAAAGGTTTTACCTCCGGCCCAATCAGATCAGCTGCGCTGGGCAAATGAAGTTTGCCACGAGATGTTTGAAGATACAGTTTTCTCTACTTTTTCTGGGGGAAGTGCTACATTTGGTTTGATCCTTTTGTCAGGGGATGATGCCCCAAGAGGTGAATCCTTTTGTGGAAGGTCCATTCCGATGGCTTTACTAACTTTACTCCAAATCTGCTCCAAGGATCACCATCGGCAGCTCTGAGCGAAATGATGGCAGCCAATGTGCGCCAGAAAAAGGACGACTGGACGACTTGGTCAGCGGCTGCAGTTGCTGTTCTTGGGTCTTTGATTCTGATCCAGTGAATCCAGTGTTTTGGAATCCTCTGGCTACACATCCAGCACCCTCTACCACACCATTTCTTCAAATAAAAGCGTGGGAAAGGCGTGCACTGTCAGGATTCATCTTATGCTGCGACCTTGCCGGCGTTGCCGATCTCAAAACTGGAACTATGATTGTTGAACCTTAAGAATAATGGATATGATTCAAGAAAGGAGGAACTCGAACCCATTTGCTTCTCAATCAAACACGCCATCAAATCGTGGATTTCTGCCTTCCAAACAGTTTTTTGACATACCCTGGGATGTCAGGAGACAGACCACAAAGAAACAACGACCATTTCACCAATGGATGTGATTTGAAGGTTTTCAAGAACCAAGGATAATATTCCAACACCTCAATAAAGGCCAACACATCGCTCAAATGGAGACTGCTATGGAGTTCGATGCGTGGAAACTGCTGTCCGATACCAAGCAGGAAGACGATGAGATGCTCGGATAAAAGCTTTCAGTGGTTGGCAGGTGATCCCAAGAAATGCTCTCGGATATTCTAGGATTACATTGTCATATTATGTCATATTATATCAATTATATCTATCCAAAAAGATAGATGCCATACCATATTGCAGGAAGCAAGCATGATCCTTTCGTCGATTCGGACTCTAAGATCAGACTCCCTCTTGGACAGGTAATGCTCCATGGTACCATCATAATATCATAAGATGTTATAGGTATTGCGGTATTACGGTATACGTTTGTACTTTGAATTCGCCGTTAAATGTATGACTCCTTTTTGCAACAAAGCACTTATATTGCTTGTCATTTGTTTGCCGCTGACCAAACAAGGAGCTTTGTCGAAGAAAACTCAGAGGATTTGCAGAGGGCCCAGGTGCCTTTCAAAGGGTTGGTATGGCATGTTGTGGTTCGACCTGCATTTCGTCAAAGCTAGCTTCCATCGCGTGGTGCTCGTACCATGAACATGCTCAAACAACTGCGAACACTAAACCATCCTCAGAACAAGAGACTTTCTTGTGTCTCCAAAACGGAAAATCACAAAACACTTAGCTGCTAAGGGTTTTTCTTTCATGGAATGTATTTTTCCCGCAGAGTCCGATAAATCATCCTCCAGGACGAAGACGATGAGATGCTTGGACGCCAGAATTCCCATGGTTCCTCGAGTTAAGTGCTATAGTCTACATGTTTGTCACAGGTGATAACAAGAAATGAGTATCTAGGATATTCTGGGATTGTCATACAGATAGATGCCATACCATATTGCAGGAAGCAAGCATGATCCTTTCGTCGATTCGGACTCTAAGATCAGACTCCCTCTTGGACAGGTAATGCTCCATGGTACCATCATAATATCATAAGATGTTATAGGTATTGCGGTATTACGGTATACGTTTGTACTTTGAATTCGCCGTTAAATGTATGACTCCTTTTTGCAACAAAGCACTTATATTGCTTGTCATTTGTTTGCCGCTGACCAAACAAGGAGCTTTGTCGAAGAAAACTCAGAGGATTTGCAGAGGGCCCAGGTGCCTTTCAAAGGGTTGGTATGGCATGTTGTGGTTCGACCTGCATTTCGTCAAAGCTAGCTTCCATCGCGTGGTGCTCGTACCATGAACATGCTCAAACAACTGCGAACACTAAACCATCCTCAGAACAAGAGACTTTCTTGTGTCTCCAAAACGGAAAATCACAAAACACTTAGCTGCTAAGGGTTTTTCTTTCAGGGAATGTATGGGTCCCGCAGAGTCCGATAAATCATCCTCCAGGACGAAGACGATGAGATGCTTGGACGCCAGAATTCCCATGGTTCCTCGAGTTAAGTGCTATAGTCTACATGTTTGTCACAGGTGATAACAAGAAATGAGTATCTAGGATATTCTGGGATTGTCATACAGATAGATGCCATACCATATTGCAGGAAGCAAGCATGATCCTTTCGTCGATTCGGACTCTAAGATCAGACTCCCTCTTGGACAGGTAATGCTCCATGGTACTATTATAATTTACACTTATACGTTTGTACTTTGAATTCGCCGTTAAATGTACGACTCCTTTTTGCAACAAAGCACTTATATTGCTTGTCATTTGTTTGCCGCTGACCAAACAAGGAGCTTTGTCGAAGAAAACTCAGAGGATTTGCAGAGGGCCCAGGCGCCTTTCAAAGGGTTGGCTGCATCCCAAGACCGGTGAACCCCAAAACACTGAACTGCTAAGGGATATGCTAAGGCTGCTAAGGGATGTATGGGTCCCGCATCCGATAAATTATACTCTTGAGTCCACTCGGTAGATTCCCTGCTCAAATTCAGGACGAAGACGATGAGATGCTTGGAGCTGTTGCCTTTGCATCAAATCTCTTGGATCACGACCCGATTGTAAGCCGCAAGCAAGATTCAATATTTATTGAATTTGAGTTGAAGAGAATTAAGAGAATTGAGAATAATTCAGTATCATTTTCAGTTCCCGGTGAACACTTCTGAACGTCACCATAAAATGTGCTTGTCCCTCGAAATTGTGCATCTTTGAGGGCATGACTCCCGACCGAAGTTTATTGCCAGCCGTCAGTCCCCAAGGATTTTTTTCGAAGAAGACTCAGACTTGGAACCTCCAAAGAAGAGGGCCAGGCCAACTCAGAAAGTGACAGGAGGCATGGACCTGTGACCTGTTCATCGGATTGTTTGCTTTTGTGAATCCCGATTGTGTTTTGGTACTGGATTTTTGAAACACCGTAGCAGGCTAAGAACTTCCAACAGACCCACAGCACTACAAACCCCATCTAATATTTACCAGTCTTGGTAGACGATCCATGACCCACCTCTTTGGATGCCCAATGAATATTATCAGAAAATCTTTGCGAGAAATGAAAACCAATGAATACCAATGAATATCGATGACTCCACTTCCAGGTGACGATGGGCCTCGCCCGCCTCGCCTGCCGCCACGCCCTTCGTGCCGGCCGCTCTTGCCGCCGCTGCGGATCGCGCAGATAAGGGCCGCATCAGAGCCCCGGCCCAGTCGGCGGCCTAGTGCCTTGAGAGCGTTTTTGGATGGGACAAAGATGGGTAGCAACGGAACCCACAAAATATGAGATATTATGAGTACTTCACCGTCCACTTGAGTTGTTTTGTTTGTTGAATTTCAGGTGGGTGCAAAATTTTGAGCGATTCCGAGATAGTTCCCATGTGTGCCATAATCAAGAGTCAGATTATATACCGAAAAAAGGGGGCTGATCATCCTGCCATTAGGGCCTTCATATACCCATCATGTAAGGAATGCCAATGGTGGGATGACCAGAACTCATGTCATATACACCGTGTTTTGACCAGTGCAGTACTGATATATCTATTGAATGGTCCCAAAGCAATAGAAAAGTCGATGAACACTTAATCCCTATTTCAATATGTTCATTATTTCCTTGTCCATTTTGATGGTGAGTTATCCTGATCCTTGAATTTTGAATCTTTTTGGGGACCCCTACGGTCTCGACCTAGATCCCGTGGACGTGCCGCCATAGGTGATATCCCTGTGAAGCGCTCGAGAGAGGCTTTCGAAGGGAAGATTGTGAACAGCCTTGGCAAGGCGATGGTCGGATCTCAGTGATTCGAAGTCGGCAGTGATGGATTTTGGATGATTTTGGATGATTTTGGTTGCCTTTGAGATTGAGAATGGTCGAAACTTCGAAACCAAAGCTTTGTATTGGGGAGCTTCCTGAATGGTCTATCTTTCTTTTCTCCGTCAGATTTGCAAGTATCTTCCTCAGATTTTGGAGATCTTACTCATGCTACGACATGCCAGCAACATCTAGCAAACTGCTTCCTTTAAGAATCTGCAAACCCATCTTTTCGGGCCAGAAGTCCACAACCAGCTTTCCATACCCTGCCACCATTGTCGGCTTTAGGATGCGACAATGCCTGATCTGTGGGCCGTTCAGAGCCACATCAAAGAATTGCCTGATACGTGGCTTGTTCAAACAAACAGGGCCTGCACTGGGTGGGGTTCATGGGAATCCAACTATCCATGGCCGGCTTTGAGCCGTGAAATGCCCTCCCTGCTTCGCTGCTCCGACACCTAAGGCTCAGACTTTTCCCGCCGTGTGTCTCGTACTGCTATCAGTGGATGCTGCGAACTGGCCGAAGGTGTGGCCTTAAATGCAAGTATTTGCACGCGAAGTTGCCAAGGGGGTCAGCTGCAAAGAGCATAGCCACCGAGAGTTTGGGCCAATTTTCAATCGATGATGGCTTCAAAAAGGTTTCAAACTTCATCCTGCGTCCCTTGGATTTTTTCATGTGGGTGGGGTGCCATTTTTTTGCAGTTCAATTCACGTAGGTGGGGATTGCAACTGTGATTCTGCTGGTGACGTTTCCATGGTTGAATTATGTTGAATCATGTTGAATTAAGCCCAATTAAGCCGGCTAGTAAGCTAATTAAGCATAGCATAATTCAGCTACATGCACGCTGAATTCGGAGATTTTTCGAGAATTCGTTTTTTCGTTCCATCCTGCGCCGAGGTGATTTGACGAAGGACTTGGCGGAGCAACGATGTTTCATCCTGGACGGTGAAAGTGGGGCCACCATCAACACCTTGAAACGGTGCTTCGGCCGCAGCCGCAGGGCGGAACTGTGGCATCTCACCCCATTTCTATATGGTTTGTTGATGTGCGTTGCTGAACTGGGAGAAATCCTCAACTGGATGTTTTCTTGTGTGATTGTAGGATATTGCAGGACATTATTCATTGGATTTATTTGGGACATCAAAGTACACACTAATCCTTTTCACCATATTCCAATGAAAGGGGCCAAAGATGGCCAAGCCTTGAAAATCCGAGTCCTTGCTTTTGGGGCGTCACTTGCTCGAGGTCCGCTGACTTTGTGTTGGCTCCGAATGTGGATGCTGCTGCAACCAAGGCTCTGCAGGCCGGGTACGAAGGATCTTGGGAAACCTGCAAATTCACGTAGTGTTGATATGCCTGGATGCTTCTCTGATTGGTTCCGAGGGCTGATAGCTTCAACCATAAGAAGTCCAGTTTAGGCCACTGCTAAGCCGCTAAGCCCCAGATTTCAGGCCAAGTGTGTAACGGCCAGCTCCACGTCTTTCACAGCACTGGTCGTGGCGAGTTGCGCGAAGGTTCAGTTTGGATGTGTCCCGGCTACCTGAAGGGTTGGCTCAGAATTTTTGATTCCATTCGTCCAACTTTTTCTGCCCTCGACCGCAATCACATGCATACATTCATTACATTACATTACATTGCATTGCATTGCATTGCATTGCATTGCATTGCATACAGACAGGCAGGCAGGCAGGCAGGCAGACATACATCCATGCATGCATGCATGCATACATAAATACACACATACACACATACACACACACATACATACATACATACCTACCTACCTACCTACATACATACATACATACATACATACATAGATACATACATACATACATACATACATACATACAGACAGACAGACAGACAGACAGACATACATACATACATACAGACAGACAGACAGACACACACACATACATACCTACCTACCTACCTACATACATACATACATAGATAGATAGATAGATAGATAGATACATACATACATACATACATACATACATACATACATACATACATACATACATACATACATACATACATACATACATACATACTAGAGGCATCTAGTGGCATCTTGTACAAAATCACCATCCTCTTTGCTGTAGTTTGGCCAATGGCCCAACTGGTTGTTCCAAAACTGCTGCTATACTCCACAAATCATCTTTGCGTATGGTTCAAGTCTGACAATCCAACCTCCACAAGCATATCATAGCTTTACAAATCTTGGGTTGGCTTCGGACAAGCGAAACAGAAACATAGCACAACTACGTTGTGCATCGTTATGCATGATCAAGACCTTTCTCTCCACCTTGTGGCTGCGCCGACCAAACTGAGTGCCAGATGACAGGGTGAATAGGGCCTGTGAGGCGTCTACCTGGACTACATGTGGCCTTCCGATTATTTCGAAAGTACCCAGCTGGAGCTGACCAAATATTTAGCCAAGAATGACGAGAATCGCAATGGCAGAAATGGCGGACCTTCAGACCGTTTTTCAGCCTGCAAAGAATATGCCGACGCGTCTCTGACGGATGCTGGGTTTGGAAATTAGCCACTACGGGCTCGGTTCTGTGGGGTGATCATGGATGATCTCAATCTTGCTTGCGTAGCACTTGAAGATGGCGGCACCTCAACAGTTGCCTGCTGGTCTTGGAAAAGACGATTTTCAAGTGGGTCTTCTGATTTTGTAACATGCCCAGATGGGTTTGTCCGTCACACAGGGCACCCTTGAACCAAATGATTCATCATAAAATTGTTTTATCTAGAAATATACCAAACAGCATACTCATAGGCCGTCAGTTGAGCTGAAACTACCTGTCATTCCTTCCAAGTCTTTGGACCTTGCGCTGCCAGGACGGCATTCATGATGTGGAACTCTTGGTTCTAGATGCAGGACGCTGGGAAACGTTATTTGGAGGGAGGGTTTCCAAAGTATGAGGTTCAGGAGTTTGCTCCAGTTATAGTTGCACCCAGGTTGTGTTGTGGAATGTCTAGCTGGAAACTTGTGAATACTTGCCAAATACATCTCCAACGAATGTTCCAGGAGGCAAATTGCCAGAGCGCCGAAAGCGAATTCTCTAGTTGCGTTCAGACATCTAACCGTACGAACCCAATCTGTGTGACAAACTCCAAAAGCTGAGAACTACGAAAACCCAAACTGGTTTTTAAATGTTTTTAAGTCATCTCTTGCCAAGCCCTGCGCCCTAATAACGGTGTGTATTCCGCTGCCAGGACACTGCCTCTTAAGCTCCACAGGTGCTGTGCTGGCTGTGACCATCGTCCATTCTAAGAAGTCCACTGAAGCGAAGCAGCGCGCGCGATTGGAGAAGGTGTTGGTCAAGGGGGCTGAGCTGCACAAGGAGAGGGGGCAAGTGCTTGAAATCACCATGAGAATCGAGTAACTCTGAAGATCTCTGAAGGTTTTACTGATAAAAGGACAAGATTGGCAAGAGCCACTTGAATTCAAATCTGATTTAGGCACTGATGCTAGACTCGAAGATAATCCAGCAGACCCCTGGAGTATACAGGAGCATACGTCCTGCCGTTTGAAGAGGTCTTATGATGTCCTATGCAAGGATTGCTTCTCTTTTCATTGTTTTTTTGGGTACACTCAAACGTGCTCACCTAAAAGGGTGATTTCCTGATATTTCCTGTGCTCCAGGCATCTTTGCACTTCTTGGGATACACTAAGCCCAGTGGGCGACCGGTTGCGACCTATTTCTATGCCTGGAACACGAAGGTCACGAAGGGCTTCTCTCCCAACTTGTCGTCTCTTGGCTTGGGTGCTTAGCTACAAGTAGGAGACGGTAGGACCGGTAGGAGGTGTTCTCAAATGTTCTCAAATTGCAATGCGAGATTGGAGACGGGTGATGCGCAACATGCAGGGTAGGAGGATCTGGATATGGTCTAAGAGCTCGACGGTATGCATGTACTTGTTACAAGTTGTTAGTGCCACCCATGAGCCTCGGCCAATTTTTCATGCTATGTTTTTAAAATCGCCGCAGGAGCCTTTCATTTTGGGCCAAGTATGATTGCCAAGTGCCAAGGAAAAAACACCAGAAGTTGGCCTTCTTCAAAAAGAGTCGCAAGCTGCATACAGCCAAAGGTGGTGCCTAGATTCCAGCGATGTCCGGGATCTGCGTGATCACGGGCAGCGAATTCAGCGGACAGGACGCAGCTTGGCCATCCGGTCATGGCAGTCATGGCTGGTTCCTGGCCCAACGGATGCTGTGAACGCTGCAAATGGCGCCAAAACAGATGCGGCTCCGCTGCGGCTCCTCATTTTCTCTCTAGGTTTGTGTTTTTTTTTGGCAACTGGCAGACAATCTGTGACACCCGTGGAATAAGATGGCATGTTGACAGATTCATTTTAGATCGCGGCAGTTGTTTCACTTCGACCTGGATTGTGCTCGAGACACTGTACATAGAGCTGTTGTGCTGGGGCCTTGGAGTGTAAGGTGGTCCCCACACAAATAAACCACACAATTGACAAAGGCCAATAAGTTCAAGAATCGCATCATTGATATGCCGCTCTGAAGCTTCCAGAAAGCGCGTGAACAGACAAAACGGACACACATTCTTAGAAAAGGGCCCGATATTTTGCCCGAAGAAGAAGGTCAAGTGATCAAGTATTTAAAGGGCCACAAGAAGTCAACGTCGTCCCAACAGAAACTATTTCCAGAAAACATGCAAACATCAAAAACAATATTCACACTTTTTTCCCATCCCAGGCATCCCATGTCTCCCTGCCCATGGTGACTGCCTGCCGTGATGTTCACAGCACCCGCCATGCGCCAAAGCAGCTCGCTCCCGAGCCTCAGCGGGGAATGCTCGCGGCTGGTGGAGAGCAAGTTGTATGTGGCGCGAGGCATGGGATAGGGCGGATAGGGATGGGGTTTGGGGATGACCTGGCGGATATGGAGTCTGGAGATGTCTGGAGGATGATTAGTTGTGTGTCGCTTTTTCATGCTTTGAAACAACATCCTGCCTTGCCTTGGGTGAGGGCCTCGCTTCGGAACGCGTCTTGAGGGATCGCTTCGGAACGCGCTCTCATGCATCGCTTTCGAACGCGCCTCCTCACCATCATCATTATCATCATCATCATCATCATCATCATCTTCATCTTCATTCCTCACCATCATCATCAGCATTTGCATCATGCTTCTTCTTCCGTTTATTCCTCTTCTTCTTCTTCTTCTTTTTGGCCATCCTCTTCCTCATCAGCCTCATCCTCCTCATTATCCTCATCGTCAACAGCACGATCATCATCAGCAGCATCATCAAGTTTCTTCTATTTTTCTGCTGCGTATTTATTCTTCTTCCTCGCCGCCAACACCATCATCATCATCATCATCATCATCATCATCATCGTCATCGTCATCGTCATCATCATCATCATCACCACCATCGTCATCCTCCTCCTCCTCCTCATCATCATCATCACCATTCTTAGCGTCACCATCATCATCATCAGCATCATCTTCAGATCATCCTGATCATGATCATCATCACCCTCCTCATCATTATCATCATGCTTCTTCCTTGCTGTCATCAGCTTCATCATCAGCACCACCATCATTATCATCATCAGCAGCTTCCATACCACCATCATCAGCATTATCATCATGTGTGTTCTTCTAATTCTTTTTCTTTGCCGTTTTCCTCATCCTCATCCTCATCCTCATCATCATCATTATCATCATCATCATCATCATCCTCATCATCAGGTTCATCATCACCATCATCATCATCATCATCATTGTCGTCCTCATCATCATTATCATCATCATCATTCATCATTCATCATCGTCATTTACACACACCAATGAATGTAATGGTTCAAGGGGGGCTGGTTGATTTGATACCAATGAATCTAATTGTGCCAGGGGGGCTGGTTGTTTTGATACCAATGAATATAATTGTTCAAGGGGGGCTGGTTGATTTGATAGCAATGAGTGTAATTGTTCAAGGGGGGCTGTTTGATTTGAGACCAATGAATGTAATGGTTCAAGGGGGGCTGGTTGATTTGATGCCAATGAGTGTAATTGTTCAAGGGGGGCTGGTTGATTTGAGACCAATGAATGTAATTGTTCAAGGGGGGCTGGTTGATTTGATAGCAATGAATGTAATTGTTCAAGGGGGGCTGGTTGATTTGATACCAATGAATGTAATGGTTCAAGGGGGGCTGGTTGATTTGATACCAATGAATGTAATGGTTCAAGGGGGGCTGGTTGATTTGATACCAATGAATGTCAATTGTGCAAGGGGGGCTGGTTGATTTGATACCAATGAATGTAATGGTTCAAGGGGGGCTGGTTGATTTGATAGCAATGAATGTAATGGTTCAAGGGGGGCTGGTTGATTTGATAGCAATGAATGTAATGGTTCAAGGGGGGCTGGTTGATTTGATACCAATGAATGTAATGGTTCAAGGGGGGCTGGATGATTTGATACCAATGAATGTCATGGTTCAAGGGGGGCTGGTTGATTTGATACCAATGAATGTAATGGTTCAAGGGGGGTTGGTTGATTTGATACCAATGAATGTAATGGTTCAAGGGGGCGCTGGTTGATTTGATACCAATGAATGTAATGGTTCAAGGGGGGCTGGTTGATTTGATACCAATGAATGTCATGGTTCAAGGGGGGCTGGTTGATTTGATACCAAAGAATGTAATGGTTCAAGGGGGGCTGGTTGATTTGATACCAATGAATGTAATTGTGCCAGGGGGCTGGTTGATTTGATAGCAATGAATGTAATGGTTCAAGGGGGGCTGGTTGATTTGAGAGCAATGAATGTAATGGTTCAAGGGGGGCTGGATGATTTGATACCAATGAATGTCATGGTTCAAGGGGGGCTGGTTGATTTGATACCAATGAATGTAATGGTTCAAGGGGGGCTGGTTGATTTGATACCAATGAATGTAATGGTTCAAGGGGGGCTGGTTGATTTGATACCAATGAATGTAATGGTTCAAGGGGGGCTGGTTGATTTGATACCAATGAATGTAATGGTTCAAGGGGGGCTGGTTGATTTGATACCAATGAATGTAATGGTTCAAGGGGGGCTGGATGATTTGATAGCAATGAATGTCATGGTTCAAGGGGGGCTGGTTGATATGATACCAATGAATGTAATGGTTCAAGGGGGGCTGGTTGATTTGATACCAATGAATGTAATGGTTCAAGGGGGGGCTGGTTGATTTGATACCAATGAATGTAATGGTTCAAGGGGGGCTGGTTGATTTGATACCAATGAATGTCATGGTTCAAGGGGGGCTGGTTGATTTGATACCAACAAGTACAACAAGGCTTTTCTTTCATATATTCACCTTCATTTTCTGTGGCAGGCGTGGGACCTTTTGGCATCGACCTTCATTTTGCGTGGCAGGTGTGGCACTTTTGTACATGGACTGTCCTTTTACGTGGCAGGCGTGGGACTTTATGACATGGTTGAAACGAGTAAAATTCTCATACGAGGCGTTTTTTTGTGTTGGTCTCGCTTTGGAACGCGTTTTTCTTCCAAAGTCTCGCACCTGTCAGAAAATCTGATGTGTGTGTGTATGGCTGTGTTCTGAAGTGATGTTTGATTTTGTGTTCTGAAGTGATGCAAAATGGCTGTGTTCTAAAGTGATGCCTGAGAGTGTGTTCCAAAGTGATCCTGTTACCCTTGCCTTGCAGGAGTATCCAGCTCGCAAAGTCCTGCAGAATGGCTGCTGGCTCTGCATATTGTTGGGGGTCGTGTACCCTGAACCTGAAATCATTTCCCAAATGCTCCAAGTCAATGACATGGGAAACTGATGAGCTGATGCTTGATGATGGGGGACCCTGTTTCAGCCAGCGACTCCAGCTGATTTTACCCTATTTTAAAGCCTTGGTATTCAACTCACGAGAGACAAGAATTCAATATGGTCACTTCGAATGTGTTCAACACCTGTGCGAGCTGGGCAACTGCGAAGTCGAAGCCCAGGCTCCCGATGCGGTTCGCGCACAATTCTGACGGGTCCATTTCATTTTGGTCCGCAGCACAATCAGATGCTCGGCAGCGAACCACTCCGACACCCCTGGCTGAGAGCTTATCAAGAGGAAGCACGGTCAAATCTTCCAGTCCTAAAGATATAGGTTATGAATTGTGAAGATTATTGAAAGCCTTGTTGAAACAGTATTTGTAGCTGTGACTTGGTTTCCAAGTGATCGGAACTCAGCCGGTTGCTCCAAAGACACCTAGGAGACTTTCCTAGATGCAGATTGGAGCCAGCCCTTCACTGTTGCACCATGGAAGCCCATCCAAAGCGTCTGGGCAGATCAGGGTCGAATCGTGGCTCCCAATGGATACAGGATGCGCTTTCAATACTGGTGTATATACAATATTAATCTGTAGTATGCATTTTTGATCTACGAATCTATCGATGCACTTCATACACGGTGTATATATGATATATAGTAATTATATCGGAATATCATGGAATATATTCATGATATATATATATAATTTATTTCATATAATTATATCCCTATTCACGGGTCCTGAAACACGGATGGATCAAGGTGATGGCCGCCGCCTCTACCCCTTCAGCCTCAGCTATGTGCCGCTGCCGGGGCGGCCACGGCACCAGCAGGACGGGAACCGCCCCGGGTCCATACCAAGGTGGCAAGGATGAATCCCATGGATTTGAATGGAATCTCTGAATTTAGCAACATATGATAGAATAATATAGAATAATTATGTGTGTCATTGAAGATTGATACTTTTGAGGTGGTTGTATTTGAATCTTTCCATTCCAGTTTTGGTTGGGGGACAAATACCATATGTCATCAAAGGTCCAGGTACGTAAGTGGTGATCCTGGCAGCCTCCACTTTTCCAGGTTAGCTGATGGGCCCCCAATAGGTAGATCCAATACTAAACCATGGTTGGTGGGAGTCTGACATACCATTTACAATCATTTAGATATTTCATCTATACATGTTAGTAATGTTAGTAATGTTAGTAATGTTAGTATTATTCATATTTGTTACTTATAGGGCAAGGGATGGCCATCCTCTAATAGCTGACGACTCTTTGAGCGGCTGAAGGGCCCTGACCCCTCGGAGACAGCCCTGCGACGGAACCTGATGCTAGCAGCGCCCAGCGATGTGCTGCGTCGGAGGCGGGGGGTGAGTGGGGGTCATGCAGGCTTCACCCTGAAAGCAATGTGGTACGCCATGGTAAATAATGTAAATCCATGCGAAATTCATGTAAATTCAATAAAAAACCAGACCTACCTCTACAATTCTGGGGTTTCACACAACAAGTCGAGTCATTTCTGGTTAGATAGTGCTACAACGTGAGTCAAGCTTTGGTTGTTTCTGTCCGTTCACCTGGTGGTGATTTTGCTTGCTTGAACCTCTGGGAGAAGTATATTGGGCCGCTGTTTGGCCCGCATGGCTCCCCCAAAGATCCTCCAAAGATCCGCTCTTCCCAGGTGGCTCTCGAGCTTGGCCCGAAAGATTGGTTCAACCCAGCTGCTGGGAGGAAGTTCAGCAGGGGATGTTTGGACTGTTTGGACCTCCCAAAAACCTGCCAGGTTCTGATTCAACTGGGTGAAGAATGGTGAAGATGTGCCGGGTTTGGAGAACCATACCCTTTTCAAAGTTGTATCGTCATTTTTCGAACATATGGAAAAAAAACACCGGATCTTTGGCATAGGTCGAGGCAAATGTGAGATTTGGATGAAGACAAACGCCTCAGCGGTCCGAAGAATTCCGAGTGTCCGAGTGAGAGTCCATTCCACTGCATTCTCGTTGAGGTGCACCAAACTTAGCTGTTTCAATTGGACATAATTGGACCAATTGGACCCTGCTAAGGTTGAGACCTTCTAGCACTTGGGGGGAGCCACTTGGCAGATATGGGAGGAAAGGGTGGGTTTAAATGTCTTGGTGAGGCAGAAAGATTGATTGATTGCGGGCCTCCAATCAAAGTTGGACAATACAGTAGTCCTTCTTGTTTATTTCTGGATCTTTCTGGGCGATTTGAAGCTCAGCTCGCCTTCGTGACAGAATTCTGACAGACTCACACGGTTCTTTGCACTTATGGTGTGTTGTTGTTCGGAAACTTTTGAATGCGTGGCGATGATCCTGGTGATGGAGTCTTGTTTAACTTGGAGGTGTGGGGGGTCGGATAGTGTTCGCCTCTCCATTCATTTCGCCTTCACGGCCGTTCGCAACCTGTCCGCTTGATGGCAGCGCGGATGGCATGCAAACTAGTATTCGTGCCAGTATTATTCTGGAACAAACAAATTGCTACCCATACAAACTGCTTCACTTGGAGCAGTGACTAAAGCACCGAAGCTAGCCTGGACGTCGTTTTGCTGCGCAGAATGTGAAGTCTTACAGTGGTTGAAATGGATAGGGCATGGTGTCAAGACTCGGCCGGACGACATATCCTGACCACTCTGTCACTTGACCTGGCTGCTGGCTACTGATTTGTTTCCACTGGAAATGATGTGTCACATGGCTGGCTATGTTTTTTTTGTTAAACATAAATCACCTGCAACTGTTGAATGGCCCAGTTTGGCAGAGCGCGGGTTCAATCCATCCACGTCGCATCTAGGCTTGAAGATGGAGCTGATGCAGTTTGGCGAACCCAGATAGCATAGATCTGGCTGGAGGATTTTGGAACCTTCCTGGAGATTGGCGACCTCCATACTTTGTGGGAAGTCCATGTCTGTTTTTCCAATTTGGTCACGGAACCCTCAAAGGAGTGAACATATGTCAACATGATGGTTTTCAGTTGACTCGTCAAACTGCCAATGAATGCAGTCATCTTGACATTGATCAAAATCAACTCGGGGTAACCTACATGGGATGTTTGAATCCTGACAGATGAGACAACATCATACAAAAATTGTGGGCCCCAGGGTCCTGAATATTGACGCCACATGCATTCTGGGCATACTGAACGGCTCCCAACTAGATCAACTCTAAATCATCATCCCCTGCCGAGCTGCTCTGTGAAACGGTCACCGCCGCTCCTGCGAATGCCGGTTGGGGTATAGCGTCAATGGCCGGAGTTGTGGTGCCACTGTCCACAGTGAGGAGCTGCGGCGTTGCCACGGCAAGGTATCCCCTGAAAACTACAGGAAGGCCTGAACGAATGCACTGCACTAAAAAGTACCATTTGTATTCAGCCAAAAATTGTTTGTTTTCCTTCCCCTGGTTGAAGATTTTGCCCCGGTGCCAGTTGATGGAATTGGTGGCAGATTGTACAGACAGCAGGAGACCATGCCCACCGCTCGGTACATGTGGTCGCAGCCCGGCTGCAATGAGCTGTTGAACCGATTTCAGAACGGGCTCTTCCGCGTCGAGCTGTTTCGACTTGTTTCGATGTAAGCGGATGCAAGGAAGTATGTTGTGCGATTCCTTTGGGAACTGAACCCTGCAAATTGAAAATGGGGTAACGGTTCAACGACATATTCACCGTCCAGGTGGCTGGCCCACAACGCTGCCAGTGACGTGTCGAAAAATATGGGGTTAGCTTTAAGAGTCGGGTAGAGCTTTAGAATGTTGTTGGTACTAGCGACACACATGGAATGGTGGAATGGTCAATTGTCATCAATTGTCAGTGTTCAACCGTCCAAGACAATTTTGAACAACACGATTATATAGGTCTGACAGGGTTTGCACAGAGGTCGCCGAGTTACAAGTTGGTTTATAATCCCACCTAACTATGATCCATCAAGAATCCCACTTTAGCCATAGTTTGCCTAAGGTCTCAAGCAACTTACCTGTCTAGGAGGCTCCAAGACCCAGCCGGAATTGCAACGCTTCCAGGTTTGTCGGCCCGCGGCCCCCCTGGCGCTGCGGCGCTGGCCGCTGCGCCGGGCCGGTGCTGAGGGGCCGGTGGTGCCGCTGCCGTACTCACAGCGTGTCTTTGCGTCGTCCTGGCTGGTGGCAATCACCACTGGTGGGGCACTCAACGGACCCAATGGCCAGGTTTTGGGGAGCTGCATGGCTGCATGCCTTTTCTGAATTGATGCAAAGATCCAACATGATGTAACGTGATGTAACTGGGATCGAGCAAAGCATTTTTGGCAGATGGAGCATGCTGTTGCCGATGAGGCGTTGCGGCATTGCATGGCCAGGTAATGTGCTCGTTCCTTTGCTCCTTGGCATCTCGGCAGCATCAGACGAAACAAGCATCGGCATAACATCTAACCTACGCAAACTAATGCTGTCACAATTCCGAGATTCTCATGAAAAAACATTTACAGGAGCCCTGGACTCCTGGACCCCTTAGATTTGGCTGGTGAAAGCCAACTGAAAAAGCACTTTTTCTTGCATTTTTCCCCCTTTGATCAACCTCTGGGATTAATCCGACCCGAAAAGATTCCAACCCCAGAAACATGGTGGAATCTCCCAGTCGGAGCTAAGGTTCTCTTTGGGACAGTGCCATGGCAGATATGGCAGCAGGGGTAGGGTGCCAAATATCCCCATGGTCATAGCAAATAAGGTGGCCCCATTCTCCATGCAGCCATGCAAACATCAGAAGCACTGACGAGAACCTGAGGTTCAACCCCCGGAATTAATTCAGAAAGGGGACACATTTATAACGGCCAACGAAAAGACAAGCAACAGGAACAGCAACAATCAACCACCAAACAAGACGGCAAAACAGTCCATGATCCGAGAACAACGGCCATGGCCATTCACAACATCAAAGCAGCCCTTGCATACAACTGGATTCTTTGATGTTCTTTGTATCATACATAGAAAGCATTCAATTCAGAAAAGGCCGCAAAAACAAAACAGCAAAGCTGCGTGCTTTTCCGTGCCCTGGTCATGATGTGATTAGTGCTGCAGCTGTTTCAAATAACAGAACATTGCACTACAGGAGGATCATTCCGGCAAACGAACTAAAATTAACTAAAGGCTAGAAGTCCTTGAATGACCCGACAAAGACAATGTCAGAGAAAGAATCGCCCAGAAAGAACATGACGTCATGACGTCTTGCGTGCACAGATCTGTCGAATGCCCCACAACAATCAATCACTGGTTGGTGGTTTGGAACATTTTTTATTTTCCCATATATTGGGAATAGTAACCCCAACTGACTAATATTTTTCAGAGGGGTTGAAACCACCAACCAGTAATCAGTTCTCCTTGATCCAGGTGAACTACTGGCGAGACCCACAGAGTGGCTGGCGGCGGCGAGCGGATTTCTTCTTCGCCAACTTCGGGCAGCTCAGGGAAATGATCATTGCTCACAGACTCAATATATTAAATATATTGATGCTTCAACAGGAAATATATGGACATATATGGAAATATGAAGATTACATAAGATTGCTATATTATACAATGGTAATTGATTACAGTATGGTTTGTTTGGTACTCATAGCATCTCATAGCCCACCCATCAGAATCACCACCCATGATGGAGGTGTCGCTTTAATCCGTGGCCCCTACCCCATAGGAATTTACACCGAAGCAGGTGAGAAAGGATCCAGTATCATGAAAGAAATCGCCTGTCAACCAAATTATATATATTTTAATTCTATTTGACACATTATGTATATATATATAATATGTATATATGATATAATTATATAATATAATATAATCAGTATGTTTTCAATCAAAGAAGTGGCACCAATCATTCTTGATGCACTGGCTTGACCTGTCCGTTGAGGATCGGATATCATTTAGTGCTTGCCCTGGTGATTTGGGCGAAAACTCCTTTGGAGCACAAGATCGATCTGACCAGCGCATCCTTAAGACCTTTGTTTCTCACTGGAGTCTTGTTGACAATGTCGAGTTGTGGAAACGAACAAAAGTCTAAAAAAAAACTCAGGGCAAAATGGACTCTGGTTCATGTTCCTAACGCGGGAGGTTTTAGAAAAGGACTTTGCAGTCATTGCCATTCAGTGTCGGAAGAGTCAGGTTGACATTTTGAAATGTCTCTATAGATGCTTACTGCTGAAACGCAGTAGAAACCTACTGACTAGATCTGACTAGTGTATCCTGTTCATGAATTGGATTATTGCAACTTTGATCATTTTTGATCATTTTTGAATTCAACACAGGATGCTGGAATCCCCAACGCCCATCCAAGCCATTGCAAGTTGGTGCTGAGATCCTCGACCCCAAACGCTGATACCCTCGGAACATGTGGAGCCTTGAATTCGGTACAATTCACCACACTAAAGTGATCAAAACTGATCCAAATTGGCCGGTGAGCAGCAAGCCATTCAGGACCTTCTGTACCCTCCTTGAGTCCGTTGGGCTTCTGGACCATGTGGGGGGCTGCACTGTTCCTGTACCTCCGTGCGCGTAGCTGCGCCCAGAAGGCACGATGTGGAAGTCAAAAGCGTTGCTGAACTGCAGCCTTCTCTTGGGGTAATCAATAGCAGTCAAGGGCCACATTGAAACTTTTTACTTCTAGACACGGGACAGCGGTTCTACTGAGATTCTACCGTTTTCAGCCTGCAGACGGCCAGGGAGACTTTGATTCTGAGACCAAGTGGCACGTGGTGTTCCACGTGGTTGGCAATTTGGCCAACATCCTGCAGGGGAACCTGGCGGAAAGCATATCTTTTGTTGGGGATTCAGATGTCCATGTTCTTCCCCCCAGAATTTCATGACAAAGACAGACATTTCTGGGGGCGCCTGTTGAGAAGGTGTTTAGGTGATGTTTGTTCAAAGTAGAGTTTGGATGACGATATTTGTGCATTGCTGGCGTGATATGATGGATTGATACGGATTGCAAATCTGGTTGCTTCGAATCCCATGCGCTTTGAAATCGATGCTCTCACCGTGTATTGTCGAATAACCAGCTCTTTCCTTTCACCCATGAGGCTCTATCCTTCGCTGCAACCTCCATAAGGGGCGACTGGAAAAAGAAAGAGAGCACAGGTTGAGCAAGCCTCCCGGGAATTTTGTAGTGTAACCATGTTGAACCGAATTTCACACATTTCTATACAAGTTTTAGTTTCTGCCATTTCGATGGAAACTCTCATTCACTTTCATATGTTTGAGGTCTTGGGCTTGACACCAAGCAGGGAAGAAATACCCCAAAAAACTAAGCCATTCCATGTGCTTGTAAAGATTTTTTTCTTGGCGGGGTTGGGTTCCTACCATCAAAAACAGCAGGCGCAGTTGGGCCCATTGACGTGGCCAAAGCCCCCGAGGTCGACCGCCCAAAACGGCGCTTCATGGAGCTGGGCGCGTTCCGGGCTCAGAAGGGTGATCAGTGGTGATCAGTGTGATCTCGCAATGTGTTTTTCCCCAGTTTTTCCATGTTTTTCCCCTAGAAACTGCAACAGTTTCAGGCTTTTGTGTTCCTTAGAAGATGCTCGACAGGGGATTGACCAAAAAATGTCATTTCCGAATTGGTCGATTTTGATGTGGATGAACTAGTAAATCATGGTAAAGCCATGTAAAACCCATTTGCCAATCCACTTCAGGTTGCAAGCTGGCCTCGAGAAAACGCGCTTCTTGGGAAGGTCCATCCCTCGACTGCCGCCTGCGCGTGCAGAGTTTTGGGAGGCGGGACGGGATATGGCGTGACCAAGGTGGCGGTACCATGGAAGTGGCATTCTTTCTGTAATCCTTTGGTGTCCCCCAAACTTTGATCCCAATTTTCAGGTTTGGAGGGGCTGCGGTAGGCTGGGAGAATCTAACAGGCACTGTAGCATTTGCCATTTGATTTCCATCTTGAAACATTTCTTTCTTCGATACCTAAAAGGGTATCCCCCAGAAGCCCCAGAAGCGTATCTCTAATGTTCCTGCAGTGGACCCAGCGAGTTTGCGAGGCGAAGTCGTCTTTGCAGATGGTCCGTGACCTCTACGATGGTCAGATTCCCAACTCACTGCAGCTGGGAGTTGAAACCCCAAACCTGAATCGATGTGAGTTTTATGTTGCGCTATCGCGAATGGGCGAAAGAATACGAGAAGCATGTGAACGAGAAGCAGAAGAAAGAAAAGAAGAAGCAGAAGAAGCAGAAGGAAGAGAAGAAAGAGAAGAAGAAGAAGAAGAAGAAGAAGAAGAAGCAGAAGCAGAAGCAGAAGCAGAAGCAGAAGCAGAAGCAGAAGCAGAAGCAGAAGCAGAAGCAGAAGCAGAAGCAGAAGAAGCACATGGTCATGGTCATGATGATGATGACGATGACGATGACGACGTTTCTGAGGTACCAATACATCATTAACGTTTGCAGAGGTCTTCAGCTTTGCACGCTGCTCCCAGGCTATGCATCCGATCCTTTGAGCTGTCAGCCACTCCATGGTGAGCAAGGCCTTGGTGCCTAGCAGGGATAACAGAACCCACTGCTCCACCCAACGGTTCGAAAGACAAGTATGACAACTCGATATGCATGTACAACATGTACACCATGATATATTATATTATCATGTGATATGCATGTATAATAAGACAACATGGGTTAGCCGGTTCCTGGCATTCAAAGCAAAGTCACAGAGTGATTGCGCAGCGCCAATGGAAGGAATGACATGGTTTGGACAAGCCTCCAAGCCTCTGCACTGCATGCTCATTGAGGGTCTCGAAGGTACTGCTCCCGTTGCATTTCGGCTCGGTTGATCTGTTCCGAAGAAATACAAATGAAATACTGTAGATGTTGTTGACTTGTTAAGGCTGCGGGGGTGCCATTAGCAGGTGAGTTAGAGATATTTATGAACTTTTGTTCTGGAAATTCGAACATTGTCAACACATCTCAAACTTGTACATAGCCTTGCTTCTTGGCACTCGCATCAGTGGCTCGCCAGCAGAGTGGGGCAATTGCAAAATGCACTCAGAGGTTAAAGAAAACATGTGCCAAATTACTTGTCCTTCTCAAGTTACTGGAAGACCAAGGGGTCCATAAGTTTGAGACACAACCCGAAGGACATCGTCATTTGAGGCCTGTTGCTGCCATGCAATCCTGGGTGTTGCCTTTACCTTTAGGGAGGGTGCCCTTTTACCCACACCGAAGACCAAGAGAGACCTCATGCAGTTTTAATCCTGAGACAACTCAAAGGAATACGCAAATCCGACATATAATATAGACAAAGCGCGCTATGTTTTTTCTTTTTAAATGGCAGGTTATTTATCCGGAATCTACTCTTTCAGGGGTCTATCAACAAATTTGATTGTGCTAGCACAACTCATGTAAACTTGGAACCTTTAAGACCCAGGGCGCGCACGCACACACTCTGCTGATTTCTGCTCTGTGTCGGAGGGGATGTTGATTGACCTTGCTTGCATTGATTTGCATTGTGTTTTCTCTTCTTTTTCATTCTTTTGCTGTTTGTTTCTTTCCAGTTTGTCTGGTTCGACTGGTTCGACTGGTTCGACTGGTTTCTTGTTGAGCTTGGGAGCCACTGCTGAGGCCATGCACCACTCAGAGGCCTGGTCTCGCATGAGCAGCTCCAAGTCAGGCCCCGCGGTGATTCCGGAGTTGTGCTGTGGATGCTGCGGTCGTTGTCGCGTAGAACGGTTGACATTTGGAGATTTCCTGAAATGGGGGCACCCAATTTTAAGAAACCCGCATTTGTCCAAAGACCTGTGACGATTCAGTGGGAGACACCCAAATCGTAGCTGCAAATTGGTCAGGCTGCGACATGCTGATGGATCGGTTGCACAGCACCAACTTCCATCCATCTGCCACTGCCATTGCCCTGGGCCGGGCAACTTCTAAAGGTCTCGGAATCTGCCTGATATCAAAACCTCATGATGAAACCTCAATCCTCAATTCGGAGCCAAATTGAGAAGGCACCGAGCATCTTAGGTCATCTATAGTCTATTTCACTTGAAAATCAAATCTTTGAACCACGTTCCATGATTTCTTGCCACGAGAATCGAATCCAGTGAAGCTGACCTCGAGTTGTCATCAGTTTCGATTTCTCCCCGTTGCACAGCTGGATTCAGCTGGATTGAGATATTTGAATCTTTTTGAAGCATCTCTAGGTGCCATTGAAAATCACCAGTCGCTTCAAACGGTAGACCCTGGATGCAACTCCTGAGGCGGGCCAACTGATCGTTGGCAAGAACGCGCAGCTGGAGTCTGGAGTCCTCACCGAGAGGGTGTTGGCGGACTGAAAACCACCTGCTGGTTTCGGGTCTTGGGATGTCTCGGTTTGGTTTGGATTCCGGAAGTAGATTATTCATGATCATTCTATATAATTCTTGTCATTTCTTGTCATTCAGAAACATTTTCCAGGTTTTCCTCCCTATTCCGAGGTCCTAGAGACTTGGCTATGGAATGACCAATAGGTACCTCGACATTCCCCAAGACTGAGGCCACCTTACACCAGATGTTTGGTGGACCATGGCAAGGCGGGACTGCATCCCTGTCCATCCTTACTGTCAGAATCAATGTGGAGTCAACCAGGATCACATCACTGATAGTTCAGCATCACCGTTTCAGCATTAGAGTCCTGGTGATTGGCTTTCCCGATAGTTCTTGCAGTCTCTGAGCTTTCAATGCCCGACAGGTGGTGGACAGCGGACGTTTCGGCCGCTGGGCCATTGGCCATGGATCTGGAAAGCAATATTGGGAACTGACCTCAGTGCCCCTGGAGCGGTTGGGAATGGTTCGGTGACTTTGCGCAGAACTAGGATCAGGTCGGTAGGGGAATTCAGAAATCATTTCCAGTGACCCTTGAGCGCCATCTTACAGCTCTGCAACTAGCATCTTCATTGCATCATCTTCATCCATGAATGATCGAACGACCCCCATCTCAAGTTTATCTCCTTCACTAAGTTGATAGGGCCAAGCTCTGCACTGCTTGGTATTGTAGATTCACTTCAAGTGCCCATGTTGCAATGAAGTTCTGTCTTGCGGTTTCTGGAGCAGCCACAATGATCGATTTCAGTCAACAGCGAAGCGACAAATTGCATGGGTGCAGCATACATTGTGCCCCTCGGAATTCTTGAACAGGACTCAATGAGACACAGGACTCATTGATTTTCTGCAACCAAACACACTGCCTGGCATGGCAGAAGTTGAACATGCTGACAGCGAAATCACTTGCAAAGCATAGTTGTTTTTGCAACAGTTTTCATCCAGTACTCTTGGTTCATGCTGCATTTCGCTCAGCCCTTGGCTTCGCCATGGCCGCATCCAAGACTTGGAGAGCGAAGCCGCCTGTCATCGCTGTGGTTCCAAAGCCGAATAATCTCGGTCTCCACGTCCGCCACGTCTGCCTCGTCTGCCTTGGTTTTCGGGCTGACGGCGGTGTGTGTGGTGCGGGCGCAGGTGGTGCGCCGGGGGCAACAGCGGCAGCCGGGTGCTCCGGAAGCGATGGCGTGGGAAAGGCTGCAGGGAGTGGAAGAGCCGCTGCAAACCTTGGTGCCTAGGCTAAGACGGCCAAGCCGAATAATCCAAATGACTTTGTCTTTGTATATCTGATATCTGTATATGACTGTGTAAATCTGACTGTGTATATCTGACTGTGTATATCTGCATCTATATCTGCATCTATATCTGTATCTATATCTGTATCTATATCTGTATCTATATTTGTATCTATATCTGTCTATATTTATATTGTAGAGCTTCGCACACCGGCGATGCCTGTAGGGGTCGGGGGAGGGAAAGAGAGAGGGGGATTTCATCTGAACTTGCGGACATGACATGCTGCGAGCTGCATCTTCGTTGTCGTCAGCGTCATTGTCGTCGTCGTTGTTGTTGTTGTTGTTGTTGTCGTCGTCGTCGTTGTTGTTGCTTCTGGTCCTCCTTCTCGTTCTCGTTCTTGTTCTTGTTCGTGTTGTCGTTGTCGTTGTCCTTGTTGTCATCCTTGTCGTCATTGTCGTCAGTGTCGTCGTTGTCGTCGTTGTCGTTGTTGTCGTCGTCTTCGTCGTCGTCGGCGTCGTCGTCGTTGTCGTCGTTGTTGTTATTGTTGTTATAGCTGTTGCTGCTTGGTCCTGTGGTCGTTGTCGTTGTTATCTTTGTAGTTGGTACTTTTTGCAAACCCCCCAAAATCGTCAAATCGACGGTTTTTGCAAACCCCCAAAAAGCGTCAAATGGGCGGTGCTTTCGCGATTTGTCACATTCTCGGAACAAAAAACACCGTAAATACCGATGTTTTTGGCTCCGCGCCAACGCAAAACCACGGTATTTACGAGGTTTTGAGCCTCTGCGAGCAAGAATCACGGTATTTACAGTGTTTTGTGGCCCGGGCCTAGCAAAAACATTTGTATTTACGCAGTTTCCTGCATGTTGTCAGAAGCTTTTTTTGGATGCCAAAGGCACGAAAACATTGTAAATTACACGATTTTTACGCGTGGGCAGTACCAAAAAAATATGAAAAATTGACCAAAATGATCGGTTTCTGCACGACAGTGTCGAGGTCTTTCCCGAGGAGGAAGGAGCACGCTGCGTGGCAGTGGTGAAAGGTGACGTGGCCCAAAAGGAAGACGTCCCCGTGCGGGTGCACTCCGCTGCTCAGCTGCAAAACCCGAGGGATTGGGGGTGAAACAGATGCAGAAAGCGGGGAAGGAACATCATACCATGTAACATTATTGACGACCCAACCAACCAAATATCTAAATCTAAATCTTTACTACATATAAATATAAAGGCGGAATAGCGACATATATATATATACATATATATATATACATATATCATATCATATATACATATACATATATATATATATACATATATCATATCATATATACATATACATATATATATATACACATAACTATACATATATATATACCCTGTGCGATGCCTGTATCTACTATGTACGATTATCTACGCATAGAATTCTATAGACATCTCCTGTGGTCTCCATACAGAAAACACCTGTGCCTTTTTTCCTCGCCATTGCTGCCTGGCAGGAATGTTTCTTGGGGGATGCCTTGGGCAGCACGCGCTGTCAGTGCGGCCCACAGCTGCGGAGCTTCATCGAAACCGTGCTGGGCAGCTCCTGTCATCCTTGTGGAATCTTACTGCAAACTGGTCTGCTGAAAGATGATTTGTGCCAAAAATCAAGATGCAGCGTACATGTGTATGAGCGTGTGTGGTACAGGTATAAGTATATAGGTAACTACACACACATTATATATATATGATATATATCCACACATATATATATAATATGTATAAGTATGTTTACATGTTTATTGTAAGTATACATATTATGTAATCCATGTGCAGGTTACAACAGGTTCCACCCAAACTTTTTCCCTGTGAGTGCTTAGCAATATGATCAACAATATGATCCAACAAACTATGAACAAGTCAGGTTGTCCAAGTGAGAAAGAATCACAATCCCAGCTGAACCCCGGAATCGCTGCCAGGTATTTGCAGGGCCAGGAAGGGAAGGGCATTGGTCTGAGCAACAAGCTCCGGGCCTATGTCTTGCAAGACACGGAAGGGCTGAATGAGGCCGAAGCCAACCTGCGGCTGGGCTTTCCACCCGATCAGCGAAAATATCAGGCTGCCCGTACGGCGCTTGAATTTCTGGAGGTCAAGAGCGTGGTGCTCTACACTGCAAGTTCCTGAGATTGAAGGCATTTTATTAATATAAATGGGCTAACGCCCTGGTGCCGCCGACCCCCATTTGGAGGGCCATGGTTATCCGATGTTATCCGATGTTATCCTGCACACAAGTGCCCACTGTGTGGGACGGTTGTGTGGTCAGCACGTGCTACCGGACGAATCCGCGTCAAGCATAGCGCACCATCTGGACGGCCCTGTGAACGAGAAAGGTGGGTAGCAAGGTAAGGAACCCAACGGAGCTTCTGACACGCATGGCAAGACCAAACCCAATAGAGACAGGTCTGTGACTTGGCAAGGCGCTGGCAATGGAGTGAACCTGGAGAGAAGGAAATGGATTATTGCCACGTGGCAGTGCCAAGGCGCTGGCAAACGGCTGGCGCTGCAGGGCAACGTGTTCGCGGTGACTTGAGAAAGCAGTGGCAAAGCGGTAAAGGCTCACAGCGGGGTTTTGTGTCCTGATGGACCGTGCTTCACGCAGGTTTTAACACCCTCTACATGAATTCTGGCGACATGGCCAGGCGCTGCGGTGACCGGGGGAAGCAGTGGCAAGGCGGTAAAATGGATTATGGCGACATGGCCAGGCACTGGCACAGGGCTACCGCTGCAGGGCAACGTGTGTGCGGTGACCTGGGAAGGCAGCGGCAAAGCGGTAAAGGCCCACAGACGGGTTTTGTGTCGTGATGGGCCGTGCTTCGCGCACGTTTTGAAACCCTCTAAATGGAGTATGGCGACATGGCCAGGCGCTGGCACAGGGCTGCCGCTGCAGGGCAACGTGTTGCGGTGACCTGGGAAGGCAGTGGCAAAGCGGTAAAGGCCCACAGACGGGTTTTGTGTCGTGATGGGCCGTGCTTCGCGCACGTTTTGAAACCCTCTAAATGGAGTATGGCGACTGGCCAGGCGCTGGCAAAGGACTGCTGCTGCAGGGCAACGTGTTCGCGGTGACCTGGGAAGGCAGTGGCAAAGCGGTAAAGGCCCACAGAGGGGTTTTGTGTCCTGATGGACCGTGCTTCGCGCACGTTTTGAAACCCTCTAAATGGATTATGGCGACATGGCCAGGCGCTGGCAAAGGGCTGCTGCTGCAGGGCAACGTGTTTGCGGTGACTTGGGAAAGCAGTGGCAAAGCGGTAAAGGCCCACAGACGGGTTTTGTGTCGTGATGGGCCGTGCTTCGCGCACGTTTTGAAACCCTCTAAATGGAGTATGGCGACTGGCCAGGCGCTGGCAAAGGACTGCTGCTGCAGGGCAACGTGTTCGCGGTGACCTGGGAAAGCAGTGGCAAAGCGGTAAAGGCCCACACGGGGGTTTTGTGTCCTGATGGCCCGTGCTTCGCGCAGGTTGCGAAACCCTCTAAATGCCTCTAAATGGATGGATTGGAGTATGCCGATATGGCGGCATGGCCAAGCGCTGGCAAAGGGCTGCCGCTGCAGGGCAACGTGTTCACGGTGACAAGGGGAAGCAGTTTCAGGGCGGTACATGGATTATGGCGACATGGCCAGGCACTGGCACAGGGCTACCGCTGCAGGGCAACGTGTGTGCGGTGACCTGGGAAGGCAGCGGCAAAGCGGTAAAGGCCGACAGACGGGTTTTGTGTCGTGATGTGCGGTGCTTCGCGCACGTTTTGAAACCCTCTAAATGGAGTATGGCGACATGGCCAGGCGCTGGCAAAGGGCTGCCGCTGCAGGGCAACGTGTTCGCGGTGACCTGGGAAGGCAGCAGCAAAGCGGTAAAGGCCCACAGAGGGCTCTTGTGTCCTGATGGACCGTGCTTCGCGCAGGTTTTGTCACCCTCTAACTCTCTGAACGGAGTATTGCGACTAGCCAGGCGCTGGCAAAGGGTTGCCGCTGCAGGGCAACGTGTTCGCGGTGACCTGGGAAGGCAGTGGCAAAGCGGTAAAGGCCCACACGGGGGTTTTGTGTCCTGATGGCCCGTGCTTCGCGCACGTTTTGAAACCCTCTAAATGGAGTATTGCGACTAGCCAGGCGCTGGCAAAGGGCTGCCGCTGCAGGGCAACGTGTTTGCGGTGACTTGGGAAGGCAGCGGCAAAGCGGCAAAGGCCCACAGACGGGTTTTCTGTCGTGATGGGCCGTGCTTCGCGCACGTTTTGAAACCCTCTAAATGGAGTATGGCGACTGGCCAGGCGCTGGCAAAGGACTGCTGCTGCAGGGCAACGTGTTCGCGGTGACCTGGGAAGGCAGTGGCAAAGCGGTAAAGGCCCACAGAGGGGTTTTGTGTCCTGATGGACCGTGCTTCGCGCACGTTTTGAAACCCTCTAAATGGATTATGGCGACATGGCCAGGCGCTGGCAAAGGGCTGCTGCTGCAGGGCAACGTGTTTGCGGTGACTTGGGAAAGCAGTGGCAAAGCGGTAAAGGCCCACAGACGGGTTTTGTGTCGTGATGGGCCGTGCTTCGCGCACGTTTTGAAACCCTCTAAATGGAGTATGGCGACTGGCCAGGCGCTGGCAAAGGACTGCTGCTGCAGGGCAACGTGTTCGCGGTGACCTGGGAAAGCAGTGGCAAAGCGGTAAAGGCCCACACGGGGGTTTTGTGTCCTGATGGCCCGTGCTTCGCGCAGGTTGCGAAACCCTCTAAATGCCTCTAAATGGATGGAGTGGAGTATGCCGATATGGCGACATGGCCAAGCGCTGGCAAAGGGCTGCCGCTGCAGGGCAACGTGTTCACGGTGACAAGGGGAAGCAGTGGCAAGGCGGTACATGGATTATGGCGACATGGCCAGGCACTGGCACAGGGCTACCGCTGCAGGGCAACGTGTGTGCGGTGACCTGGGAAGGCAGCGGCAAAGCGGTAAAGGCCGACAGACGGGTTTTGTGTCGTGATGGGCGGTGCTTCGCGCACGTTTTGAAACCCTCTAAATGGAGTATGGCGACATGGCCAGGCGCTGGCAAAGGGCTGCCGCTGCAGGGCAACGTGTTCGCGGTGACCTGGGAAGGCAGCAGCAAAGCGGTAAAGGCCCACAGAGGGCTCTTGTGTCCTGATGGACCGTGCTTCGCGCAGGTTTTGTCACCCTCTAACTCTCTGAACGGAGTATTGCGACTAGCCAGGCGCTAGCAAAGGACTGCTGCTGCAGGGCAACGTGTTCGCGGTGACCTGGGAAGGCAGTGGCAAAGCGGTAAAGGCCCACACGGGGGTTTTGTGTCCTGATGGCCCGTGCTTCGCGCAGGTTACGTGTTCGCGGTGACCTGTGAAGGCAGTGGCAAAGCGGTAAAGGCCCACAGAGGGGTCTTGTGTCCTGATGGACCGTGCTTCGCGCAGGTTTTGTCACCCTCTAACTCTCTGAACGGAGTATTGCGACTAGCCAGGCGCTAGCAAAGGACTGCTGCTGCAGGGCAACGTGTTCGCGGTGACCTGGGAAGGCAGTGGCAAAGCGGTAAAGGCCCACACGGGGGTTTTGTGTCCTGATGGCCCGTGCTTCGCGCACGTTTTGAAACCCTCTAAATGGAGTATTGCGACTAGCCAGGCGCTGGCAAAGGGCTGCCGCTGCAGGGCAACGTGTTTGCGGTGACTTGGGAAGGCAGCGGCAAATGGCGGTAAAGGCCCACAGACGGGTTTTCTGTCGTGATGGGCCGTGCTTCGCGCACGTTTTGAAACCCTCTAAATGGAGTATGGCGACTGGCCAGGCGCTGGCAAAGGACTGCTGCTGCAGGGCAACGTGTTCGCGGTGACCTGTGAAGGCAGTGGCAAAGCGGTAAAGGCCCACAGAGGGGTCTTGTGTCCTGATGGACCGTGCTTCGCGCAGGTTTTGTCACCCTCTAACTCTCTGAACGGAGTATTGCGACTAGCCAGGCGCTGGCAAAGGGCTGCCGCTGCAGGGCAACGTGTTCGCGGTGACTTGGGAAGGCAGCGGCAAAGCGGTAAAGGCCCACAGACGGGTTTTGTGTCGTGATGGGCCGTGCTTCGCACACGTTTTGAAACCCTCTAAATGGAGTATGGCAACACGGCCAGGCGCTGGCAAAGGGCTGCCGCTGCAGGGCAACGACGTGTTCGCGGTGACTTGGGAAGGCAGCAGCAAAGCGGAAAAGGCCCACAGAGGGGTCTTGTGTCCTGATGGACCGTGCTTCGCGCAGGTTTTGTCACCCTCTACATGGATGGAGTGGGGTATGGCGATATGGCGACATGGCCAAGCGCTGGCAAAGGCCTCCGCTGCAGGGCAATGTGTTCGCGGTGACTTGGGAAGGCAGTGGCAAAGGGTTTGGTGTCTGGTGGACCGTGCAGGCCGAGGTCCTAGCAGGCCAAAGCCGCACACCTGCGGTGATCCCAGGCGCCGCCCCGCCTGGGCCAAGGCTAGGCAGGGGTCGGCGGATATTTCTTTTTGTCTGTGGTTGACATGTTATATGGTATGTTGTGGTATAACATCCAAGGATCAAGAACAGATTATCAATGACCCCTTCACAAGGTATCCCCGGTATCCCGTTCCAAAGAGTTGATTGAGGGGTCACAGAAGAGCCACCTGTAACCGCCCCATGCAGCTTGCACGATTCACAGCTCAGGTCCTCGAAAGATTTCGTTCCTAAGTGAATTTGTGTCTGGTGTGGCCGCTTGGTGTCCGCGAAACCAATGCTGGGAAGCCGCGACGGCCACTGATGCGTGAGCCCTTTTGCAGCGACGAACAGTGAAAAGAAAGGGACCAGAGGGGTCGTGAGGACCTCTCGCTGATCAGTGCAATGGTGCAGTTTGAGTTGAAGTTAAAGAGACCACGGTGCAGAGCAGTCCCAGACATCCGTGACAATTGGCGGGTGATCTATATCTGACAGATACAGTATGTACACATTTCTCCAACTATTTCTTGTACTTGGTTTGCAAGATCCTTGTTGGCCAAGGACAGGGGCACTCCCTTCTCCAGCCGTCCGCCATCCTCAAGTGGACATGAGGCGTGCTGGGACTCTGCCTCAAAGCTCATGAAGGGCTTCATTCAGAAACAGATTCGGACCCAACATTTCTGGTCCCCTGCTGGACGAGAAATACGAGAAATGCGCAATCAAGAGTTGGGATTTGCCTCAAAACCTGGCGACTTCTTAGACTAACCCCAAGTTGGATGGGACGATGAGTTTCCTGAGTCTGCCAGGAGGCCAATTACCTTGGTATTTGAGGTTTCAACCCCAATTTCCGGGCTTCTCACTGGGTAGCTGGGGTTCCAACATCTCGTGAATTCATTGGTATTTGGTGATGTGGTGTGCCAAGCTAAATTGTGCAGGAGCTGGCCACCATGCGGCGCACAAACCTGGAGAAGTTCCTCCCACAGAATCGGCCAATGGCCCGGGCAGCCCAGTTCCAGTGAGGCGGTGAAGCGCGCAGACACCTTGGGTTCACCGAATTTCAATGGATTTGAGGAAGTTTTTTGGAGAAACCCAGATGATGACCATGGCATACCATGGCCACCTGTGGGTCAAAAGCTGTGATCCCAGGACAGTACCTTCCAACGGATCTGGGGCCGTGCAGAGCCACCCATGTACACGGGAGAAGTGGCCAAACATTCCCCAATGATGTGCACCAGTGGGGTGGCCCAGCCGGTGTGAACCGTTTGGCCAGTGACTAGTGACCAGTGACATCTAGTGACTATATTGACAGCTATCAATGTTTAGGTTTTTTTTCATTTTCTTCCATGTCTTGTCTAACCTCAATTCTTGAGGTCAGAGCTTTGGATTTGATCTCACATGCCACCCTGCAAGTTCCGCTTCGCACGGAGCAGCAACCCTCTTAGCGTCAGGCTCTTTCCAGGTGAAATTGACCCAGGTAGTTTGACCGTCTATGTTTGACCGTCGTCCCGCAGCTGGTGCCAGGTGCTGGTGTACTGAGAAGTTGAGAGTTTGCGGTCCCCACGGTTCCCAATGGTTGACTTGTTGATATCAATCAATGGTGCAACCCGTTCGAGCAGAGCCCCCAACAGCGTCGGGGTGCTTGCCAGGTTGACAAAGGCATAGAACGAGCAGTCCATGAATGTGGGCTTTTCTAGAGCTGGGGGAAATGATGTTCAGCTCAATTTGTGGATTTTGCTGATTGTTTGAATATTTAAAGATATTTAAAGTCCTGTTTCAGAATTCTTGTGTTTCTTTTGAGCCAATGATGGAAATCAGAGCCTTTACTTTTTTGGTTCCCCCAGTTGCCATGAGTTTCACCTCTGGTCTTGTGGAGAGCTGCATCAATGCAGCCGTCCATGTGGGCTTCTGTGAATTCCGCGGAGGCAGCGGGCCGAAAAAAAGGCGGCAGCTGCGCCTTTTTTCAACGAGATTTTGGAAGATTTTGGATGGTTTACACAACCAAAACACACTTTCTGACTTAAGAACTGTAGTTTTTTAGAAGACTGGATTTTGAAAGATCGGCAGCCAGGTGGGTCGAAGTCAGATGACTTCATGTCGCAATACTTGGAGAAGCAGGTGCCGCAGGGGCTGGGGTTGTGCTAAGTCACCCATCCGTATCACCTTGGATCAACTTTCTATCAGAATTGGCCATTTTGAAAGATTTTGAAAGGTCATAACATGTCACAGCCCTGGCTTCAGGCAGTTCACCCCCTGTGCAGCCAGCTTTTGACCAGGCTGTGATTGAGTTCTTGCTCCACCGCAAGCAGGGGCTGCTTGGCAAAGAAGGGCGGCTGAATTCGCATTTGTTCCCAGTTGGAGGATAACTGGTGATAGTTAACTTCCAGGAGTGTTTGATGTGGTATCTGCAAATACTACCAGACTAAATAATGCAGGATGTTCATCGTCCTTATTTAGCTTATTTATGCTTATTGTAGTTTCCAAGGATCCATGGTCGTGGTCATGCCGTGGTCATGCCATGATCACGCCCAATGGTTGTGAAAATCACTTTAAGTCAGTGCCATGTGAGGCGCTTGGAGGAGTTGAAGAGAGCCCTTCGTGAAAGCAAACCTGAAGCCAGGTGGCTATCTGAATGTGGCAATTGGTTGATTTTGGTAGGATTGGTAGGATGAAACTAACATAACTAACAAGGTTAGGGATGACTGAGGTGTTTTTTTGCAGGATGAGGCATACTTTCTGTGAGGGCAAGACACTCCTTCTATTTATATTATTTATGATCATGGCAAGTGTCATACTTGCAATGTCATACTTGCAATGTCATACTTGCCATCATGATACTTGTAATCTCTTGTAATCCTGCACATCATTGTTTTTTCCCTCCACGAAGGACGTTGGCAGTTCCTGTAGTCTGATAATGACTGGGAAGTGGCTTGTGTCACGTGGATAGGCACCAAGAGCAAGCCCAGGCTGTGAAACAGTCGCAGGCGGTGTGGGACCAGTTGTTAAGTATGGTGTAGATGTGGATGTGGACACCTTCCAAACTGACGGATCTTTCGAGATCCAAAAAAACCTTAGCAGAACAAGAAGCGCCTAAGCTGTTCACAAGCCAAAGCGCAAAATCTGATGTATGGGTCATTCAAACCACACCAGTTTGACTGGCGCAGATGAAGTGTTCTTCCACATTCGAGACAGTACCTGTTATGGAGTGTTCTTCCACATTTGATGCCAACATACTGTAACGGTATACAAAACTAGGATGGTTTCCCAAATGAATGTCTAATCTATGTTTTTTCTGGAATGAGCCAATGAATCAAGGATTCGAAGATTCAATGAATCATCAATGAATCATCAATGAATTATCAATGAATCATCAATTCACTCCGGATCATCCTGATCTTCAATGTGGCCTTCGCAGAAACCACCGCAGACAGGGTATCAATGGTTTAAAATTTTCCTTTCAGCATCAGCCAGGAGAAAGAAGTAAAAATTGTGCCTGGAACTCAGGGCGATGAGCATCGCAACTGTCGGCTGTACTGCCAGATAACACACATGTTGTCGGAGTATGGAAGTATGGTTATGGCATGCACTATGTCAATGGCTTTGAGGACATGGGAACATGAATGAAATACTTGGATGATCTTGTATGTCTGCAACCCGACTGATTGGTGGTGTCAACTGCGTTTTCTTTTCCTTTTCTATCTCAGCTAACTGTCATCCCAATAATTCATGTGGGCCCAAATTTTATTCAGGATGGGTTGGAACCAGCTTCGCGGGGCGCCTGAGGACTGGTTGTAGTTTTCAGCTCCTCGCATGGACAGAGAACCTGAAGTTCCAGCAGGTGTCCAATGCAAGCGAGACGACTGGTTCGGGGGGGAAACAACCTATGGAGGGGAATGGCGATCCTGTAAGATTCCCGCATGACACAAGGAAACAGTGACATCTTCAGCCAAAGTAGAATGATCATACCGAATCATACCTTTGAATTGTTGACCAGGGCGCAACTTCAGCCCAAAATGTCTTGCAGCTAGTTCCAAGAGGACAGAAATAGGAAAATTCTCACCCTGAACATTGGAGATGGATGAAGAGCATGATCATATTGAAGCCAGACCTAACCCATTCTGACCCGAAAACCCCAGGACATCCTCCGGAATGAGCAGTGGAGCGGTGGAGCCATCTTTGCCAGAGCCAATGTTTGGAGCTCGAAACTGATCATGCTATGACTGCTATGAGCATCCCGAGATGGCGCTGTAGATCTAAGATATCTATAGATATCTAAGAATGTCTCAACAGCAGTGATACCCAGAGCACACCCGCTTTATATTACCAATGGGAGGCATTTTTGGCAGATTTTGATGTCGACTTTGGAGATGTTTTCATTTGAAAGCCCATTTGATCCAACTTCTTTCACCTAACTGCCGTGTGGCCCAGATGGACGATCCATCCTTCGAGTTGGCGGTCAGCCTGCAGGACAGAGTCAGCACATGGCACTGGTCGGTGGGGGAATTTTGTGCAGCCCGCGCAGCCCGCGCAGCCCCAGGATTGTCCGGAGAGCCATCCCATCATCATCGGCATTGCCCCTCCCGATGCGGATCTGAGCCAGGTGGGTTGCAGATAGGTCCAGACAGATGGCTTGTTGCTTTTCGTGTTTCTCTGCTGGACAACGTGGGACACTTCGTGAATCTTCGTGATTTTTTGTTCCAACCCGGAAATGAGTGGTGGCTGCCAGTCTTCGAGGTACTATGAGATACTCAGTCATAGAGGTAGAATCAATCTCCTGCAGGTAAGATTTTACAACCACTATCATTATCATCATTGTCATCTCAGATGGTCAAGCACCAGCGACTTTTGTCAGAGGCCAACTTCTTTGGCAGTTGTGGAGGTGTGTTTATGTGTTTAGGTCGAGGCCTCAGAGCGAATGGGTTCATCCAGGCGTTCTGTGTGCTGACACTGATGTTTTTGCTCCTCTGAGATTGTCAAGTCCTCTAGAAACATCACTGGATCATTTTGTTATCAACACATATCAACACATTCCATTGTTGTGTGGTCAGTTCAAAAAATTACCCAATAAGAAATCACCAAATGTTGGTGGGTCAATATTACCCAATAAGAAATTACCAATAAGAAATCAACAATAAAAAATTACCCAAATTACCCAATATTCTTGTTGATCCGTTCGCCTCTGGCATTTTGGGTGGTCCGCACTTTGACCAGGCGGCTCTGCCTCTGAAGGACGCCTGGGTGCTATGGGCGCACCGGGAGGCCGCAAGGGAAGATACACGATGCACGGAATTCTATGGAAATTATGGAATTGACATGAATTGACCCCTTTGAACTTTAGCACTTTAACACTTTAACACACATCTCTCTCTCTCTATTATAATATATATATAATATCTATAGAGCCCAATATCTTGTGATAGAACCCTGAAAAAACATATTATTGTAATATATTCAAAGTGCATTTATCTGCAGTCTTCAATGACTAGTGGTTGAGGGCAGGACGTTCATTCCTCGAAATGCGACCCCGTGCAGGTCCCTTTATTCAGGGCTTCGGACAGCGGCAGCGACCAGATTTGCCAAAGGGACATCTAGGTTGCCAGGTGCAAATCAACTTCACGGAGGTTCGCAAGGGAATGGAATGGGCTGATTTCGGATGATGTATGATGGCAGGGATGACATGTCAAATGTTTGCTGGGTATTTTGTTGATATTTTATTGGTTTGGGATTCAGTTGTCAATTTGGCTGGAGGAACATCATGGCACGAGGGTGTGGCAATCGAACGACGCCATGCTCAAAGGGTCTCTGAAGTGAGGGCTTCTCGCCACAGGGGACACCAAAATAGTGATTATATAATAGTATAAAATAGTATATATAAAGATATATAAAAGCTTTTCAAATCTATCATTATTTTGTATCTCAACAGTGACATTTTTTCCGGACATGATGGGTACGTCGCCATGGGGGCAACTCCCCCAGCCTGGTAGCAGACCAGGCCGTAGATACAACGGGGCAGTTGTTGGGCCATGTATGCTTTATGGTCACCGATGAACGAGGCTGCTGCTTTGGGATTTGTTGGGAACTCGATGGTTGTTTAAATGTTGTTTCCTGGGGATTAGATTATGCAGGATCATTAAATTCCCCCCATGTCTAGGCAAATTTCTGAGTGCGGACTACCGATTGCAGTGCCGGACTTCTATAATGAAAGTGGTTGCACAGCCATTCATGTTTCTCTAGTAGGCATCACACTACCATGTTGATGAGCCGTTCACAACAAAATCATTTGCAATCTTAATTTTGCTTTTGTTACGGGATGACCAAATAGGAAGGAAATATAGATTACACACCATGGATCTGCAATGATTTGCAAGGGATTAACTGTGGTGGTACTTTCATTTTATGAGCCAAGCCTTGTAAGCTTGGTATGCACAGGCCGATATCATCAGCATGTGTCGTGGGCTCAGCGGGGGGTTGCTGGTCCCATGGTTTGTGGAAACGGTGGTTGTCATCTTTTATGCCACCAGAGTTGTTTCATGTGGGGTAGAAACTGAGTGATTCGGTCTTGCACAAGCGGAATTGCATCGGAGGTTGGGTTCCCAAGAATGACTGGACCCCCAAACTTGGAGATTTGGCATGAATTCTTCCCCGATTTCCATCCTGACTTGGGACAATCTTGAATCATTTTGGGCGTTTGGAACCACCAAACAACCAACTTCAACCAACTTCAACCAACTTCAACCAACTTCAACCAACTTCAACCAACACACCGAGTTTTTTCTGAGGTCACTGCACGGTCACTGGTTGGTCACTGCCCTTCTCCAGTCATCCCTACAGGTTGGGGTCGGCCTCCAAGGCCCAAGTTTCGACAGCAAATCGAGGGAGGCGTTGGATGGTTACCGTGCATCCTGCTGTTCCGACCTCAGCGATTGTGTGGTGCTCCGGTGATAACAGGGTCTGGGAGTTTGGATATGGATGTTGCAGGGAATTGTGACTTGTTTTCTCAAGTGGGGTGAGCAGTTTGCTATGCTGCTATACTATGCTATACTGCTAAGCTTACTGCTCTATACTGCTATACCAGAAGATGGGAATTTCTGTCGTGGTTTTTGGACGTCGCGCCACTTGCCCCGCTGTTTCAATGCTGGCTTGGTGACCTGGCGCCCCCAGGTGCAATCCAGACACCAGCGTGCAGGTGCTCCGCCTGAAATAGTGGCGGGCAGAGTCAGGTACTTGGCAGACTCAGGTAGAAATTGTAACATCTTGTAACACTAGGGCAACACAAAACAGTACAAATCAATACGACACAATACAACATTTTTTCTCCAAGGACCCAAGGCACTTGATGGTTGAAGACATGAATGGCGACTGGTGGACCCTAAACTTTGAAGACCTTGTGTGGCAGTCACGTGACGTTGTTTGATAGGCACAAGTCGCAAGTCTCACCTGCACGCGTGCACGTGCTTTGACATTTCCTTCCGCATGAATGCGAGGGTCAAAAGTCTGGGGAATGGGTGCAAGCAGCGCAGAAATCTTTCCGATGGGCAGCGCATCAATGTACATTGGCTCTACATGAAGCATGGACATGAGCAAAGGCACTCAGAAAATCTTGTAACACCCAAGGAGTTAGGACATAAGATGGTTGGGAAGCAGAGTTAAGATGCCAAGAATTAAGACAGTACGTAAGACAATCAGGACATGGAGCCGGCGCGGATGGTAGGCCCTATGTTGCCTTAGCTGCAGGGGCAAAGTTTCAGAAGTCCTGGGAAACAGGTGCAACTTTCACCAGTTTCAGAGCTGAACTTGGGACGCCGGAAATTGATCCCATTTGGGTCAAGCTGTGACTTACCAGCTTCGGAACAGTTTCAACATGAAAAGCAAACACATGCAAACATATTAAGATCATTGAGTGACTGGTGTTATGTACCAGGAAGTCTTTAGCAATTTTTAGCATGACATCACACTTCGGTGAAAAAGATCAAACAAGCCGTAACAAGCCACTAAAATGCACAAGACATAAAGCCACTCCGGTGTGGCGCAATGGTCCTGCAGTGGCTGCCATGTTGGCGCCGCAAGTTCAATTGCCTGTGGTGGATGTTCAGGCGCGGTTGGGCGTTTCACCGGTCAAAGATGGCTCACCATTTCATGGCTTAAAAATTCACCCACACAGTTTCATCCTGGTCAGCACTTCCACCCTTTATTATGTACGACTGTACCACTGATCATATCCTTCTGTGTTACATAATATGGATATACATCCTACATTATAGTTATAATTTAATGATAATTATATAACGATAATTCATGATATTGGTAAACATAATATCTATTTGATATAATTCTAAATGTTTCAACTGATCCATGTGTTCCTGATGGGTGGATTCCCATCAACTTGGCCCAGGATCGGCTGGTGCTGGATGCCGCTGAGCATTGCCGCCAGCTGCGGCAGGCCTTGTCTGAGAAGCAGAGGCTGGATATGGACTGGATATGGATGGAAGTGGACTAAGTGGAGATGTGTTTTTTTGATGTTGTGGGGTCCATTTCTGGTTTCGAGGTGTTGTCTCTCCTGCTGTCGGAACATGGATATATATATATATTTAAGGGCTGCCGCCCCTGCCGCCGACCCCGGTAAAGAATCGGGGATTGCTGGTGAAACAGGCAAGCTGTGTGACGCGAAACTTTGGCAAATGCATTATCACATGCAGGATCATGCGTAACTGGTGCAGCTTTCGGATCAATTGCAGTAAGGTGCTGGCTGCATGACGAGACAGTTGAATTAGAAGCTTACTCTGAACCCAACAACACATCTATGTGCATATGGGCCAAGAGACATAAGACCAAATTGCCAAAAGCTATCATGACAAGAAAGCTCCAGCTTAGGTGGTGGTATAAGATAGCTACACAACTTTTTTTTGGATTGAAGCTATTCTAGTTGGACTGCAGCAACGAGAGCTGAGAGCTACGAAATATGGCCCGTTCGAAATGATGGGACACGCCCAAAAGATTATAGAAAAAGCAGAGAAGAAAGTCTAACATTTTAGCTTTTTTCCTGTGTGTAACATATGGTGTAATTCACCCGGCGCAAACCATGCCAGCGCAGCTGCGGAGTGCAAGCGCAGTGCTGGAATGTTGGCTGGCCATTGCTCACGACAAGCTCATGTGGCTGCGGCGCAGCGACGCTGACTGCGGCAACCGGTACGGCGTCCTTCCGCTGTGCATTGGTATGCCAGTGCAAGCGCGAGAACATCTCTACCGAAAGGAGTTCAAGATTTTGAAAGGGTGTCATGGAACAGTTTGCGGGTGGTCTCGCGTTGAAACAGAAACAGCGTCGGCAGATGGAGCAGTCATTTGGAACAAACTTCCCGAGTATATCTTTGTGCGTTTTGAAACACGCACACGGTGGACTATCCCAGGCATCGATCAAGAGAACGTCTTCCCAGTGAGCGTGCAAAGTGGAATGTGGTTTTTGGACGCGGGCCGCACCAACCCACAATTGAAAGTCACCCGGTGCCAATTTCCCATCGCGCCCGACTTCGCTGACACGTTCTACGGCGCGCAAGGAAGCACAATAGAGCCGGGCGTGATCGTTGACATGGTCGGTGCTGACCCAATAGGGGCGTACATTGGGATGACGCGGAGCCGCACACGACAGAAGATCTTGATCTACCGACCGTTCCCGCTGGCGCCTTTTCAAGAAGGCCTGCCGCTCGGACGACAACTTCTTCTGGACGTGTGGAAGCAGGAGCCGGTGGACTGGGACGCATTGCGCAAGAAATATCTGGATGAAAGGCCGTGCCACGAATGTGGCGAGATGAAGCGCAAAGACGCGTTCACCAAAGCACAATGGAAACAGGAAACGTATCGCGTGTGCAAAGAATGCACAGCGCAGAAGCGCGAAGCCGGCATGCCCTATCGATGCACACAGTGCGGCCTGTGGCACGGCGCAGCACACTTTCCGTCAAAGCATCACAACCCGCGGTGGAGCATGTATCGCGTCTGCCTTTCATGCGACACCAAAAAAAAATGTTTTGTTTGCAACAAGAACCAAACAAAGGAATTTTTCTGCACCGCCGCATGGCACACGAGAAAACCTGAACGAAGATTGTGCCTATGTTGCCAAACTAAAACTCGCGGCTCGTGGAAGTGCGCGACCTGTCGCCAACGAAAGCCGCACCAACAATTTTCCAGCTTTATCTCCAGACGGCCATCAGGAAAGAATGGCACGCAAACATGCAATACATGCCGTGCTGCCATGGTGCAGGATACAATCCGCAAGCGTGCTGCCACGTCCGCCGCTGCGCGATTAGAACCTCTGCGCAAGCGACTCCGTCGCGCACGCGTTCTCCGCGAGACTTGGGAAGCGATTGCCGAACGTCGAAATAGCGATGGTCAAAGTCGCGTAAAACATTTCCAAGCGAGTAGTGCGACGGATGCGAGCAAAAGTGATTGCGTAGCGCAGGCTCCTCCGGCGTCACGCCAAAAGTCGCCGGAGTATGTATACACGTGTCCTTTTTGTAACGGGGAGGTAACTTCCTCCATAGCTTCTGGACACATTGATCACCGTCACGTTTGTGGGAAGCAGTTCCGCGTCGAAAACGGTAGCCTCCGTCCGACCATGCGGTATGCGCACACATGCCCAACTTGCAGAACTTGTGTCCGCAGCAGCAGAGCAGCGGGGCGAATTCAGAGCAAGCATAAACAACCGAATGGTCGCGCGTGCCCGCAGACAGAGTGGCAAACGAGCTGAGGAATAAGGTGCAATTTCCTTCAGCGTCCGGTTTTTGTTCTACTTGTTCTACTTGTTCTTCTTCTTCTTCTTCTTGCTGTTGCTGTTGCTGTTGCTGTTGCTGTTGCTGTTGCTGTTGCTGCTGCTGCTGCTGTTGTTGTTGTTGTTGTTGTTGTTGTTGTTGTTGTTGTTGTTGTTGTTGTTATTGTTGCACGGTACCTTGGTACCCCCTAGTCGGCGTGTGTTGACATGTTGGGTTGCTCCTCATGTCACACCCTCGTTTGTGTTTGCGCACATCCTTGGGTGATCGTGCGGTATCTCGGGGTTCTCCCAGACCGATTGGTACACACGTGGTACGGGACGACGGGTCTCACCTTACCTTGTGTCTAGGGTAGCAACACCCAATGATGACACGGGGGAACAGGCAAGGTCGGTGAACCTCTTAGAGACTTGGGGACTTGTCTCGAGGAGGGGTCAACGGGGCAACGCGTTGGCTAACGATCAATATTCATCGTTGGGTAGCTAAGCTCACGGTGGACAAGACCGTCGGTTCCTCCCTAACAGTGTTAGGGTCCTGTCGCAAGACAGGTGTATTCCCCTGGGATACATGAGATCGCTAACGACTGGGTCACCGACCGGTTCACTCTCAACCTTCGGGGAGAGCGGGCTCAATGTACAGTCTGGCCACAGTGAGGACCTTGTTTTTGGCTCTAAGGTCCGAGCTGCGCTCCATAGGGACTGGGGTCACTGACAAGGTGACTAAGACTTTCCACTCCTTTCTTGGATCGTCTTCTCCGGTAGTGGCTGGAGTCCGGGAACCTATGGGGGCATCCTGCGTTGGCTTAACTTTTGTGTGGTGGTGATCATCTTGTGTGGTGACTTTTGGTTTCTTTCTGCAGCCGCTGCTTCTTCTGCTGCTGCTGCAAGCTGCTGCTTGTTGTTGCCGCTGTTAGGCTTTAGCTGCTGCTGCTGCTGATGATGAAAAAGTGCTGCGCTGCTTCTGCTGCGGCTGCGGCTGCTGTTGCTCCTGTTGCTCCTGTTGCTCCTGTTGTTGCTGCTGCTCTTCCTCCCGAGGTTCAAAACGCATCCTGCTGGACAGGAAAACACAGTAGCCCTGAAGGACAGAACAGCGCAAAAAACGAGCCCAAAAGGTGCCTAACGTCCGTTCTGAAACTCTAGAAAAACAATAGTTTTTGACAACTTTTTATACCACTGTTTGTACAATGAGACATCGAACCCTCCTGTTGCTCCTGTTGCTCTTCCTCCAGAGGCTCAAAACGCACTCTGCCGGACAAGGAAACACACTGGCCCTGAGGGACGGAGCAGTGTCCAAAATTGAGCCCAAAAAGTGCCTAACCTCCGTTCTGAAACTCTAGAAAAACAATAGTTTTCAACCAATTCTTCCTCCCGAGGCTGAAAACGCACCCTGCCCAACGGAGAAACACAGTGGCCCTGAAGGACGGAACAGCGCCAAAATCGAGCCCAAAAAGTCCCTAACGTCCCTTCTGACCCCTAGAAAAACAATAGTTTTGGACAAGGTTTTATGGTTTTCGACCAATTTTTATATCACTGTTTGTACAATGAGACATACAACCCTCCTGTTGCTCCTGTTGCTGCTGCTGCTCTTCCTCCCGAGGCTGAAAACGCATCCTCCCGGACAGGGAAACACAGTGGCCCTGAAGGACGGAACGGCGCCAAAATCGAGCCCAAAAAGTCCCTAACGTCCCTTCTGAAACCCTAGAAAAACAATAGTTTTCGACCAATTTTTATACCACTGTTTGTACAATGAAACATACAACCCTCCTGTTGCTCCTGTTGCTGCTGCTGCTCTTCCTCCCGAGGCTGAAAACGCACCCTCCCGGACAGGGAAACACAGGGCCCCGAAGGACGGAACAGCGCCAAAATCGAGCCCAAAAAGTCCCTAACGTCCCTTCTGAAACCCTAGAAAAACAATAGTTTTGAACAAGGTTTTATGGTTTTCGACAAATTTTTATACCACTGTTTGTACAATGAGACATAGAACCCTCCTGTGCTCCTGTTGCTGCTGCTGCTCTTCCTCCCGAGGCTGAAAACGCACCCTCCCGGACAGGGAAACACAGTGGCTCTGAAGGACGGAACAGCGCCAAAATCGAGCCCAAAAAGTCCCTAACGTCCCTTCTGAAACCCTAGAAAAACAATAGTTTTGGACAAGGTTGCATGTTTTCGTGTTTCGACCAATTTTATACCACTGTTTGTACAATGAGACATAGAACCCTCCTGTTGCTCCTGTTGCTGCCGCTGCTCTTCCTCCCGAGGCTGAAAACGCACCCTCCCGGACAGGGAAACACAGTGGCCCTGAAGGACGGAACAGCGCCAAAATCGAGCCCAAAAAGTCCCTAACGTCCCTTCTGAAACCCTAGAAAAACAATAGTTTTGGACAAGGTTGTATGGTTTTCGACCAATTTTTATACCACTGTTTGTACAATGAGACATACAACCCTCCTGTTGCTCCTGTTGCTGCTGCTGCTCTTCCTCCCGAGGCTGAAAACGCATCCTCCCGGACAGGGAAACACAGTGGCCCTGAAGGACGGAACAGCGCCAAAATCGAGCCCAAAAAGTCCCTAACGTCCCTTCTGAAACCCTAGAAAAACAATAGTTTTGGACAAGGTTTTATGGTTTTCGACAAATTTTTATACCACTGTTTGTACAATGAGACATACAACCCTCCTGTTGCTGCTGCTGCTGCTCTTCCTCCCGAGGCTGAAAATGCACCCTCCCGGACAGGGAAACACAGTGGCCCT